GTTATATACTTTATGCTTTAGGTCATTATCACTTACCTAGGCTAAAGGTCCCGAATGTATGTATGCTAACTTGCTTTAGGTCAACAGGACGTGGCCTTCAGGTTACTTACATTACAGCCAAAATACTCTAGAATAAATCTATTATAATAAAACCAACAATATCCAACCCATAAGAAAAGATATACAAGCAAGCAGGCTAGCTTTGTGGGCTAGATATACAAGAATGCTGTTCCTTCAGAGGATGGAATGCACAATTCTGTCTCAATTTTTGAATGCTCTTTCATTTTAATTATAGGTGGGACTAGATGCACTGCCTATTAAGGTTGTCAGACACTTTCATGTAAGACCATATTTTCAACAGTTTATAACTCTTTTGTCAGTTTGTAACCATTCTGCCTGAGGCTGATTTTGGAAAATTTCAGCCGAAACAGTTCAGAAGTTTCTGAGAATGATGTTAGGGAGAAAATACATTGTGTTTCCAGTGTTAAATTCTGGTGACTTTTTTTTTTTTCTTAAGTGCTAGCTAGCATCCTCATGCTTTGGAGCAGGGGCCTGAAATTTTGGTCTTTTTGTCAGAGATGTGCCTTTTGTTGTCCTCATGAAAATCTGTCTAAATTTGGCCAAGTTATACAACTTTAAAAAATCAGAGTTCTTAGATTTTTAGCAGCAAATTCCCCAAAGATTTCATCAGCACTGAACTGCTAAGCTCTGACTGGAGTGTCAGCTTTCCCTGCAATAGCAGCTCTGGACTCTTTCCTGTGCTCTGTGACTGCATCTCCAGCCCCCTCTGAGCCCAGGGAGGAGGAAGTTGTCTGATTCTAATGCAGGGGGGACAAGAGCTATTTGAGTGAGGGGCAGAGGGAGTACATTGGAACAAAGCTGTGCAGTGTGTGGAAACTGGGATTGGAGGCTAATGGGGGCGGGGGAGAGAACAGTGACTCAAGTTTAGGTGGAGACTAGTAGTGCCTAGGTAAGGAGACTGGGACTTGAAGGCAGTGAATGGCTTTGCTAGAGGATTAAGAGCTGGGCAGAGAATTGTTGAGGGGAAAAGTGTGTTCTATAACTAGTGCAAGAGGGCTGAGTTAAGATTGCACAGGCAATTTTAATTTTGGCATTTCATTTCCTAACTCTCAATTTTGTAACCTTGGTCTTTTAATGTAGCTTTTGTGTGTGATTTAGAAGTACTTTATACATTATCATTATTAGCACTTTGCAGTTGATACAATATTCTTAGAATAATTTAAACTGCTTTTAAAGGAAAGATTTAACCATCTTGCTGAGTTCAGTAAGCCAAAAGCTCACATTATAAATGAACACTTGTCACCCCACAAGCTATTAATAAGTATTTGAAAATAAGGGTCTAACTAGAGTTTTTAATTTCTGAGCCTTGCACTGCCAGTGGCCAAATAGCTGAAAAGATATTTGACATGACGTAAAGCTATGTCCATGCTATGGATACTGTGCAAGCCAGAGTGTTTAAATATTGGTCATAGAAATTATAGATGGAAGACTCCTAATTAAGTCATCTAGAGAGTCCATTACTCTGCCAGCACAGGATTCCATTGCATGTTAGTGTATCGTCAATTCTAGTTTGAGGGCCGTGAAAAATGAGGCTTCCATCGCATTATTTGGGAGACAGTTCCACAGGTTGATACAGAACATGCTCAGAAAGCTTTTCACGTTATACTATTTTTTTTCTTAATTTCCTCACTTTTTTTTTTTTTAACCACCTTTTTTCACCCTGTATTTTTCCTTCATCGGGATCTACATCCTTTTAAATATTACTAGACTTAAAATTTAACCTCTTCCTTCTTCGTTGTTGCTTAGCCATGACTTATATATTTGGCTATGTCTTTCCTCATAGGTCAATTGTGTAAAACTTCAGAATGTTGTGCTAAGTAAAATAAATGCCATTTTCTCTTAAAGGAGTGCTATAATCTTGATTATTATTTTTTTAAAGTTAATTTTTTAGAAATCTAGTTTCCAAATAGAACTCCTTAGTGTCCTGGCTTGCATCTCTAAAAAGTATTCTATTTTTTTAAAAAAATAAGGGTTTTTCTGCTCCCCTATTTTTTTCTTTCGAGATGACCTGAGATCAACGCTACCAAACATGCTGCCACCCATATCTTCCCCTTTCTGTCTGCCCACAGTTGTGTTCTACTTGTTCAGTTTAAACTCTGCTGCTGCTGGTATTAGGGATGAAACCCTCTTGAAGGGAATGAGGAAGGGTGTAATATACAGTGAAATATACTAAGCTAAAATGCTGTCAAATGCACAAAGTATGGTGTTAAGGAAATTTAGTTATTATGGTAGGCCTTGGAGACCCTTATGAGGGTTTAGGGCAGGGGTGGGCAAACTTTTTGGCCCGAGGGCGACATCTGGGTATGGAAATTGTATGGTGGGCCATGAATGCTCATGGGGTTGGCGTGCAAGAGAGTGTTAGGGCTCTGGCTGGGGGTGTGGGCTCTCAAGTGGGGCTGAGGATGAGAGGTTGGGGGTGCAGGAGGATGCTCTGGGCTGGGACTGAGGGTTTCAGAGCATGGGAGGGAGATCAGGTCTGGGGCAGGAGGTTAGTACACAGGAGAGGGGCAGGAGGGCAGGCTCTGGGTAGTGCTTACCTCAAGTAGCTCCTAGAAACAGCGACATGTCCCCTCTCTGGCTCCTGCATGGAGGCACTGCCAGGCAGCGCTGCCCCTACAGCTCTCATTGGCCAGGAACCACAGCCAATGGGAGCTGTGGGGCCGGTGCTTGGGGTGGGGACAGCATGCGGAGCCCCCTGGATGCCCCTACACGTAGGAGCTGGAGTGGGGATGTGCCGCTGCTTCCAGGAGCCATGTGGAGTGGGGCAAGCCCCCGACCCCACTCCCTGGCGGGAGCTTGAGGGCCAGATTAAAATGTCTGGAGGGCCGGATGTGGCCTCCAGGTTGTAATTTGCTCACCTTTGGTATAGGGGCTCATTGTGCTAAACTGCACATGCACACAACAGAGAGATTATCCCTGGCCCTAAAAGAGTTTACAGTCTAGAGGATGAAGAAAATTTGTTAATTTTCCATTTTAACAGTAGTGAATACATTTTTCAAGTTGATGGTGTTTCTTTAAAAAATAGCCTTACGTATGGTAGAAATATTGTCCATTCTGAGATTATTAGAAAAATTAGAACCAGGAAACTAAATCAGAGAGAAAGCTATGAAGTTTCCAAGGGGCATTTTGATACTCTTTATCTAGGAGTTAAAGAAGCCATCTTCTTTACCTCTTGTTTTGGAAGTTAATTTAGAGCCCTGAGGTGTAATGTCAAAATAGCAATAACATTAAGAAAAACAAGATTTAATTGGAGGGGGTAAAATTGGGGAAAGATCCTAATGATTAGCCTGTGAAAGAGTCTCCCAAGAAATGACTGGACTTTCACCATCACATGAGGCATTTAAAATTTGACTAGACAAAGCTGTGTAATAGAAACAATCCTGCAAGAAGGGAATGAGGGAGAAAGGTTAGTAAAAATAATTCCCCATGTCTTTATCCAGTTAATATAATAGATGAGGGATTCTCCTTTCCAGTGTACCACTGGCACTGGTGTACAGCTATGATGTCCTCACCTATCCAGTTGGAATATGGCTTTGGACAGTCAGCCTCCATAGCCATGTTCTGTTTTAGGCATTTGGTTGTCTTTGTTTCTTTTAAACTACTAGTCTTAAAAATGCCTATGTTCTGCAAAGGATTTACCTAAAGAAAAGGATGACAGATGTTCAGATTGTTTGTTTGTATAATGCTTTGGATATTATGGACATATGTCACCAGAAGCAGAGATCTTGCTGGCAGCCTGGAAGTGCCAGTCTTAAAGTATGTCTGGTGTAATGTACTCTTGCTGGAATTGCCTTCTGCTGTTTTGGGTTATAATTATGATATAAATTAGGTTTTTTTTAGTGGATTTTTACAGGCATCTTCCAGAAAGCTTTCTCTTAGTGCAGTGGTTCCCGAACTTTAACAGCCCGCAAACCCCTTTCACTAAATGGTGAAATCTCGTGAACCCCCTCCTAAAAATGAATATTTCCAGGGATTTAAGTTTAAATTTCCTCCGCACTCTGTGGGGCTCCTGCTGCTGAACCCCGTTGACTTCCCCGGTCAACTGAACTCCACTGAACTCGGGCTGCAGGTCTCGCTGACTGCCGGTGCTCGGGCTGCCAGCCCCAACTGCCCGGCCCCGCTCTCCCTGGGGCTCGGGCTGCCAGCCCTGCGCGGAGCACTGGGGTTTGGGCTGCCGGCTCCCCCGCTCACGGGGGCAGGGCTTGGGCTGCCAGCCCCAACTGCCCTGTCCTGCTCTCCCTGGGGCTCGGGCTATCTGCCCTGCAACCGGGTCCCACCTGCTGCCGCCAACGCCCGGGGTCCTCTGGCTGCCATTCGTGAAATTTTTCTGGCGAATCCCCTGTAATGTTCTGCGAACCCCAGTTTGGGAACCACTGTCTTAGTGGAAGATGAGCTTTAATGTGTCAGTCTTCCACTCCCTCAATCTGAAATCTGCTAAATGTGCACTTATGTGGTACATTAATTGTTACTGTATTAATAATTGTTCAGTAAAATGGTAGTTTTGTTTGCCATAACTTGAATTCTATCAGGTTCCTAAGACTTTGTACGTAGCCCATATAAACTTATGAAATGAATCACATTTTAATTCCTTCCTTTTTTAAATTAAAGCTTATTTAAGGAAACATTCAGCAAGAAACTTTCATATTTTTCACTTACAGTAGAGTGGTACAGGATTATTTCCATGGTGATAAGCAAGGAATTTTGCATTCAGCCATTAAAACTCTCAGGTTAATATTTCCAGTTAGTGCTCTACAAAATAAATGAGTGGTGTACAGCTGTTTTCCAGTCAACAGTTGTTTAAAATTTGTTCAGCAATTAGGAAAAAGCCATAACTGGCTTCCCAGCTGTTTATAATTAAATATGGAACTTGTATGGCAAGTCTGGTTTATTTTACTCATAGCTTTTAATTTCTTTTAAAGGCACATTACACCAGAGAAGTTTTACGTGGAAGCTTGTGATGATGGAGCAAATGATGTTCTTGCCATTGACAGAGTCTCCACAGAGGTCACTCTTACAGGTATGCTTCTCACCAGCACTAGGCCAGTTGATTAAAAAGTACAGTGACAAAGTGCAATGAGCAATCTAAATACTACTTCAAAGCTGAATGTCATGGTTCTTTGGATAGCTTACTGAATATCCACATTAATTATTATGGTATCGTAAGTCTCTCTTCACCTCACTCATGATGTTGAGTTTTTTTGTCTCCTTTGTGGACTGGATATTAATTTGCAGTAGCAGAAATCCAAAATGTGCCACAGCATTTTGATTATTTTCAGTAAAATTAACATTTTAAAGTATTCGTTGATATTTATTTCTGTAGATCAACATGTAATTTTTATTGGAAGATAGTTTTAAGGTTCTTTGCAGTTATGTAGCTGTGCGTATTAAAAACGTGCGGTGAAAATATATGGTGCATAACTAAGGCTAAGATTTTTGTCATGGTTATTTTTAGTAAAAGTCACAGACTGGTCACGGGCAATAAACAAAAATTCACAGAGCCCATGACCTGTCCGTGACTTTACTAAAAATTAATGAGGCAGGGCCAAGTAGGGGGGAGGAATGGAGTCTCATGATGGGGAGGGAGGGACCGAAAGGTCAAGCCCCCAGCCATGGTGGGTGGCACAGTCCCGGCTGCAGCGGGACGCAGCGCCCCCGCTCTGGTGCTGGCCATAGCTGCAGGATAGAGGTGCGCGGTCCCAACTGCAGCCCCCACCAAGCCCCAGCACGGCCCTTGGACACTGCGGGGCTGGGGCACGCGACCCCTGGCAGAAGCTGCGGGGCTGGGGCTGCAGGGTCTTGGTTCCAGCCATCCAGCCCCTGTTGCGGGGCAGGGGCGCAGAGTCCTGTCTCCAGCCCCAGCTTCAGCTGCTGACAGCTGAAGTGGAAGAAGTCATCGAGGTCCGGTAAAGTCACAAAATCCTTGACCGCCGTCACCTCCTCTGACTAAATCATAGCCTTATTCATAACAACTGATTTGGGGCTCCCACTCACCATTTTATTTTTTGATAACTGTATGACCGCGTCAGTTTGAAATGTTGACTTATTCATGCTAATTAGGACTGATGCCACAGTCTGGACTCAAGCACAGGAATGATGAATGTCGTGCAGATGTGCTCCCATAACTTCCAAGAGCTCAATTTATTTAGCTTAACAAGGAGAAGGTTAAGGGGTGACTTGAGTACAGTCCACAAGTATCTACCCAAGGAATAAATATTTAATAATGGGCTCATCAGTGCAGCAGAGAAATGTATAACACGATACAATGGCTGGAAGTTGAAGCTAGACAAACTCAGACTGGAAATAAGGTGTACGTTTTTGACAGTGAGGACAATTAACCATTTGAACGATTTACCAAGTATAAATTGGTAACTTTTAAATCAAGATTGGATGTTTTTGTAGAAGATCTGCTCTGGGAATTATTTTGGGGAAGTTCTATGGCCTGTGTTATACAGGAGGTCAGACTAGATGATCACAGTGGTCCCTTCTCGCTTTGGAATCTATGAACTTGGCCAACATATCTCACTCTTATTTCTACTTGGTGATTTTTATTTTTAGCTTTTTCCTGAGGCTATTAAAAGGCTACAGTTTGAATTGTTTGATAGTTCTGTGCTATGGCCATAACTTAACATTTTTATTTTTGCAAATTTGTGTGGTTTTAACAAACAAACAAGTTGTTTCCCAGGTGAAGGCCTGATACTAAATTACAGCTTGAAACAAACCATTTAATGCTGAGCTATGAACTTCAGAAAATAGGATGTTAAAAGTGAACTCACATGCTGTCTTACTGAGAGGAGCTGCTACAATACTTTCCCTTCATATTAGAATCTGTATATCTCCTTTCTCTCCTGAGAAAATTAAATTAAAACCTCTTTTCCAACTAAATTTGGACTGTAAATCTTACAGTATTTTTGTATAAGATTAGAGCGCTCATCCTACTGAAATATTATAGTACTGGAATAGCAATTTACTCCTTCAGAGCTGTAAGGATTACTCTTCCCAGGTTTCTGTTGTCTGCCATCTTTTCCTAATACTGTTGTTTCATTAACATATAAACTCTTCAAGCCAAGGTATGTTGTTGTCCCAGCAGCTACTTTTATCATTTCATTGGCATGTAACCCAATGCATAATATAGTCCCATCTTTTTCCATTCTTCAAACTCTGTTGGGGCACTTAGCTGTGACTTAAGCTTGGTTTAAAACTTGGTGTTAATGGTCCTCACAATGACCCCTAAATCTGTGGATGATAAAAGTACAATACTGAAGCACTTTTGCAAGTTGCATCCACATATCCATCCATTTCCTATATTCTTTACCACAGCTGTACAGCTCTTAGTAGTCTTTGCCTTGAAGAGCTGGCCTTACAAGTTAGAAAACACAATTCAGACTGCTTGTCTGGCCCTGTTGCTCAGTGTGGAATTGGACTGAGATGGTGGAGGAATGCTCAGAAGTGGGGAGGCCAGGTATTGTGGCTAAGGCTGGTCTTGGGGCCTTGACACCCGGAGTTTGGTTCAAAACAGGAAACTCCTTGCTGCTGGCAGGACAGTGTGCTGCTGCTGAGCTACCCAGCTAGCCTGTCCTGTAAATGAGCCTGAATTTTTTCAGTTAGAATGATTCTTGTTGATTAAACAAAATAGAAAACTTTCATTTCCTAATTTTAAATTCTTTCCCAGCAGGTTTTCAAACTCTAATCCATTGCCTCTCACTATGGTGACTCATTAGTGACATGGTTGAAACTTCATGATCAAATCTAATTTAATAAAGTTACATGGGATATAATCATGAAACAGATGTAGTTTGACATCTTGTTTTTCTGCTTTTCAGTTAAGAAAGATGTTCCCCCTTCAGCTGTTACAAGGTCTATATATGGTATTTTGGGAACAATCCGTCTGGTGGCAGGTAAGGAAAACAAAATGGTATACTGGTGAAAGAATGTAGGTGAAAATATATTACTAGAGAAACCTAAAAGCCGGGAGAGAGTGTGGTTCATGTATAAAGGAAATCTGGAATTAGTTTGTTGGAGAAAATCATTCATTCTTTCATCATTTCTTAAAAGTTGCTATAGTATGACACCTCATCTGTGAGCTAACTAAAGATGCTTAAAAATGAAAGGAAGGGAAGATGTCTTATGAATTTTAAGTATCCAAATGTAGAAAAGGAGTTAATTGACCATTCTGTCAGCTTACTTTTTAAATCTATTTCTACAGAACCTATTAAAAAGTTTAATTCTCCTCCTCTTCCTCCCCCCACCCCCACTTGCTTTCACCCTCATCACTGGATTTGCTATAACACTTTTTGGTTTGCTTTCAAGTCAATAGTGTTGGTATACAAAAAAATATATTTGGGAATGACCTGATGTGAGATCAGTTTGTAATTTAGTTGTTTAATCAATGGCTGTGTTCAAACCTCTTCCCAAATGTAGAGGAAATGTCAACAGTTAACAAAAGGAAGAAGACAAATTGGAACAAAACTTCCTAATATTATATTAAATAGTGCAGGGTAAGAACAAGTTGTTCTATAAAACGTATGTCATAGTGTACTCTGAAGCTGATGGAAATAATCACTGATACAGGTAAACTTTGAGTCACAGGTATGAGGCCAACTTTTCCAATGAAAGTTAAGTGTTTTTCTTATTTGAGTGAATTTGATTCTGATGAAAGTTAGATTAATAGCAATAGTCTGGAAACGAGTGTAATAAGGTGTGTATGTGCTCTACATAGATTGTCTGTGCACCTTAATCATTCTGTGCAAAGCCCTTTTCTAGAGCAGAGTGCCAATTTTTCCAAACAAAATATGAACACTTGACTAGGTTGAGATTATCAAACTTAGTAGACCAAAACAAGATTTAAACATGTCTATCCCACAGTAAGACAAATGTAATAAATAACTGTACACAGTCTACAGTATATGTATTTTGGTATCTTTAAGGGTCCCTGTTTGTTTTTAAAACTGAATTATCCCGAAGAGGATTGAGAGAGAATGGTGTAGTGGATTGGTAATAGTACGCTGCCTTTCACTTCAGGATCACTGACTGAATTCTGTCCCAGGCAGTGTAACATTTTGAGTGGCCTATCTGAAAAATCTCAGACCAGTTTCTGGTGGACAGGTGTCAATAAGGGTGAAAGCAACCTAATTAGAGATCAGAAATGAATATTGAGATTGAATTACCTTCTTTTCTTCTATTCACAGCTGTGAGGCAGTGTTAATGTAAACCTCCTTTCACTGACCATGATCTATATTTATCAAGAGGTAAAACTTGTGTTTTACAATTGTCAGTCCACGACCTTTCACAAGAATTAATGTTGTATTTATTTAAAAGTTCAGAAGAAAAGAAAAATCTTCGCCTGACTTAATAACTTTGAGCTTTTATAAAACAAACATTATGTCCTTACTATCCTCTTCTACTGTAGACATTTTACATTTCACTTAAGCTGAGTTCAAGTCAATATGGTGTATATTTTTTTCTACTACTTGTGCAACATTGCTTGTGAGATCAATATATCTGCGGGACAAATATTTGAGGGTTGTCTTACAAGCACTATTATGTGAGCAAGTCCTGAATTTGAATAGTTGTAAATTAAGAAGAATCGAGTTTTGGATCTGAATCATTTGCATCCTTCTGGATGAAATCAAATGTGCAAAACTAGTAACTAAAACTGTAGATGGAGAAGTGTACATATCAGTTTTATGCAACTGGGTGGATTAAATACCCACTGAACTGTAACTACTTCTCCAGAAAATTAAAGCACTACAGGGTGTGTTGTGCAATAAATGGGAGTTAGTAAATTTAATGGAACACAAACACTGTGCACAATTTATAAAGCCATGGTTGTTGGTTTTTCTTATTGGCATTCGCTGACTCATACTTCATAGTAGTAGATGTGAGATTTCATAGCATTTCATTCTTGTTAAATAGCTTATTCATAATTTTGATCAATCCAAGATTTTTAAAAATCTGTCTTGGTTATATTTGCATCTGAAAACCACAGTCAGTTGTACATTGAAATGCACAATTTTCCAGCAGTAAATAAGTTCCATAGGAGTAATTTTGTTCAATGGAAGGTAAGACTACATTGTATTTTCCAAGGTGGAGGCAAGCTAACAAATTGCTATAATGAGGGGCTGCACTGTTATATGTGCAGTTCTTCTGATTGATTGATTGATTTTTCTATATTAATGCAAATTGCCCCCCGACACCCCATTTAATAGATATTGGAGGCTTTAGGTCAACTATGTTTTAGGATAAAATAGCATATCTGTGACCTTCTGTAAGACTTCTAAGATGGATCTCAGTTGTTGAATACTACCGCACGCTGTCATTGTACGAATTGCTGATGGATTCTGCATTCTCCAAACTATGGGCTCAGTCAGTTATCTGCATCCCCACCCTAAAAGATCTGAGTGTGGAGAGGACTGTCTGTACTTGGATCTGGAGTTGGGGTCGGCCACCCCGCTACACTCTCTCCCCATTCCTTAAGACCCTGAAGCGTGCTTCAGATCTGCATGTGCGGATGGAGTGGTGGGTGCTTGGAAAGGTGTGCTCTACCCCTACCCAACTCCATGGGGAATCTGCAGGAAAGTTAATTCATTTGTGGGTTTTAGACTGTGGAGTGGAGCAACCTCCTTCCAATGGAGGGATATAGAGGAAACTCTTGAGGAGGGGAACCTCCAGGAATTTGTCTCCCTTTTTCCCCTTCATGCATTTTTTTTTCATATATAGCCTTGTGCTTGCTATCCTTGTTTTCTTGAACCACGTTATAGCTAACTACCCTTGACTTCTAAATTTTTTATTTTGCAGGGAACTATCTCATTGTAATAACAAAAAAGAAAAAAGTAGGTGAATGTTTCAATCATGCAGTCTGGAAAGCAACTGATTTTGACATCCTCTCCTACAAAAAGACCATGCTGCACTTAACTGATATTCAGGTAGGAGTAGACTGGTAGAAGAAAAATAAATAAGCCACAACTGATTAGCAGTTTTCTGATGGCTTATCATCTTTAGCGAAATTAAAAAAAACCTCTTCAAATGTAGGTCTCCTGTGATCAAAGCATAGTTTGTAGACTGTTACAGCAGTTGTGCAATTTCTTTTAAAATGTTGATGGCATTGTAGTCCATCTGCTTTGATTTATTTATAATGTTATAAGCATGTGCATGTTCTTGCTTATATCAGTGTAAATTAGAGAAAATCTATGGATTCCAAATTCCCAAACGAACTCCATTGTGCAACCACTGTGTCACTGGCCTTCCTGACACCAATTTCACAGTCCCCTCCCTCCAGTTTCTAAGATGGCCTTTCTTATTGTTCTGACCAAATCATCCTTCATTAGGTCCCATCTCTCACTGCATCAATTTCAAACCCATGTCTCTTATGTCTCCCAAAACTGCACCCCTTCTTTCTTCCCACAGTGCCCATTAAGACCCTCTTTGTCCAGTTCTTTCACAGCCAACTGTGTTTTCTTCCACACTGTCTCCTAGGTATGGCATGTCCTCCCTGAGCTGGTCCACAAAACCACAACCTTCTCCATGTCAGATCCTTTACTACTTCCATGAAACCTACAAGAAACTAGTTGACTAAGTCATCCAACTGTTTATCTCACTTAACTTATCACTGAACTGATCATTTCTGTTTACATGGAGGGAAGGGGTTGAATATTGGGAGGAATGAAAGGGTGTAAGTTCATTGGAACTGAAACTGGGGATTGCTTTGGAACAAAGACACGGGGGTTGAATGGTGGGATGGGAGGTGAATTTAGTATCTATTTAAAAATAAAATAAGGCAAACTTGCAACCAAGACACGTGCCTGTCACTGGGATCACCTTGCCAGAATGTTGTATCCTTTCCCCCCACGTCTCACTTGTCTTATTTTTTTTGACTGTACACTCTTTGGGGCACAACACTTTTTTCCTCTGTGGTTGGGAAGCACTTGGTATCAGTCTAATCTCCATTATTTACTCCTGGGGGAATTCTGTGCCTAAAAATTATTCACACAGTGTTTTAAAATTCTACAAAATTCTGCACATTGTATATTTGTCAAAATAACACAGTGACGCCAGTTGCAATTATTCTGGTAATTTATTTAAAAATACCTGTCAGCAAGTATGTCTGTAACTCTCTCTCTAGATTCAGGGAAAAAAATTTTGACTGATTCCTTTCTAGGCATATGAGTACAGAACTTTGAGTAATTCATTTAAACTACAATACAGTAACATATTTCCTGCACCCCTCAGAAGCAGTGCAAAGGCTTGGGGGGCTCAGGGCTAACGGGGAGCTGAAGGAGAGGGAAGGAGCCTGGGAGTGAACCTGGAGGGTTGTTGGGTGTGGGTGGGAGAAGTCTGGAACAGGTTTTTTTGGGGGGTATGTTAGGGAGTTGGGGAGTCTCCCCCATGCAGACCCTGGCTGACCCCTAGCCTCTCCCATTCAATGAGGCACATCTACCTCCCCAACCCAGGTGGCCCTGCAGCCCCCCTCCCATTCAGACCCTGGCTCAATGCTGTCACCCCACAAACTTCTAAATCCATGCCCCAATCTGTCTTCCCACTAGCCCTTCTGAACTTTAGCCTGTGACCCCGCCCCATCCCCCAGCAGCCCTATGTGCCCCTCTCTGTCCGTCCCATGCCTCCTCACCTGGCACTGTTGTGAGGAACACAGTCTCTCCCCGTCCCTCTCTGCACACTGGCTGCCCTCTCTTCTGGTGCCGCTGATGGGCAAAAGGTATAACTGCAATGCCTCTACAGCAGAATCTCTATTCTACGGAGAAGAAAAAAAAACTGCGGGGGACATGAATTCTGCCTGTATGCAGTGGCACAGAATTCCCCCAGGAGCAATTATTGGTCAAATCCCCTAAATTTCAGCTTTTTCTCATGTACTGTACATATTGAATCAGGGTGTACTGGAGCAGTTTAATGTTATAAACTGTCAGTCTACTTTTATTGTCTCAAAATTGTAATCTCAAAGTATCCTTTTGTACTGGGGTTTTATGTTTTTTTATGTACTCCTGCAAAACATTGTGGTAAGCAAAAAATCAGTGTCTTTTTAAAAAGGGGAATGTAAAAAACCCAACAATGTGGTGTTAGTAAATAAGAAAGCTGCTTGTTGTTTTTTTTTTTTTTTTTTTTTTCTGCCAACAGTTGCAGGACAATAAAGCCTTTTTAGCAATGCTTAGTCACATCTTGAATGTGGATGGATTTTACTTCTCTACAACATATGACCTAACCCACACTTTGCAAAGGTTAGCCAACACCAGTCCAGAATTCCAGGAAATGAGCCTACTAGAGAGGGTAAGGATTCCACTGATTTCTGTCTTGTATCCAGCTCCTTGTCAACTAGTTTGGTGTGTGGTAATGGGTTTATTTTATAGATCAGGTAGCTGATGGGATTATTTCACTAGTCTGTTTAGATTCTAATTTCTGGCTGGACTGAACTCTGAGGGGACAAGAGTCAGTTTCATCCCTTTTTAATGTTTCTGTGACATAGATTAGCTTTCAAACTTGCCATTTTGTTTTTGTAAACTAGATATCCCCTTAAAATTAATGTTGAACTTTTGCATTCCTAAAATAGAGCTCTAGCATTTCTGGCTCTGTAGCATTAAATTTGTGTATATTACACTTCTCAACAGCCTGTGGGTAAACCTGTTGCAAGACTGCTTTAAAAAAATCAATACTTTTGGAGCTGACTTGTATACTATCCTATCTTTTGTTTCCTTCTGCCATCCTACGTAGGTCTTTGTGTCTTGCTGCTTCTGACCTCCTTGCCACAGCCCTTAATGTTCCATGCTCAGGTCATCTTATATTACAAACTTCTGTTAGGGGCTGCTCAATGTTCCTGATTATTTTATAAAGGAAAATTTAAATCTGTCGGGCAGCAGTGGTGTGGGAGTTGCAAGCTAATGGATGTGTGCTTACCAAAAGTGAGGAAAAATGCTGGCCTTAAATGCCACAAATATACAGTGACTACAACTCCTTTTTCTTTTCTGCCTGCCACTGCTGGTTATCTCTTTTTTGTGTTTCATTTTGATTTAAAATACATAGCTACCATAATGCAGTTCCCAAGTAACTTCATAATAAAGTTTAAATATAGCTACAGGTCTCTCCCCAGCTTGGATTTTAAACTTTCAAATGTTTTAAATATACATTTTAATCCTCTTAAGACACATCATTGTGGAATAGTACTGTTTATAGCACCTCCTCCAAAGCCCATTGAAATCAGTGGAAGTCTTTCCAGAGACTTCACTGGGCTTTGGATCAGGTCCTTAAAATACAACTTCTCAACACTAGAATTCTGAGAACTACACATCTGAGCAGTTCAATACTCCTGGTTTTGTGTGTATCTTATCTCTTCTTTGCACAAACATCTTGGCACTTCCAGCTGTTTTTAATCTTACGTACATCCTCATTTATGTTCTTAAATTAAGAGTTTATGGTACTGTCAGTGAAATTAGAGCTCCTTGTGCACTTACCTGGCCAGAGTTTTAATGCATAAACTGTAAAAAGGGTAGGTATGTATGTTGAATATGTATGTGCATAGCGTAATAGCTTTTCACAAAGCCATTAGTGGTCCCTTGATTCTGAAAATTATAGTAAAAATGGTTTTACCTCTCCATCTTCAAACTAAACTAGTGAAATGGTTTTGCGAATATTGCTTGTGTGCCTTCTATATTTTCCACTATCAGCATGCAACTAGTCCATTGTCACACTTGCTCTGTAAAATCTTCAGCCTGATAGTATTGGCTATGGTAGGGCTGTTTTTTGGAATGAGTAGTTGACCACAAGAGGAAAGGGAAGCAACTGAAAATGTGTGCCATGAGAGAATCAATTATAGAAGTTACACTTTAAGTGTTTTAACATTGTCTTCATTCCTCTTCAAACAGTAAGAATTGAAAAAAATAGTTGTTTGTAGTTCTCCAGCCTGAGGAGAATAAGCAGTGTAGTTAAAAAGCGAACTCCAAAATGCCAGTTATTGTGGCAGTTTTGAACAGAACAAAACTCCACAAACCTAAAACTTAGTTGTACTGCTGACTCACATAACGAGAGTTAATTTTGTGTGTGACATCAGAAAATGTTACTTCTGAGATGAATAACTCTTACATGATTTCTTACACATTTCTTAACCCCTAGGATACTTGATGTATTTGGAGTTTGTCTGTGGCAACTTGCATAGTAACTTTTTTTGACACTGTGGGAAGGAGTTAGATAAAAAATTATGGGTTTCTAAGGTTAGGATCAGAGAAAGTGGGGGTTGCTTCATCAAAAAGTGAAAGAGATGTCACTTGAGCTTGCATTTAGGACAGAGACTGGGAAGGATACAGAACAGAGTGGTGGATTTGTGGCCTCTTGCCCTGGGATTTTGCATTCTAAACCTGACTATCTTAATATGTTGCTAGAAACAGTATTTAGTATGTTTAATTTCAATCTTAAAGAAAACAAAACCACGCAGCCACACTGAGGCCCCAGGGGATATCTTTAGGAATGTAAACTTTCTCAGCTTCCATGAAGATTTAGAATCCATAATCTGCTAAACATGGTTTTGATTCAACAAGTGCTTTCTAAAATGCATTGAGACAGCTCATTTTCAGCTGGAAAAAGAGGCTATAAAGCCACCTTTACAAGGTGTTGCCTCCTAACTGTCAGAATATTTTCAGAACTGGGAACAAGAAGCGATTCTCACACCCTTTTTAAACCTTCATGTCCATTTCATTTTCTTATTAAAAAAAACTTCAGCAGACCATATTGCTTGTTAATGAACCCTAGAATTTTGTGTTTAGGTACTGTTCTGTGTTAATTTTTATATGGTACTTTCTCATTCTCCCCCAGAAATGGTCTAGCTGTAATGATTGTTTAGCCTTAAAATCAATCTACCAAGTTTCAGAAAAGTGTCATGTATTTATCCTTTCAACCATAGGAAGGGACATGTCAGCACATTAGTTATTTAAAAAATCGTCCGTTCCAGTTTAAAATGATCTAACGTACTGAAGTATCCCTTTTGAGTCAGTAAGCCCTCTAGATTTATATTAATAAATATAACCATTTTTAAAAGGTATGTAAGATGCCAGTTGTGTTGCAGCTGTTGAAATAGTTATGATCTACTTGTATCCATGCCATCTTGGGAGATCTGATGGGTTCACAGTCCAAGTAGGCTCAAGCCTGGTCAGCACTTGAATGCAGCCAAACCTAGGGTACTGTAGGAAGTCGGGTTGGTGACTCAGTGCGTGGCACTCTGAGCAGCAGTCTTTCATTCACTTTTTCTGAAATAATATCCTAGTATGGTGTGCAGGAGCATTATGTTTCTGGAGACACGGGCATTCAAATAAGGTTTAAAACCAATGTTCTTGTCCTTTATGGTCAAGGATTAAATTGCTCAAAGATGGACACATGCAATTATCCATGCATAACTGAGATAAAATATAAATATGCGTGCAAAATCAGGTAGCTGCATGCTTGTTGCCAGTTACCCATTTAACTCGCCAGACAGCTGCTCAGACACCCGAATTTGCCCATGTAATTGTGGTACCTATCTTTTAAAATCTGACCTTCAGTATTTCATAACATTTTTAACAAGCGCAGGTGTTGTCCTGATAATCCTGGTCAAATGCTAATTTAGCTAAAAACATGCTTCATTAGAACTCCCCCTGTATTTCTTCTGTCCTAAATTGGTGAATGCAGCTTTTGCTTGCTATTAAAAGGCTACAGTATTTCAATGAAGAAATATTTCATCTTGAAATAGAAGCCAGGAAAGTGCTGTGATCTCCTTTGGGATGAAATTCTCTCTGCATGTTCTCACTTTCCTCTCTGAGAGTTTCCACTTGTTCCAAAATTCATTGGGTACTGCTGTTTAAAGATGTCTTGCAGTTTAAAATTCTCAAAAGCACTTCAGGTTGATTTTTGTTGCAATGTACTGACTTTGTTCTGCAGAATAAAAGGATAGTAACTAAGGGCTTGTCTACACTTACATCAGGAACATCTTGTTCGTTTCCGGTAGGGCCTCCAGCTATGCTTCTGTGCAGCAGCCTGTCCAGCCAAAAGAGTGCAAACAGCATTTTGTGAAGGCCAGGTGCACCACCCTTACATAAAGAAAAGGAGTACTAGTGGCACCTTAGAGACTAACCAATTTATTTGAGCATAAGCTTTCGTGAGCTACAGCTCACTTCATCGAATGCATCCGATGAAGTGAGCTGTAGCTCACGAAAGCTTATGCTCAAATAAATTGGTTAGTCTCTAAGGTGCCACTAGTACTCCTTTTCTTTTTGTGAATACAGACTAACACGGCTGCTACTCTGAAACCACCCTTACCATATATCTAGTCACCCAAACTTATGCTACTGCAGGATAGTGCTGAGCTTCTGCCCTACCATAGAATAAGCTGAGCTTCAGAAAACTGTTCTCTCCCCTTTCCCCCCCAAACAAAAAACCCCAACAACCCTATTTGCATATTTGCTTATTTTTTCTCACTACAGGCAGATCCACGGTTTGTATGGAATGGGCATCTTCTTAGAGAATTTGCTGCTCAGCCAGAGGTAATGTTGGAAGTTTCCTTTAATAATCTATATGAAATGTAGTACAGATATAATATTATGAAGAAAGTGTTTTAGTCTTGCATATGTCTTTATTTCAGATACCCAGAACTCTCGTAGATAAAATATTGGTTACTTGTATTCTAGTTGTAGCAAAATTACCTGTGTGTAAGTTATTGACATTACATTTATCTGTCTTAAACTAATCACTTCATTTCAATTTCACCCCAAAGTCCTCTGATACTATCCGGTGAAATAATAACTTCTTGAAAATGTCTGTTAGGGAAAAAAAAAATAGACTTTGATAATATGGCCTCAGCCGTGTGCTAAGAAAAATAACATCAAGAAGAGGTGCGCAGTATGTTCCTAAGTAGGTAAAATTCTGCAAAATATTGAGCTCTGCTGTGCCTTATGTAAGGCAGATATTGTTCCCCAAGGATACTGCCTCTTTCCCTTGGCACAGCTATGAGTTTGAGTCTGGATTGTCTTTCCTCAAAATTTCCACACATGATCGAAAGGACACTTTCAAGGTTTTGAGGCTAAATCAGCATTACTTTTCAAACAAATTCTTCAAGAGATCATAAGCTTAGAGACATGCCAGGTAAATCCTAATATAAACTAAGCTGTACAAGTGCACAATGAAGGGTCGTACACAACTGTGTGTTTATATTGGGAATTTATTGTCACATGAAGTGTCGAGCTAGAAACGTAAACTAGTCAAGAAAGATGTCACTTGAGTTTCTGATGTCCCTCTCCCCCAGATTGGACTATACTATGTGAACTGCATAGGGAAAGTCCACACGCAGTAGGAAATTCCTCAGAATTGTCCAGTCACATGTGTGTTCCTATGATTTCCTTACTCTTCCTCCACCCCACCTCCTCCATAATACCGGCACAGAGACTCTGCTTCCAAAACCCACAGACGTCCCCAACAGTTACATGGCAGCCTGTACATCCACAGAAGGCAGGAACATTTTCATAAAGAACCAGGGCATCTACACTCCATTACATATAAGGGTGTTTTACTGCCGTATTCTCTGTGCTGGCTGCTGCACCCACCCCCTTTCAATACCAGCTGTAACCTCCTCCACTGATGTAACCTCATAATGAAAAGGAAAGGGAAGACTTTATTGTAGCAGCTAGCAGAGAGAATGTGGTAGCAGAAAACTTCAGGAGATACTGAAATTTTTAGAAGGGGATCATGATTTGGGGAGAAGGGCTTCCATGGTGGTCTGGGACTGAGAGAATGCAGCAGATCCATTGTTCAATACCTTCCTTCCTGGTGACTTAATGCCTGATCTGCCATCCTTTTTCTAGTCTTTACACCATGTAGAGAAACATAGCGTTATATTTGCAAACCACCTTTAACTTGTTTTAATTAAATGCTAATTAGTGTAAAGGGCAGTATATTGCCATATTTACTCTTGTGTTGAGCAAATTCTATCCAGACAACATTACACCCTTGGATTTCTTAAGTCTAGTCTTAAATTATTCACATGGGGTAGATAGTGTTTCTTAGCTAAGACTTGTATTGGTAGCTCTGAACTCAGCAAACACATTTGTTCATGTCATACGTTGACAATATTCAAGTAGGTTTTAGAAAATACATTTAGGTATTTAATTTACATTGAGCTTGTTTGTGGCAAAAATATTAAGCAGATCTCTGTTTAGAACAGGAGTACAAATACCCATTTATATTCCAAGGCAGCTTGCCGTTACCAAGGTCATTCACTGACTCTCTGTGAGATAAGCATGGTTACAGAATATCTTCTGCTTAACAGAGTGATGACTGGTAAGAAATATCACACTTTGTTGCTTTATTAGTGAACAAAAAATCTTTGTGGTTGTGCAAATAAATCACTAGTCTAGAAAACATGAAACTTTTTCTTATTCACTGGCAATAAATGTCCCTCTTCCCAAACTGAATTGCCTTTACAATGTTTGCCTTTTACTAGAGTTTCATACACTTGTCATCTATCTATTTCTTGGGTTAGTACTTGGAGATACCTGTTTTGTTAGACAACTTTATATAAAATATATTTTTAAAATGTGTTATACAGTTTCTTTTGTATTTTCAGATCCATAGGTTTGCTCTTCCAGTGATGCATGGATGTATCCTTTTCTTGTTTTGTAATCTAAATTTACTCTAGGTATCAATCTTTTGTTTTGTTTTTTAACCATAGAGGTTTAATCAGATTATCTAGGAGAATATTTGACTTTCTAAGACAGAAAATGTTGCTGGTGCAAGAGTTAACTGTAGTTGGGAACTCTACCACATAAATCTTCAAATAGTCGCCTCGCAAAATTTGGTGTATCTTGTCCTAATTGCAAACATATAGCACTTAGACAGGTTTCAGAGGAACAGCCGTGTTAGTCTGTATTTGCAAAAAAGAAAAGGAGTACTTGTGGCACCTTAGAGACTAACCAATTTATTTGAGCATGAGCTTTCGTGAGCTACAGCTCACTTCATCAGATGATTCATCATGATGAAGTGAGCTGTAGCTCACGAAAGCTCATGCTCAAATAAATTGGTTAGTCTCTAAGGTGCCACAAGTACTCCTTTTCATATAGCACTTATTGATAGTAGGCAATTTATATTTTGGACATCTGAATGCAAATAGTAAATATTTTTTGCTTTTCATATTTAACACAATTTTATATAAACCACTGTTATAAGCATGATTTGAACAATCATCTTTCTAGTGTTGGCTGTTCTCTTGGGAGACAAAGCTCAGTTTAATAAACATTTTCCTATCAATATTTATGTGATTATATCCTGCTAGAGAGGTACTTTCACCTAGCATATTACTGAATGTTTAGATGGTTAGACTGTGATCCGTTGAATGACGCCTATTAAGTGATTTTTTTTCTTACAAGGATATAAATATATGTAAGGAGATATCAGATACAATTTAAACAGGCATTAGCAAGTTTAATACACTTTAAAATAAGAGACCCATGTTGATTCGTAGACTTTAAGTCCAGAAGAGACCATCATGATCACCTAGTCTGACCTCCTGCATATCACAGGCTGCAGAACCTCCCTCCTGTAATAGGTCATAATCTCTGGCTGAATTACAGAAGTCCTCAAGTTGCAGAGAATCCATCATTTACTCTAGTTCAAACCACCAAGTGAACCTTACCTCACACTGCCAAGGAAGGCGAAAAACCTCCAAGGTCTCTGCCAACCTGACCTGGGGACAATTCCTTCCTGATCCCAAATTTGGTGAGCAGTTGCACCCTGAGCTTGGGGGGGGAGACTCACCAGCCAGACACCTGAGAAAGAGTTCTCTGTAATAACTCAGAGCCCTCCCCATCCCATGTCACAGGAGTAGGCATGTACATTCTGCCATCTTTCTGCTCATCCTCTCAGAAATTGAAAGAAAGTTACAAGAATCCTTCTCTTAACAAACGGTGCTTTTGATATCAATACTCTACCTTACTCCTAAGAATGATGCATGGAGCAGAGTATACACATGCATTCCCGCAATACTAAACTAACTTGATACCTTGCATTGACTGTAAACTAGTTTGCCTAACAGAAGCTGGGATTTTCAATAATATTACCAGTTTTGAGTTAGAAAAGACAAAAAGCCCCAATTGGGGGACAGCTGGGCTTTGTTTTCTTGGGGTAGATGGGTTTATGACAGGGTGGACTAGGCCCAGAGATCCCCTGATGGAGGTCTCAGGGTCCTACCACACCCATCCCAGAAAAAGAGCAGTAGAGAAGTCCTCCAAGCAGCCTAGAGTGGTTGCAGCAGAAGCAGCCAATCAGGCCATAAAGAAAGGCACTGCAGAGCCAGATACAGTCAGTTCCTTGCTGGAGCCAGAGGAGTACAGCTGGTCGTCCTAACTGGCCAAAGGGAACTGCAGCACTAGGGACAGCTCAGTTCTGGCAGGGACCATGGCAGCGAGGAAGAGCTCCTGGCTGGCTGCTGGGCCTGAACTTAGATGAGCCCTGAAGTAAGGGTGATGATTTGGTGAAGGCTGGGGCTGAGGGGAAGTGGCCCAAGGAACTGAAAGCAGTGTAATTAAAGGGAAACAGTGGCATGTGACTGTTATTTTTAGGGTCCCTGGGCTGGGACCCAGAGTAGTGGGCGGGCCTTGGTCTCTTCCCCCCCTCTCCCCCATAGGTCACTGGGGAACAGACCTACAATCGGACAATGATAAACCCCAGAAAAAATGAACTGCTTAGTGGCCTGGCTGGAGAGCTGGGGCCAGAGTAGGCCAAGAGGGCGAAACCATTGCCTTCAGGGAGGAAGCCCTGGGGGTACAGCCCAATAACAGGGCCGGGATTATTTAAAGACTGTGGACACTGCCAACCAGAAGGGGCGTTCGCGAGAGGTTGGTGCCACGCTGTTACAGGGTCCTATCTGGTAATTCTGAGTTTTGCTAACTTTGATAGTGACCTTTTCTTGTTAAAGCAAATATGATTACATAAATATGCTCTGTTCAGCGGTCTAGAATTCAACCACTGTGTCTCAGCGTGGAACCAGATCCTGATTTGATGAGACACGATGATATAATCTTCTTAGCTCAAACTGATCTCCCGTCTGTGCTGTTCTAGCTTTCTATCCCAGACTCTCTTCTCCTTCCTACCCCCCAGAAGTCTGCATGAAATAAGGAAGTACATCTTTCCCTGTGCTCACTTGGAAGGTGGCCCACAGCAGGTTTCCATGGGAGTTATTACATAAGATAAGAGTGCACAGTCAACACCCAAGGATGAGCTCTCTGACTATAGCCTTGTAGTTAATCAAACGTAGGGAGTCTTAGAGAGATTAACAAAAGACGAAGTGTTATAAACTAAAAATTGAGACCATGGTTTACTTAGTATTAGAAGACTCCCATTCTAGTGATCTCCTTTATATTTTAGGATCTAGTGATTCCTTCCATGGATAAGAAGGAATTTTTTCCAGCCCTCTATGCGCTGAGTAATTGCATTGTGGGTAGTAGCCTGTTATAAGCAATTTAGTACTTGCTTCTACCACTGATCATACCACTGGTCTGGCAAATCCTGTTTTCCTTCTTTGAGTGCTGGTCCTTATGTATATTCCACTGTGTGTATGCATGCACTATAGGCACTCAGAGTCAGAGAATTCTGGAAAGCAGTGTCCGTTGGTCCACCATGTGCCCTTACAAGATAGAGCTTTATTCCAGGCTCTCATTTAGGAAGGTAAGTTGGTTGCCAGGACTGCTCTTCAATCAGCAGTAGATGCAGCAGATTCATCTTCAAGTTCAATAGCAAGTGCCACTGTGATGCTCTGTGAATCATGGCGTTGCACTTCAGGGCTTCCCAGGGAAATCCAGAACACCTGCTCTTCAATGAAACTCATCTTTTTAACCAAAAGACAAATAAGTCCTTAAACATTCTAAAGCTGTATATATTCCCATTCCCAGGGAATATATACATCTGCCCTGAAGAGAACATTCCACATGCAATCATACAAGCCTAGACTGATGGCTCAACAATTTTACTATCGGTTGTCTTATGAGCCACCCCGAAAGAGGCAAAAGGTTCAGATGTCCCATTTCCCTGCACCTTCTGTAGCCTCAACGTCATCCCAACCCCAGCCCTGTCTAAATGATATTTTTGATGGACTTCAGAACTGCAGACCAGTGAGTGATGCCACCATCTGCCGATTTCCACACATCCTTTGGGGATCACCTATCACTCTTTTTCGAAAAGTGGAGTGCAATAACAATGGACAAGTGGGTATTAAACATCATCCATTCTGGCTAGGCAATCAAATTTACCTCCCTGCCCTCTCCAAAACCCCATTGCTGCCTCTTTTCAGGGGTCATTTTCACAGAGATTGTCAAACAAGAAGTAGAGTCCCACCTACAGTGAGGAGTGGTAGAGCGGGTGTCTCTTCAACACCAAGGAAAGGGTTTTTATACAATATACATACTAGTAGCCAGAAAGAAGCGTGGCTGGAGACCCATCCTCAATCTATGTCATGTCAACTGGTTTATTTGCAAACTGAAATTTCACATGGTCATATTGGCATCTATAATTCCATCCTGAAAAAGGTATGGGGTTTACAGCTCTCAATATCAAGGATATGTACTTCCATGTGGACGTTTGTCCTGCTCACAGACTGGCCAAAGCCAATCAGAAAATCTTCAACTGTTTATCATCATAGCGGAAAAAGTCTCGTGTCAGGCAATATGCTTGCAGAGGATCTCTAAATGGATCTTGGACAGTATCTTACTCTTATTGGTTGTCTCATCTTCCTCCCACTCATGGGAGGGGGAGGGCATACTACAAGAGCACAAGCAATAGCATCCTCACACCCTCCTCTTACTTGAGTACTGCTTGTCAATAACCCACAGTGGAACCCACATAAAGACCAGCACTCAAAGAAGATAAGTTACTTACCTAATAGTGACGAGGTTCTTCAAGATATGTGGTCTCTGTCTATAGTCAACTACCCACCCTCCTTCCCCTTTGCTTCACAAGATTCTTGGATTTGTAGTAGAGAAGGAACTGGAGAAGCGGTCAGTCTGCTCCGTCCTTTACCTCCTCAGTCAGAGGCATAAGGAGAGCGAAGGCACGTACGCAGACCACAAGACACTGCTTTCTAGAATTCTCCCACTCTGGGTACATGGAGCATGTGTATGCACAGTGGAATACCGATAGGGCCCACATGTCTTGAAGAACCTGTAGTTACTATAAGGTAAGTAACTTTCTCATTTTTATAAAACTTCTCTGGTATCTATCTTAATCTCTCTTGATTCAGAATAAGAGTGGAGAGATGGGGAATATTTCTAATTACTCAAAAATTCCATCCCTCCATTCTTAAATTCTCCGTAGGAGATCGATTGAGCCTACAATCTTAGGTTTATGGCAGTGTTGATAAAGATCCAAGTTTAGAGCTACTGCTTTTATTTCCTGCTAAATAGAAGCCAAGCCCTGATATATTTGAGGTGACATCTGGATCTACAAGGATTTTAAGAGTTTGAGCATGTGGTTCTAGGTCTAATTTTAGACCTTTTTAGATCCCTCTCTCGGAACTCTTTATTGAGGGCATTTTGGGTGGCAAAGGATCTCTTTGTATATTCTCTTAACCAAACTTGAACTAGTTGTTCGGATTTTTTACAAAGAGTGCTGCCACAAATGTAAATGAAATCTGCAGTATTGGCCTAATGTGCCGTTACCCAACAAAGTGGGTTTCCTCCACAGGATTTTTGTGGGGAAAAACACTTGGTGAGATGAAATTTGTGAGGTGAAATGTGTATGTGTAAATAATCTGTTGTATTTTTAAGAATTACAATTTTTTATGCTTGAATAAAAACCCAGAAAATTGATTTGTTTATTGGAATAAAACTTGCCTTGCAGACCTGAGCAAATAGTAAGATGGTTATCATATTGGTCGTTCAAAAGAACAGAGCAGAGAGACAGGATAGCATGCCTATACTAAAAGCTAAAACAAAGCCACAGTATGCATTCAATGACGTGAGCTGTAGCTCACGAAAGCTTATGCTCAAATAAAGTGGTTAGTCTCGAAGGTGCCAAAAGTCCTCCTTTTCTTTTTGCGAATACAGACTAACACGGCTGCTACTCTGAAACCTTTGAAGTTGTAGTTTTACCTTGCTGGCAATGGAGGGTAGTATGAATCTGTGTTCTGCGTCCTGCTGCAGTAATTGAGGAGTGCTGCTTTCTGATATTAGTTTGATGCTGTATTATCTAACATCAACTGAAAGTAGTTATGACCTTGACAGAACTGAACTGCTAAGTTAAATTGCCAGCCCTTAGCAACTATCGCCTAACACAGGGGTGGCCAACCTGTGGCTCCGGAGCCACACACGGCTCTTCAGAAGTTAATATGCGGCTCCTTGTATAGGCACTGACTCCGGGGCTGGAGCTACAGGTACCAACTTTCCAGTGTGCCAGGGGGTGCTCACTGCTCAGCCCCTGGCTCTGCCACAGGCCCCGCCCCCACTCCACCCCTTCCCACCCCATCCCCTGAGCTTTCCATGCCCTCGCTTCTCCTCCCCCCCCCCGAGCCTCCTACATGCCACTGAACAGCTGATTTGGGAGCTGCAGGAAGGGAGGGGGAGGCACTGATTGGGAGGGCGGGGGCGCTGCCAGTGGGAGGTGCTGGGAGCAGGTGGGTGGGAAGCTGATGGGAGGGCTGCTGACGTATTACTTTGAGTGGTAGCCGTGTTAGTCTGTATCAGCAAAAACAATGAGTCGTCCTTGTGGCACCTTAGAGACTAACAAATTTATTTGGGCATAAGCTTTCGTGGGCTAAAACCCACTTCATCACAAAGCTTATGTCTCTAAGGTGCCACAAGGACGACTCATTGTTTTTGACATATTACTGTGGCTCTTTGGCAATGTACATTGGTTAAATCATGGCTCCTTCTCAGGCTCAGGCTGGCCACCCCTGCCCTGACAGTAAGGACTAGAATCTGATACCAAAATGATGGGTAGGGCTTAATTAAAAGAACAGAAGTCTCTGCATAAGCAGCTCCCCTTGGAGATTTCAGTAGGAGGTGTGTACATATAAGGACAGAATGTGGCCTATGGGCAATGTAATGTTGTCCTGCCATGGTGCTCCAGGAGCATATTGTCAAGATGCTCTATAGTGTGCGAGAGCATGATCAGGTTTGAAGGTTTCTTTTCTAATTCTGGTTGCAAAAGGTGGGAAAAATTTACTTTTAGAAAAGAGAAAGCATTGCAGAAAGTGCTTGGTCTGCAGTCTGAAAATTTTTCCCCCCTGAGTTAAGACCTTTTTTTTTTTTGGCCAGGGCCTGAGATCATACATATGGTGCTGATAGTATTGACCTGTTTCTTTCAATTGTGATGGTCATTTGTGTGCATGGGCTTTTAATAGATTTTAAATGTTTCATCATCAGACGTGTCAACATTTTAATTTAATTGAAGAACCTTTTGAGACCAGTCTCAAGTCTCTTCAAATCCTGTTTTCTCCTATTTATAATCACTTCATATTTTTTTAGTTAATTAGCATCCCTTAAAACTTGCTCTGTCATGCATATACTAATTTGAGTATTAGGTTACTGACTCTGAAGTTAAATATCAATAAATAACTTGACATAGGGATAACAGTATATTTATACATATACCTACACATCAATGAATGTTTGCAAAATCCTTTCTATTTATTTAATCATCATTTGGCCCTATGTCTGTGCCTGTTCCCTTTTATTTAAAAATACCATAGTAAACATTGCAAAAGTTTGTGTTCCTTAACATGTTTACCAGTTATAGCTATGCACTCTTGTTCCATTAATGGAAAGTATTTTGACTGGCTGCTTATCTCTCGAAGAAGCTGTTTCAGAGCTGGTGTACGTTACTATGTGAGAGGTAAGATGATGAATAATGCAACCACTGCTGGAACAGTCAACATATCTGTAACTCGTTAATTTCTTATTTTCAAATGGCATAGGTATTTAACCACTTACATTACTGTTGTGTTCCATTCTGTCACAACCTGATGTAATTTTTGTGCCAAATATTTTACTTCAGTGTAATAACTGGACAGAAAAACATCCTTGAGCACAAAACTGTAGTTTCATCTACAGATGCATCTATTAAACTGCAAACCTCATTTATTGCTCCTTGAGGCATTTGATTTATGTTTAGTCCAAAAATTTAAAATGATGAGCATTTTAAATGAAACACTGGACAATACTGATTATCCTGTAAATAAGCTGGTGGTATTTACTTCAGTAAAATACCTTACATAACATTTTCAGACTAATAAAGAACTTTACAAGAAAACATTCTCATGTGCAGGGAAAGAAAAGTTAAGCTGGGTTCCACACACACACACACACACAAAAGCCTAACTACAATTTTCATGTGTGTTTGTTTGTTTGGCATACAATCCTTGGCTGTCTGTTATGTAGCAGTCCGCTTTTCGCTGATTTCAGGCCAAAGGCTGAAAAGGAAGCAGACTGAAGTACTTTCTCCTTACCAGTCTCTGCATGTTATGTTGAGGTGCACTGAGGAAGTGTGGACAAACTTGTTGCTCCTTGTGCTGTAATTTTCCCATTGGAAAGATAAATTTCAGTGTCTGCGTTTTGGCATCTTTGTTCAGTATTAAAATAACCTAAGTATTTTTTAAGTTAGACTATTAAGAAGTGCTGGCAGTATAATAAAGGCCCTGCACTGACTGAATGATAGCAATATCTAGGTCTGCTTTTCTGAAAAATCCATACCCCTGAGCAATTTTAGCTATGTCAATCTAACCTGCAATGTAGATGCAGCTAAGTTAATGGAAGAATGCTTCCATCAGTGTACCAACTGTCACTCTGGGAGGTGGTGTTCCTACGCAGACAGAAAATCCCCTTCCATTGCTATATGCCACATCTACACTATATAGTCGTGCAAGCATAGCTACAGTGTCGTAGATATGCCATAATAGTCTCCATAGTGTGGACATACCCCAAGTCTCTGCTTCATGAGCTGACAGTGTCTCAGAGGGTGGCTTTGATCTACAGAGGACACAGATTTCACTTATCTTCTGGCTATTCTGTATTGTTTCATCTTACTAACTGAAAAATGAGACCCCAATTCAAACCTAAAGCAATGGTGTTTGTGGCCGGCTGTGAACTGGATTCTGTTTTTTCTAACTCAGGTATTGATTCAGAAGGCCATGCAGCTAATTTTGTTGAAACGGAACAAATTGTACATTACAATGGGAGCAAAGCTTCATTTGTCCAGGTAAATTCAGTGGTTTATCAGAATTGATTGCATGACTAGCTTAAGTTCAGCTGGCAAGTCCTTTATTTTCTTGTCTGCCCAAAACCTGATTTTACATTTAACAAGAAAAAACAAGTTAAAATACAGATGTCAGGAAGGTGTACTGAACAAGAACATGAAATTGCATTTGTTATTTAAGTATCCTTTTCCTTTGTTTTCCAGACCCGTGGATCAATTCCTTTTTTCTGGTCACAGAGACCAAACCTCAAGTATAAGCCAAAGCCACAGATCAGCAAAGTAGTAAATCATGTATGTGTGTTTCCTTGGTTGTGTGGTGGTAAAATGGAATTCAGTGTTTGCATGGATATAATGTGGTAATAAACTTAACATTGCTGCGACTTCTCATTAACATACAGTATACTGTTTAAATCTGTTCTTAATATAAAAGTCAAACCGTACCTTTAAAGTTGAAGTAGCAAGAGGCTTGGGCCAGTGTACTAGCTTTTTTATCCATGGAGTCTTTGGCTCAAAGCTTGAATGAGGTCATAAGTATAAATGAATGCAGTCATCTCTTCCTGGTTCTCATTTGTGTACAGTGATAAAAACCACTGCATTATTTGGCACAACTAGTAGTTTATACAAGGGAAGCCCAAGGCTGTTGCAGATGAGAGCTGAAGTGCATTGACAGAGTGGAGTGCAGATATTTGCCTCATTTAAGCACCACATTCTCATTCAGAAGACGACTTGTTGTGTTACATTACAAGAATCCCTTAATGTAGCAGTTTTAGTAATTTACAGACCTATGCATCTCTAAAGACCTGTGATGTCACTTTTTTCTCCTCTGTTTTCTAGATGGATGGCTTCCAAAGACATTTTGACTCTCAGATAATTAGCTATGGAAAACAAATGATTGTTAATTTGGTATGCCTTTAATTATTCTGCTTAGTTGAATTGTTTGCCTCTTCTTTTTAAACAAATTTGAATGATTGATTGGTATTACCATTTCATTTTTCACAGGTTAACCAGAAGGGCTCAGAGAAGCCTCTTGAACAAACATTTGCAAAAATGGTAAACAGCTTGGGAAATGGAATGGTCAGGTACATGTGAACTGAAATTATGATACATATGTGTATATTGTACATGTCTGGCTCCTTTTAACAAGCCTAAATTAAAAGTGTGATCAAATTGGTCATGGGGCCCTTATAAAATAATTTAACTTGCATGAGAATTGCATTTTTTAAAATACACATTGATACTGCACTGCAGGAAAAGGATATGGTCCCTGCCAGAAGAGTTTGCAATCCAACTGGAAATGATAGGCATGGGATGCATGTAAAGGGCATTAAGACAGGACAACAGCATAAAAAGAAGGGAGTATGAGGCTTACAGTAATAAGAGCACATTGTTGTTTTGGCTAGTGGTGTGTCTTGAAAGTTCTGCTCGTTTCTTTAAAGGGCAGGTGAGTGTTTTATTGACTTCATGGAAGAAATGCACTTCCAGGATGAAAGAGGTGAGGCATTGCAGACCAAGGGGTTCCAGGTGTGAAGTCACATGGAAAAAAGACACCAAGACAAGGTCATTAGGTGTGCAGCCTAAATGGAGCGTAGGGGCCATAGGAGTGTGGAAAGCACATAAATTATTGTTAAATGTTCATGATTGCAGAAGTTGCAGGTGCATGGGCAGTTTAACAATGGCGATTCATCATTTTAAAACAGTAATCTTCACTTATTGACTTGCTTTCTCTTTAACCATGTTCTTGAATATTGAGAGAATAATATGGATTTTCCACAAAGCTTAAAATTTTTATTTTTTTCATCTCAGAGATTCTCCTGTAAGGGACTTAGACATTTGTTCGTGTCAGGAGTCCCTAACAAGTTTAGGGGCCAAATCCTGCCCTCTAGAATGAATGCATAATTCTTAAGGACTTCTGTAGAACATGCACATTTAAGGGCAAAATTTAGCCATGAATGCAGTTAATCTTACTTGTATAGTATGCATTTGCATTGAATTTTTAGTTGTTTCCGTTCGATCGATCCCCATTTTACAAGGCTCTTACAGAAGGACAGGGAATTAGATTACTCACGTTTTTCTGCACCTTGCTGCCCTCTGCCCCTTCCAACGGTTGCAGTAGTTTTGCTGTAGATTTGCATATTTACGCATATATGTTGATTTGTGAAGAGGAAGACATGTTTTTAAGAGCACTTCCAATGTAGAGTTTCTGTTCAGTTTTCAAAGCTGGTATTGGTTACATCTTTAAGAGATAAATGACTTGTGGGATTCCTTGCACTACTTTCTGTAGAACTAAAAGCCATTTTACAGAAACTGAAGTGTAAAATCCTATCTCTGGCCTGTTTTTTTTCTCAGTTGTAAGTTCCGCAGATGTTAACATTTAAAAAATTTAAAAATTTAAAAATTTTTTGCTAAAAATAGGGTTTTGCTACTTTAATTGCTTTGCATGGCACCTCCTGCCATCAATAAACATTCACAATTTATGAATGCCACCTCCAGTCCTGCACAAACCATCTATAAAAGTCTTTTGTTTTTTATTAAACAGTTCCCCCACCCCCACCCCAAGAAACTTACTCCTGTTGTCTACAGCAAAGGCATACTTTTGCACCCTGAACTTGTTTAATTTCTCTGCCCTTGTTTGATCTCGTCTTAGCCTCTTTGTATAGACTCTGAACTCTTATAACTTGGTGACTCTATCATTTTTAATTTCCTATTTGGAAATGAGCACCCTGTTGCCATTAACTGGTGGTGGTTGTTTTTTGTTTGTTAGGGCTTGCTGTTATTTGATATTTGACCTCTTACTGCCAGTTTACTGAATTTTGCCAAACTTTTCTCATTGTGGCCCACCTGCTTTTTGTCCTGTTTCTGCCTTTCTCCTCTTCTAATGTTCCCATACTCCACCCATTCATTCCTTTGTACATTATATACTAGCCCCATCTCTTTGCCTCTGTTTCAGGAAATATATAAATATAATTTCTAGCTTTTTAAACTACATACAAAGCAGAAAGCAGCTTAGAAAAAAGCAAATGCAGATCCATCTGGCCATCCTTCCTTCCCCGTGTTGTCTCGTAAATATGGTAAACGAACACTTGGATTGGAAGCACTTCAGGACAGGGACCATGTCTTTTTAGTTAAGTTGCCATACCCACGTCCCTGCACCTTTTTGGGGAAAAGATAATTAGACAGAAGTGATTTTGTAAAATACTAGTGAACATGAGCTTCCTTATCCTGCTTCCAGAGTGGTGGGATCATCTAAAGCAGTGGTTCTCAACCAGGGGTCCGGGGCCCCCTGGGGGGCCGTGAGCAGGTTTCAGGGGTCTACCAAGCAGGGCCAGCATAGACTCGCTGGGGCCCAGGGCAGAAAGCTGAAGCCCCACCGGATGGGGCTGAAGCTCAAGGCCTTGAGCCCCACCACCCGGGGCTGAAGCCAAAGCCTGAGCAGCTTAGCTTCACAGGGACCCCTGTGGCATGGGGCCCTAGGCAGTTGTCCTGCTTGCTACCTCCTAACTCAGGCCCTGGCTTATATATGCAGAAAACCAGTTATTGTGGGACAGGTGGGCTGTGGAGTTTTTATAGCATGTTGGAAGGGCCTCCGAAAGGAAAAGGTTGAGAAACCCTGATCTAAAGGAGTGCAGAAATTTGCATCCTTAAAATGTGCAAGGTGACATTTTGGAAGAGGACAGAAAAGAAGAAAACACGTCCTTTTGATATTTATGGAACCCAGTTTTAAAGAATTGCTCTTAAATTTTGGCTGATGTTGACAAATCTTCATCTGAAGAAGATCATTTCTCTGCACTTCAATATTTATCAATCTTTTTTTCTTTTGAAAAAATTACCTTTTTAAAATACAATTGTACTGTGATCTCTTCAGAGCAGTGAAGAATGCCGTGAATTTATTTGATCAGATGTGCTTGTCTCTGAATAGATATATAGCATTTGACTTTCATAAAGAATGCAGTCGAATGAGGTGGGACCGACTCCAACTTTTGATGGATCAACTCTCAGAACAACAAGATGAGTTTAGGTAATCTGTCTCTCTATAGCACCATGTGGTCATCTTGTGGTGGCTAGCATAAAGTGATAGATTGTTAAATGCCCAGCAGATTCATAGAGCAGAATCTATATTCTCAAAAGTAGATCACTTTCTCATATGGATTCTATGGCCTTGAGTTGAAGAAGATGCATATGCAAATGAGATAAAGATTACAGGGTGGAGTCTGCAGATATCTTTGTGTGATCTCTCACTCCTGCTCAGCAGCAAAGTAGAGGCCTTAATGTGGTTTATAATGCACTCACTCACCATGGTTTTGCTTCTGTGAAGGAGAATTAAATGTCTCTCTTGGTGAAGGGATTTGGGGGGGTAAACACAAGTCTGCCTATTACATGGGAATGAGAAATTACCAAGCACAACTGCTTATCTGTTTTCAGTGTGGTAATTTCATATGCAGTGTTAATGCCATACCTGAGCAACCAGACACCAACCCTTCCTGACTCTTTTTATTTATTTTTATTTTTTTGGATTCACAGAAAAGTAGCAAATGTCCAACTTGATTTGATGTCCTTTCCCCCAATAAAGTTATTTCATATATTAAATGAATTTGTATGATCTATATGAAGTTGTTGCTTAATGCATTAGTCTTTATTTTATTATTCACCGCTCACAGATTTACAGGTTATGAAGTGAAACCTATTTACGTTGTAGTTCTGCTTCTTTGAAGATCTCATCATCACTGTTTGGGTCTCAAGTCTACGGCATGAGGCAGACCAGGAACTCCTATATCTAGTGATTTGACGGCTACACCCCCACTTCCACACAGGTTGTTGTCTGCCCCTGTAATGTGAGGAACAGCCCACTGAAACCTCTCCCAGTTCCATTTATGAATGAAAGCTTGAACCACTGATCTAGGCCGACATAAATGCCTCACTCTGTACGGATAGTACAAACCAAACATGCTCCTGAGGATAGCAATACATATATAAAAACCTGAAAAGGAGCAGCCCATAAAGTCTGAGAGGACGTGAACAGAGAACAGTCATGTGAGCCCTTCAAAGAAGCAGAATGAACAAGTAATTTTGTCTTTAAAATACCACCTATATAGGATTCTCAACCCTAGAATGAGTAACTGAGACATGTCTTAAAACTAATAATACACTGTAGCATGTAGTGAACTATGTAGGCATATGCCAAAACCAATCAGCTTTCTTTAAATAAAGGGATGGAACTGATGTCTCAAAATAAGGCATTACACAACATTATTTGATTTGTTTTTTGAGGAGTCCTCAAAATATGGCTAACACTAGGGGGCTGGAGAGTTTGGGCTCTCTTGAAAATTAGATTCTGCAGGCCTGAGACATAGAAGCAGAATTCTTCTCTTGAGGCTGAAGCCAAGTCTTTGTAATTGTGTAGTGTAAGGATTGTGTTATTACCATGTGTACATCATGATTACAACATATACTTGAAGCTGGAAGTGGAACCTGCTCTTCTTCCGAAAGGTAATACCAAGGTTCATAGCAACTGCAAGTAAGTTATTGTCGTGTGTAATGCAATAGGATAACCATTTAGACACTGTTCTTGATAATGCTATGTATTCACTATCTGCTACGGAAAGAAAAGTATAAATAATATGTTATCAAATAAAATTAAACACATATGGCAAAGAATTTAACTTGGGAAAAGATTCTGTTTTGGGTAACTAAAGAAACCCGTTAAAGTATGCAGTCGCAGAACATATTTTGAAGTGGATTATTTTAGGTACCTATTTATATACACACATTTAAATGTGTCGTGGATCTTAGTTATTTTCTAGTTGATTCTGATGGTAAAGTGGTGACTCAGCAGGACGGAATATTCCGCAGTAATTGCATGGACTGCCTGGACCGGACTAATGTGATTCAGAGCCTATTAGCACGTCGTTCTCTGCAAGCACAGCTTCAGGTCAAGATTTTTTCTAGTTTGCTTTTGTTTTTCAAAGCTCTCTCTGTGCGGGAGGGAGGGAGGATGGATCCTCTGTTGGGGATTAAGTACAACTAAAGTTTGTAGCAGCTTACATTCATAAATTTCTTTAGTTCTTAAAGACCTGCTTGATATTAAAATGTACTGTCCAGCTAAAAGCTGGACGAAAAAGCTATGTCCCATATAAACTTAAATATTGACTTCCTCTGAGTTGCTATTGAATTGTAGTGTGTTTTTTGTTCTAGAGGCTAGGTGTTCTGCATGTTGGACAGAGAATTGAAGAACAAGCAGAATTTGAAAAAATCTACAAAAATGGTAGGTTTGTCTTTAAAGTTAAATGGTCCTTATTTGAAAAACAGTAAGTCAGCCTTTTTTAAAGGAAAACGGACATAATTCTATTTCTCTGTTCACAGCATGGGCTGATAATGCAAATGCTTGTGCCAAACAATATGCTGGAACTGGTGCCTTAAAGACAGACTACACAAGGCAAGTTAGAGACGATTATGTTTTGAGGACAATGCATTTTTGTAACTTAATTATCTACAGCTTGAAATTTCAATTTTCCAGACACACATTAACATGTAAGGTTTCAGAGGAACAGCCGTGTTAGTCTGTATTCGCAAAAAGAAAAGGAGTACTTGTGGCACCTTAGAGACTAACCAATTTATTTGAGCATGAGCTTTCGTGAGCTGTAGCTCACGAAAGCTCATGCTCAAATAAATTGGTTAGTCTCTAAGGTGCCACAAGTACTCCTTTTCTTTTTATTAACATGTAAGTTGGTAATATGAACTACCTCTTACTAGAAAAATTCAGCCTATGTCAACATGATATAATAAACAATAATATACCTTTTGTAGTTTAAAAAACCATTAAAAATCAGGAAATAAAATCAATATGGGTTTATAAAATATTCCATCTTGTTTTATTGCATGATGGAAAACTGAGTCTCTGAGAAACCATTTTCCTGACTTTACTCACAGATCTTTCCACCCTTTCTTAAAACTTTTTTTCATAAAAATCTACTGCCTATAGAAGTTAGAGTGCAGAGGCAGCACTAGGCAGTTGTATCTTTGTCCTTAAGTATAAATAGAAACTCTGTATGATTGTTAATACAAACCTGAAAGGATCATAAAACTGAACATCACTTGGTATAACTTTCTACTTTCAATTTGCAAACAGATTAGTTCTAATATGCTCATAAAACCACTTTTTTATAGAACTGGGAAGAGAACTCAGTGGGGTCTAATAATGGATGGCTGGAACTCATTAATACGTTACTACAAAAACAACTTTTCTGATGGATTTAGACAAGTAAGTTGGGTTTTTTCTTTTGCAAATAGATTCTTAGTCATTATTGCTATGCATTTTAACTCTGTATGTATGTTTCTGTTACAGGATGCTATCGATCTGTTTCTTGGAAATTATTCAGTGGATGAAGTAGAGTCTGTCAGCCCTCTACATACACAGAAGGACTGGAAGTTCTTGGCTGTAAGGATTTTTTTTTAATAAGCTTTGATTCACACTTTTTTGGAAACTAAATGCTTTGTTTGTTTCTTTTATTTGCTTCAGTAAACCTAAGTAGTTATTGACTGTTTGTTGATGTGGGGCCATTTGTGTCTTCTGGTCCTATTTTTTATAGTAGCCACTTACTGGAAGACTAAGTCCAGAACATCAGCCATGACACAAAGGGAGCATCCCTCAGACATGGAGTTGGAAGGAAAGGTGCTCTTTGGCCAATTGTGCCCCTGCTAGAAAGATTGGGATTCGTCTTGGATCTCTTGCTTTGTCTGTTCATTAAGAAAGAAAAGTGGAAGGGGATAACCATTTTTAATGTAATAAGAGCCATCATTGTTGATCTAAAAAAAATCATGAAGATGTCATCTCACAACATCAGATGCTGTATGCAGGCAAATACTGGTTTCTCTTCTCTTCAGTGTCAGTGCCAAGACAGTCAGGAAGGGGAGGCTAAGCACTTATTGAATTTCAGAACTGCAGTTATGACAAAAAAGATCACTGTGGAACACATGAGGGAATTGGAAAAAGTCGTGTGGAGAATACCTACACTGACCCCTTCTGTTCTGTACACTCAGTACACAAGCGGGATAGATTAACACTGGAGGCTTATGCAGGGTTGTTCAAATACCCAAACAGAACTAATGAACTTGATCTTTCAGTGAGCCTAAACAGGCAGAATCCAAGCATATTATCCTCTAATCTTAAATGTACAGTTAAAGAATTATTTAGATTAAGTCTAAAACTCAGAAGGAGACTCTGTTTTACCAAATCAGGACATCAAAGAAATGATGTAACTTTACCTGTTACAAAGCGAATTACAAATATAATTTCTTGAAGGAAATAATCAATACAATCATATATATCCTTTTTTAATTCTGTTTTTCTTCTTCCGCAGTTGCCTATTATTATGGTCGTTGCTTTCTCAATGTGCATTATCTGTTTGCTTATGGCTGGTAAGTCACTATTTGGCGTACATTTGCAAAATTCATTTGCAGCCATACACTTAAGATGTTGGAAGCTATTCACTGGGTATGTGCTTATGAGTTATGAGATATTCAAGTCATACCTCTAACCATACAACCTGGAGCTATGCTTTTCTGGGTCAGGCCTGGTCAGTACTTGGATGGGAAAGCTCAGATGCTACAGAGAGTAGTGCTGGACATTCAGCAGATAGCACTCTTCCCTCTGATGTTACTGCGGGATATTATGAGTAATCGCTTCTCCTTAACATGATGGTTGAATCAGGTATAAAATTGTTAGTTAATAATCCAATGGCACTTCCTAAAGGAGTAGAATTGAGAACACTGCCATCCACACCAACCCCCTATTTGGGTGGTTATGTTCTGCTTCCCTGAAACTCCCCCCTCTATATCAGTTGGTTAAGGTATTCACTTGGAGTATCTATACAATTGTGGGGGTAGGGAATCTCAGAGCCTAGGTCTGCAGACTGAGTCACGCTCTGGCACTAAAAATAGCAGTGTAGATGTTCCTGCTTGGGCTGGAGTTTGGTCTCTGAGACTCTCTTCCCTTGCTGGGTTTCAGTGCCCAAGCAGGAACATTTACATTACTGTTTTTAGCACCGTAGTGGGAATCCCGTGAGCCCGAGTCTGTTGCCCCAGGCTCTGAAACTTATTGCCACATGGCTGCTTTTTTTGCAGCGTAGATGTACCCTGAATGACCTAAACTCCTGTGTTGGTGTGTGCTGTTAAATCAGGGGTTCTCAAAGTGGGGGTTGCGAGATTACATGGGGGTCGTGGGCTATATGCCTCCATCCCCAAACCCTGCTTGGCCTCCAGCATTTATAATAATGTTAAATATAAAAAATGTGTGTTTTAATTTATAAGAGGGGTCACACTCAGAGGCTTGCTGTGTAAAAGGGGTCATGAATACAAAAGTTTAAAAAAAGTTAAATGGTTACCAATCTTCCTCCTGTTGCTTAGAGATTGACAGCATTTCAGTGGCAGGTCAAGTGTTGGCTATATAGGTCGTAAATCAGTTTGTTATGAAATTGCTTTGGAATCTCTCTGAATTAAGGGCTATATGAATGTCAATTTTTAGCCATTGTAAATTAGCCTTTGCTTAACTGTAGAACGTTAGTTTCCGAGCTAGAAAACTCTCAGAAGGAAATACACAGTACAAAATAACAGGCTCTAGTATATGTGAAGCTGATACGAAATTTCAGTTCTTGATCAAAGCTTCCTTATGAGCACTTTGCTAACTGTTTTCTTGTCACGCTAAAAATGATCTCTCCACTATTTATTGAAAATGACTTACTGTAATGTTTATCTGATTACAGGTGATACATGGACTGAGACACTGGCTTATGTGCTCTTCTGGGGAACTGCAAGCTTTGGAACTTTAGCTATCATCTTTTACAATGGCAAGGATTTTGTAGATGCACCAAAACTGGTCCAGAAAGAGAAGATGGACTGAATTTGTGTGTGTGGAAAGCGGCTTAGCATGGAGGACTCCTCAAGCCATACTTGGAGTCTCTACTGACCTGCTTTCCACACCAACTAGTGGTCTTTCTAGCTTTCATCTTTGTGGAGAGAAAAAGTAAATTGGGTCCTTCACTTGGTGGTGGTAATTTACAGTTGTGATCTGGTTTTACAGTTTTAGTCACAATGATCTTTGGAATATTGCATTAATTGGGGAGGTTGCGCTCATAACAAGATATTTTGGCTTTCACCTGTAAGTTTCATCAGTGTTGTCTGTGGAGTATTACAGAATATGAACTGGCCTACTAAGCTTACAGCCCAGCAGGGCAGTTTCATTCAAACATGATCTCATAATCTTAACCGAGATCTCTGGTTCTGTTCACGTGTCACCATATCCAGCTGTGGCAGTGTTAGTAATATAGAGTCACGTCATGTTCTTTGAGCTAATATAGCATTCCTACTAAGAAGTTTTCTTTCTAGACTTTCAGCTGGGTTTCATTTGTCATCATAAAAGCAGTCACTGTTAGCACGAGTCCTTTGCATATTTTCATTAGGGTAGAGAATCATACCTTACTGTCAAAATGCAAGTCTTCTGTTCTGCCTCATCTAGGACTGATGCAATATTTTATTAAATCATTGGGAGGGTGAGTTATTGGTGGACATTTCTGAAGTTGCAAATGTCTTGCACTACCTAACTACTGCAGTCTTCAGATGACTTTTTATTACAGCTATACAGCAATTTAAGTGTGATTCAGAAGGTCTCAAATAAGGTTGTCTTTTTTTAAGATGTAAATTAAATCAAAGAATGTAAAACTTCTTTACTGTGTTTATTGACCCTCATGCTAAAGGTCCAAAGTATTCCATAGTTAAAGAACAGTCACAATGTAGAAGGTACGCCTCATTGTTTTACTAATCACCTGCTTCTGTAGTTTATGGTTAAGTAGGGATAACCTGTGAAAGAAAGAATACAAATCTTTGAGGTGACAGTCTTCTGCTAAATTCCATGTTTGCACTTGAGGGAAGCAGCAGCAGCTTGCTTTTCATGCATGATAAAACTCTAAAAATTAAGCTATGAAAATAATTTGTTCTGATTATCAGTAAATGTTTGTCTTTAAATTTAGTGCTTCCAATCTACATAAAATAGCTAATCTGAATCAAGGACCAATTTTAAACTATTTTATCACTTATTTTATGATTTCTGTTCAAACCAGACCTGAAATTTGCTTACGGCACTGTGCATTGCTTAATATTTCCTGTAAGTACAGTTGTATATCCAGATTGCAATTATGAAGATTAAATATTAGGAAAAAAAAGTAGAATACTAGGGTTAGCACGGTTGTCATTAATGCCCTAGAACACAAAACACTGCATCATCAGTGTTTCATTGTGTTATGATTGAAAATATGTACAGTTTTTTGCAATAACTGTTCATTTTAACCGTGAATGTTTCTGAAGGCCTCTTTGGGTTTTGTTAAACATTACCTGTTCATAAGCACTAGTAATAAAAATGCAGAGTTCCTGTTTGCTTTTAGATGCTACAATGGAAATACCAGTTGACAGTTTAACTGAGAAATTCTCTGTAACTTAATCTCAGACATCAACTCCATAATGGGGAAGAAAGTATAAGAACTCTATAGTTAAATATTTAAATAATGGTTTGTGTGCCTCTTTGGCGGGTGATGTTTTGAAATTTAGCTCAACTGTCTTACAGTGTGTATCTAAATCTTTCCGTGCATCTCCCGTTAAGAGTTTGTTGCAACAAAGACCAAACCTGGACTGCTAATATAACCACATTGCAAGAACTAGGTTTTGAGACTTGGAAGGGCATCTGTATTCCAATGCTTTGTAAGGAGATTGTATTTCTAAATTCACATATGGTGTACTCATAAATGACGACAATAAAACTTTAATCTTTTCTAGATCCTGATCGTTCCATTTCTGTATTTTAGTTGAAGGGTTAAAAAAATGCAAACTTTAAACATTGTTTCTTGGAAACTGCTGTTCATCAGAAAGGTACATTCTGAGTGGTTAATCTCTACATACAAAATTAAAGGCCTTCTATTTTTATACTTAATCCACTAAAAGTTTAGTTTAAAACTAAGATTTTAATTAGCATTTGTTCCATTTGCCTCTGCCAAGTATGGATTTTACCTTTCTGAAAAAAGAAGTGTTTGGGAGACAAAGGAGAAGTTTAGAAATAAGATCTGAAGTTGGACTCCCTACTTGAGTCTATTCTTTGTCCCTCCCTTTACAAGGCCATTTTAGACTACTGTTCTTGATTGGCTCTCAAAGTGTTAGACACATGAGGTGAATACTGCACATCTTATTCTTCAGATAAACTGCTAAAGTAGTGGTATTACAATCAGCTCCTTCTATATTTGCTTTCATGACCTTTTTGTATCCGCAGAATTAGAGGAATGATAAACTACCAAGGAATCACATTTATCAGAAACCTGCTAGAAACAGATCCCTGAAGAGGGGGGCACTCATGTATGTATTCCAAAGATTCAGAAGAGGATGTTTCTGAACTCTGAGTCTAAACTTTTGGCAGACTTTGGACTCTAGCCCTTAAATTTAAGAGAGACCAACCATAAATGTATATCAAGATGATACTGAACTAGCAGTTACTATGGATGATGATTCTGTTCCTCCTTTGGCATTTTTGAAAAGGGTGGGTGAAATAATAGAAAGTGTGACAAGGTGAAGATAGTATATGTGAGCTGTACAGTAGAAGAATGTCCGTAATTCATTGAAAACAGGCACATCTGAATTTACAGAAGCTTTTTATTTCTGTTTGTTCCAGTTTGACAGTACAAATGCACCTTAAAAACACCACAATCTACAGCTACTACTGCATATCAAATTTAAATGGGATACTGAAATGCATCCAATTCTCCACTGTAGAGTAGCAGCTAATCAGACATCATTCACAAAAGTGGGAAAAGGGGAATTTTGGTTAACAAGGCTTTTTCCTTAAAAATGCCATGGAGTCTCTACTGCCAGTGCAAAGTAGCTAAGACCTTGGTTATTTGTTTTGTTTTTTTAAAGTATCATGTTTAACTAAGGGTACAGAGCTAAAGTAGAAATAAGTCAATATTTTATTCAAAATCCCTTTTATTTGTTAAATGCTGATTGTAGAATACTCATCTCTACCATCGTGGAAACAATTACATATTTTCTTTCAATTGGCATTGTGATAGAGGTATAGGGTGACCATACATCCTGTTTTAGCTGGGACAATCCTTTTGAGCCCTGTCCTGGATGTCCTGACTATTCTCCTCCCCTGCCTCCCCCCAAACTGAGCACTTGTCCTGTTTGCTTTCTGCGCTGGGGTGTGGTGGGGAGAGCGAAGGGACAAATACCCAGTTTTGGCAAAAAAGTCAGGCTGTCGGCTCAGGTGAGTGGTAACCCCAGCTGCCTCAGGCTGACAACCCCGCAAGTGGCAGGGCTGGGGCTGATAGCCCCATAGAGGGGGAGGTGTCCCATTTTCAGTTTGGGAAATAATGGTCTACATCAACAGGGGCGCCATATTACTATTTATTGAGTGTGGTGCTATAAATAAACCTGTAGGTGAAGGGGGTTCGTTGGCACAAAAGTTTAGTGTTTAGTTCATGCACCTAGTGGGGCCAGAAGTATGGCACTAACCGCGCTCTGTACAGGGCGTGCTGCAGTACAGCTGTAGTGGTCAGGTAAGTTTTGATCTTTATACCTGCCTGGTAAAGTACACTGCATTCCGAATCAAGGTTGCAACCCCTGCCTAGGACCAACCACCCTGGGCAGAGTTGGGCTATTTGAAGCCTGACGGCGCCTGCTGTGCACGGAGTCTCGGGCAGCCTGCCCGGGGTTGCCGGCACCCAGGCTCAAATGGGGACTAGCCTGCAGAGCCCTGCTGACCCTTGCGGCGGGCTGGGCCCTCCCGCAACTCTCCACGAACCCAAGCGGGGGCAAGGCACCCGGGGGGAGGGGGCGAGCCGGCCTAGCAGCGCCCCACCCAGCCCTTAGCAAATGAATAAGGGCTGCCGGGGCGGGAAGGGGCCGAAGGCTGGAGCCACTCCGTGAGTGCGCTACCTCAGGCCTCCGGGCCGCTCTTAATGGGAAGGCTCTAAGCGGGGGCTCAGCCTGACCCCTGCCGACCCAGAGCCCCCGCCCCCGGCGCAGCTGCTGCCACCACCGCCTGGCTCCGGCTGTTCGGCGCCGCCCGGCGGAGATAAAGGGCTGGCACCAGCGCGCAGGCGCGTCGCCAACTCGCCCCGGCTCGGCAGGGGGCGCTTAAGCCCCGCCTCTTCCACTCATATCCGGGTGCGAGGAGAGTCACTTCCGGCCAGTGCGTTTCTTTCATCGAGCGCCGGAGCGGCCTGGTCTGAGGCCTCCGCACCGAGCTCAATTTTTTTTCCCTTCCCCGCTGCCGGGGTTGCCGCCCTGTGGTCCCGGCCGGCTGGCCTGACGCCCCTGCTCCGCCGCCATGAAGCTCGTGAGGTGAGATGGGCCCGGATGGAGGCGGATTGGGGGTTAGCGGGCAGCGGCGGGAAAGGCGCGCGCTGGGCCGGAGCATGAACCTTCCCCCGTCTCGTGCCGCTCTGGCTGCTCGCGCTCCTCTCTCTTCCGCCCCCCCCCCTTTCCCCCGCTCGCCTCGCGCCGCTGTCGCCCCGGGCTCCCCGTTTCACGGCGGGTGCGAGCAGGGGCCCAGTTGCCGCCACGCCCGGAGCAGGCGCCGCCTGGTAGCGGCCCTGCTCTCGACGAGCCGGCCCGGGGGCGCGAAGGGCTGCCAGGCAGGGCTGTGCCAGGGAGCCCCCTCCCCCTACAGCGCGCACCTGAGCCGGGGACTCGAGGGTGGCCGCTCCCACCCGCCCCCGATCCTGCCCCACTCCCGCAGCGCGGGGTTGCTCCCGTCCTCCTCTCCCCCCGCGGCTGCTTCTTTCCCAGGCACCCCCCTAAGGAAACTGATGTTTAACATCACGCACTTGGGTTGCGCGTCTCTGGGTTAGGTTTTTAGCTGCATAGTTCTTGCTGGGCTCTGACCTTCGCTCTCTGGTTGTGACTCCATGGCTACTTGCGCTTTCTTCCTTAGCCAGCAAGCAAACATGAATCCGGTTATTGATTTAAAAAAAAAATGCCATCGCCCAATCTGGTGTCATCATTTCCCGCGTATTTTAAAGCAGCCCTCAATAAGTTATACAATTGTTTACTAGCCAGAAGATTTATTCTCTGGTAATTGTGAGTTTGGGGGGAATAAGGAAAACTTTGGCTGGCTTCTCAGAGCTGCTAAATTCAGCAAGAGAGGGACTCCCTACTCCCAGCTAATCCACATACAAAAAGCATTCATGCAGTGCTTGTAAGTGCTGCTATGTCAGGGCATTCCCATCTGTCATATTTAACTTAAAAGAAAAAAAAGCAAGTATGGCAGTGGATTTGTAAAAATCCCAACAGCTTCCCTTTAAAGCAGTGTTTAAAGTGCTAATTAACCCCATTAAACAATAATTCAAACAATTTTAAAAAACTAAGTTCTTTTTCACTTTTGGTACTGTTCACTTCTTGCACTTCATTCAGATTGTACAAATGAAAATAGGTTAATTTCTTGTATTGTCGCTTTCACTTTAAGGTTCATAAATGTTAGCACAATTCAATGGTGTTTGGGCTACAATGACTGTTTCATGCAAATGAGTTATTTAACAAATATCTTTACCATTGACAGCTTTGTAAAACCATTTTTAACTAAACAAATTTTGGGATAAACTAGCCTGTCTCTGTTTAGGTACTGTTGTCCTAACTGTAAGAACCGTTGATAATGGAAGGGATTGCTAAGGGAGGTTTGTGGAACCTCCTTCACTGGAGGTTTTCAAAAGGAGGCTGGACAGCCATCTGTCTTATGTGGTTTAGACAACATATCCTGCATTTTGGCAAGGGGTTAATGGTGCCTTCTAGTGCTATGATGCAAGTAACGTACTTGGCTATTTGCACCATAGCAGTAACTATAGCTGTTATATTTATTTTGTTAAAAAGCAAAGTTTGTCTTAGGTGATGGGTAACCAGCAAAAAGCAACTGCTTTATAATGTTTGACTTCCAAATAAAGGTGTAGCAGACTTGTACTTGGTATGTTTGGGGATTCTTTGGAGCAGTGTTCAGTCAGGTTGCTTGGCAAGGATGCTCTCTTGCATGGTTTTCACTGTTGTGGTGGTGGTGTTGTTGCAAAGCCTCAGAGTTGATACAGAATTACTTTTTTGCAATATTGTGAGGTTTGAGATCTCCCCTGCTTTGTGCAATATGCATGGCAGGGCCTGGGTACTTTCTGAGGATTATTCATGTATTATGATATTGGAATGGAAGTTCTATTTTTCAACTACACTTCTATTTTGCAGGTTTCTAATGAAATTGAGTCATGAGACTGTGACCATTGAACTGAAGAATGGAACACAGGTGCATGGAACAATCACAGGTATCATATTCAAGAAGTTGGACCCTAAACTAAAATAATTAAGGAATTGATAGACAATGAAAGGAAAATCTGTTCTCTTCTAAAGAGACTCCACTGTGATAGCTAAATGAGTCTCGTTAAGAGATGCATTTTGTGAAATACTGGGTGACAAAAAGTTTAAAATCACCCCACAACCAGTAGCATTAGGAACATCAGTTTAGGGTTCTTCCTTACTCGTATATTTGTGGTGAATGTTCAGACTGTACATGTAATTTAAAGACCAGCAACAGGCAACTAATCTAATGTATGAGATGTTCTCAAAGTTTTAATAACATGGACCACATCTGAATAAATACTGTGTTGAGGACCACCCCCTATCTCTCACTGGGGCTTACTGTGTTTGTTTTTTTCCCACCCTTGTGTTCTGTTATCCTCTCTGACCTTCCCGTGCAGGTTTCTTTGCTGCCTTCTGCTCCTGCATATGCTTCTTGATCCCTTAGTTCCTTCTGCCTTGAATTTGCTGCTAAACTGCGTTTTTCCTTTCTCCTACATTTCCACTGACATTCTTCTTCATGTAGTAACTAGCATCTCCAGACCCAGGTGGTGGCTCTTGTTTCTTCTCCTCCTTTATATAGAGGCATCCCCTACTAAAGGCAGGTAAAAATGAGATAAGTTATCTGTATTTACAGGCAGCTGAGTTCTTATCAAGAGCCCAGGTGCATGTAGAAGCAACTGGAAGCATGGCCATCACTCTGACCTGCCAGCTCTTCATAGACCACCAGGAAGTGCTTTGAAGACTCATAGATCATAATTGGTCACAATAATAGACCGGGGGCAAAATGTCAAATTTTGTAATATTGTTTAATATTGTAATAAGCTTCTGTATTGAGATTCTGGTCTGTTGGATTATAATACTGAGAGCCAGGTACTCCTGAATTGTAATAATTGGCACACCAAAGTGGCTTAGGGGAATCTCTTTTAGGTCTTGTCTATTCACAAAGTTGCACTGGTTTAACTAAAGGTGTGTTTGGTCTACCCTCAAGTTTTACTGTGGATGTTTGTGTACAGCTGTCAGTAATGGGTGTGATTTTCTTTTTTTAAAGACACAGTTATGGCAGTAAACACCCTAGTGTAGGCAGTTATACCTGGATAGCTTATTTTGTTTTGTTGAACCACAGTAAGCTAGTCCGGTGTAAGCATGTTTATAAAGGTATAATTTCGTCTACAGTAGGGCTCTTTTTCTGCTGGAGGTACCGGGTTTATATTTCGCTGATGACTAGGGCCCTACCAAATTTACGGTCCGTTTTGGTCAATTTCATGGTCATAGGATCTTAAAAATAATAAATCTCATGATTTCAGTTATTTAAATCCACAATTTCACTGTGTTGTAACTGTAGGGGTCCTGACCCAAAAAGGAGTTGGGGGGTCGCAAGGTTATTGTAGGGGGGTTGCGGTGCTGCTACCCTTACTTCTGTGCTGTTGCTGGTGGCAGCGGTGCCTTCAGAGCTGGGCAGCTGCTGGCTGGGATCCCAGCTCTGAAGGCAGAGCTGCCACCAACAGCAGCGGGACAGAAGTAAGGATGGCATGGTATGGTATTGCCACCTTTACTTCTACGCTGCTGCCTGCAGAGCTGGGCCCTCAGCAGCCTCCATTCTCCAACTGTCCAGTTCTGAAGGCAGCAGTGCAGAAGCAAGGGTGGCATGGTAAGGTATTGCCATCCTTACTTCTTCACTGCTGCTGGCAGGGTGCTGCCTTCAGACCTGGGTGTCCAGCCAACAGTTGCCACTGTCTGGCTGGCCAGCTCTGAAGGCAGCATATAAGTAAGGGTGGCAATAATGCAACCTCCCTAAAATAACCTTGCATGCGTGCCCTTCTTAAGGGAACCGCAGCCAATGGGAGCTGCTGGGGGCGGGGCCTGCAGGCCTGGGCAACACATGGCTTGGAGGCCCCTCCACTGCCTAGGAGTTGCAGGGAGGCCATGCCACTGTGAGCTGGGGAGCCCCCCACCCTTGGCCCCACCTCAGCCCTGAACCCTCTTCCACACACCCAAACTGGTGCTGCTGGCCCAGCCAGAAACAGACTGCAGAAGTCATGGAGGTCACGAAAAGTCATGGAATCCATGACTTCTGTGACGTCCATGACAGACTCACAGCCTTAATGATACGGTCTTTAAGTGATCATACAGTTCTTTTTTTTCTTGCAGGACCACTGCCGAAGTTGAGTGCCAGGATGAGTAAAGCTCAGTGAATAAACCAGGGTTGTGCAGTCAGAGTCTGTTCGACCATTGCCTCATTAGCTGTTGAAGGGGGAAGGTATTTAGAGAACGATATAGGGGACTACAGGAAGAGAAAGGATGGTCTTGTGATTAAGGCAGTTGAATGCTATCTAGGTGAATTGGATTCTATTTCTGGTTCTACCAGACTTACCATTTATTGTCAAATTTTTCCACAGATAGCTACTAATTGTGCACCTCCTTTTCAAATGTAAGTCTCGTAACAATGTCCTTTCGAAAATGGCATTACCTAGCATACTAAAAGTAACCAATTTTTTGATGCATTTAGTCATTCTCTTCCCTAAAATTTGTCATCCCTCTGTGTTTCAGGAGTGGATGTCAGTATGAATACACATCTTAAAGCTGTGAAAATGACACTGAAGAACAGAGAGCCTGTACAGTTGGAGACATTGAGTATTCGAGGAAATAACATTCGATACTTCATTCTGCCAGACAGTTTACCTCTGGATACCTTGCTAGTGGATGTTGAACCAAAAGTCAAATCCAAGAAAAGGGAAGCAGGTTAGTTTGTGATTTCACGTTTGTTTTATTCCAGATTACTAAGGGGGTGGTTTGTTTGCTCCATAAATTAGTACTTTTATTGAATCTGAAGTAATCTTTAAAAAGTTTTGAGGTTTCTTGTCCTCTAGCTGGAAGGCACTGGCAGTTTGTAGATTATTTGATGTTCTGATCGCCTTAAACATTGAGTTTCACTGACTTGGACACCCTTCTTAAATTCTGCATAAATCTGAAATTATGTGTATGTGATGTTGTTATACCAATAAAATAAAAACCAGCAGGATCTTATTAAAGGGAAAAGGCAAAATACCACATATATTGTGAATACAGAAAGAATCGTAGTAAGCAGTTATAGCTATAACATTCCATTCAATCTCATATTTATTCACACACACACGTTCTGCAAGGTTGTTATCATAGTTACCTTAGAGTTGCTCATGCCAAGCCACTGGCCAGGTGTCCTGGACATGAGGAGGGAGCAGGGCCTTGTCTGATGCTCCTGGAAGTTGATTTGCAGAATCAGACCCCCAAAGCTCTCACTTTCTAGAGACCATTTTTATAGGAGCTTCTTCTTATGCCAGTCTATGGGAATTGCTTCATCATGCTGTTGCTGAATCGATCAGCAGATGGCACATTCCTGACGGCTCCGTGCTGCCAGATATTATCTTGTTCTTTGGTTCTCCCATTCTTGAGGCTGTTGGATGGATTCCAGTCTGCCCTCCGGAGGTCCTTTGGTTATTTCCACTTGACGCCTTCTTCAGCCGATGGACACTGGATTCTTAGGCTGGCACCTCCCTGGTCATTCAGTTATTTTTCACACCAAGTATCCATCCACATACATCCTCTATCTCTATTTTAATCACAATTGTTAACAAAGCGAGATGAATACAACAAAAGGGCGGGGAGTCTCTGGGTGCTGTTTCTGTTGTTACAGAGTATTGCTTTGAGTCTCTCTCTGTGTGAGTAGTTGTTGTTACAAAGAATGGCTTTGAGAACAGACTCTGTCTTAGAATGTACTAACACAATTAGCAGCTTGCAAGTTTCACACACAGAGGGAGAGAAACAGTCCCAAAACCCAAGAGACCTCTTAATTAGTAATACCCTGGAATTTAAACTATGGGGAATCAAACTCATTTGTGATTTTAATACAAAACTTCTTTAATATGATCCAACAATGTCCTACCAGAGAAGACATTTTTTAAGTTGGAGAAAAAAATAATTTCAAAATGACTTTTGAAGTTCACTAGTGTGTGTGTGCCGCATCTCTGTTTGCACTATTAACTTCAGGTTTTGTTTCTTAATCTCAATGAGCTAGTACAGAGGGGACTCTCTTACTATGATGAGTGGATAACTGTGGAGTTGTGTGTTACAGGGGAAAAAATGAACCTTTGGATTCTATATGGTCTCTGAAGATCTTAACTTTCATGATAAGCCTGGGATGTTTTCAGATAGGTAGACTTCTGGCCCCAAATCCCATCTACCTCATATTTTCACACAAGAATGTTCTAATTTTTTTCCTCAGACAGTTCTTAAACAAAAAAACTTTTAGATAGCATTAAAGTTGTAAATAGAGGGCTATTAATTTAAAGCCACACTATTAGAACTTTGTTGTGACAAGAAAAACTAGAAAGAGAGAATTTGTAGTTTAGAATTCATAAACAACTTTACCTGTGTGCTATGTTTTCACCCACCTGATAAGGATATGCTTAAGATAACTTCACATAAAGCTTTCAAATCATTGACTGCTCTTGGAAACAATAAATTCTGTGAATGGAACAATGGTTTGCTTTACAGAAATGTTGGCCCCCTTCTTTCCCCCTTAATAAATAGCATCCTAGCCTGGTTTGATGAATGTAGTCCTCTGAATATCAGAGGGGTAGCAGTGTTAGTCTGTATCCACAAAAACAACGAAGAGTCCGGTGGCACTTTAAAGACTAACAGAGATTTCTTTGGGCATAAGCTTTCACGGGTAAAAAAACCCACTTCAGATGCATGGGTTTTTCAGAAGTGGGTTTTTTACCCACGAAAGCTTATGCCCAAATAAATCTCTGTTAGTCTTTAAGGTGCCACCGGACTCCTCGTTGTTTTTGTAGTACTCTGAGATCTCTGGCCTATACATATTATGTGGATTGTATAAAGGGGATAAGTGAGCAGTAATGGAGTTTGGGTTCTCTAATTTATATTAATAAGATTTCAGGGTCTGGACAGTGTAGCTCTAGTCTGTGTAGGCACATTGATAGGGCTCTCCACAACATTGAGACTCCCCCACCCACTATGAATATCTGTTGACCATGTGGGAAATAGAAATAGGAGTCAGATTTCAGAGTAGCAGCCATGTTAGTCTGTATCCACAAAAAGAAAAGGAGTACTTGTGGTACCTTAGAGACTAACACATTTATTTAGGTCAATACATGAAGGATAAGTTACATTGTACCATATGGGAAGGTGAACTAGAGAATGATCTTTGAGTCATATGTGTTAGATGATGGTTTGTGGCATGTACTGGAAACAAATGAGGTAGCTAGATAGTAGTTTGTTTCTGACTTAATACATTGAGACTGTGACATCGTGGGTAGAGTTCAAGTTATTGGAAATCTCAATCATTTTTGGAAATTGAGTAAAAATAGCTTCAAGTTAATACACTTGTTCCTGAGTACCTCTGTCAAATTTTGTTTCTGCTATAATTTTTTTTTTTTTAATTTTTTTGTTGCGATCTGAATGGTTTTGTCTAGAATCTTTCAGTAAATTACCTTTGAAAAATAGGTAAAGAAATTTCAACAAAGCTTTTTTTTTTAAAGCTGGTGATATCCATTTCAGGTTGTGTGTGGAACTTACCTACAGAATTCCTCACTATTTGTGCAACTAAGCATTCAGGTGTTTTCAGTTAATATCAATGTGCAGCATAACTATTCACATTTTTCATTTATTAATTTCAGTTATTGGTAAATGAACACTGAATTAATCTGCCAAGAAGTAGTTACAGTTCTCTTGGGGGGAGATACATGCTGCATGTTTGTGCCAGGTTCTGCTTTCAACTGTGAAATCCTTCATCTCCCCCCCCCCCCCCCCCACTTACTTTGTCAAATATTGCGGGGAGGAAGAAAAGTGCACTGTTATGTATTTCAAAATATTTTACTCTACAGTGTGACCAGGTTTTTACAATATTACATAGATAGTTTCCATAACATTTCTTGTTCATTGACAAGTTCAATTGATCAGAAATCCCAACATGTATGACTGTAATATGTAATTAGAGCTATTTATCTCAATTTGCTAATCCTCCATAATAATGCACCTCACTGATGTTTTATGAAGACAAACCCATTTTTTTTCAGATCTTCACAATACTCAATCATCTCAAACCATAGTTAAACATGCAAAGCACCATGATTAGAACACCCCTCTAAATGGTTATGGGGTCATACCCAGCCTCCTTTGGGTGAAATTGACCCGTGCCCCTTGACAGACTGTCATGAAGCCATATGATTGAGGCACATTTATTGCTTCCAATTCCCATTGCTTAAAAGAGGCAAGTGCCTTTTGTATGGTATATGCCTTTTTTGAAAGTCTCTGCCTAATGGGATATATAAAATCTGTAGTAGCTTGGTCAGTAGTTCTGTCAGGCATGTATTAGGAAAAAAAGACATGCCAACATAGCGGGTAAATTTGTTATGAATGTATGAATAGGATCTCATTTAGCACGTTCTTTCCTATTCGATACTGTAAATCAGTTGGATGATTTCCATCTTTCTTGAACTAAACTGTTGAAGCCAAAAGATGGCCAAAAATTGAAAAATGCTCAGCACCCAACATTTCTTATTGAATAGGAGCTGTTGAATGATCAGCTCTTGAGAAAATGTAGCTACTTTTTATTTGCCTAAAAGAAAGTTGAGCAGTTTGGAAAATCTGGCCTGTCTACACTTACACATTTTACACCTACCTTTGCCTGCTTCTTTGCCATACATATTTTGTCATAGTTAATAAGTTATATGAATAGGGTGTGAAGCCCACAGCATTGTAGCATCTTGTGTATTTAAATCCCAGTTCCTGAATGGCTAGCTTTATTCAGAAAGAGAGAGAGACGGGCACATGTCAAGCTTTCATATTCAGAAAGCTAGTATATGCCTTTGTTTTCAGAAGTGAAAGTAGACTTGAGAAGTGTGAATTATATAAGTTGTTTGCATTTTTTTAAAAAAAATGCAAAACTCAAGTGCAAGGGAATTGAAATAGAGGGAAAAAAACCCCAAAACCTTTGGTGTGTCTGAAATTCAGTAGCATTATCACAGTCTGGTATCCAATTACAAGTCCTGTACGATAAAATACAATGTCTTTTACACTTGATACAGCATACACTTTATTTGAAATAAACTCTATTCAGGTGTAAAAGTTAACTTGTTCTTTGTTTTGTTTGCTTGCTCAGTTGCAGGAAGAGGCCGTGGCAGAGGTCGGGGCAGAGGCCGTGGCCGTGGCAGAGGAAGAGGGGGACCTAGGCGATAACTTCTCTCTCACCACAGATACATGTTACAAAATTCTAAGCAGTCTGATATTTTTTGTACAGGTTTTGTTTACAATGTCAATTTTTAATAAACACAAATGTGAAAAAGTTGTCTCTTTTGTCAGTTAAGCCCTGAATGGGGTTTGTATTCATTGTATGCAATAGTAGAGCATTGGTGTGGACTAAGCATGCCATGTTACCTTTGTACTTGCAGTTCAGCCGAGAGAATTTCTTTTCCTAGTACATACTATAATTTCACCTCTAGCTTTTCTCTGACCAGGAAAGCTACTTGTTATGTTGTAATACTCTTCAATCAAAATGAACATTGCTTCTTCCTTTGCAAGACACCTACTGTGTTCTATTAAGGTCACATAACCAAAATGTGTACTTAGAGAATTTATACTTTTAAATGTTGTGTTTTGTTTAACATTGCATTTCAGGGTCACTTCTTCTGTAGTTCTAAACAAAAATTAGTACAATTCTACTATCTAATCGAAATTTAATGTAACACATCATGAGTTCATTCTGTTATAGAAAAAATTTCTCACAGGGAAAAATGGTTCAGGTCTATAAAACATTGGAATGTGGCAGAAGATTAAAATCAAAATACATATGCATGGGTGTGAACTTTGTTGAAGTTAGTTGTATGGTGTGAGGCTCTTGTGTTGAGTGGTTTGTGAAACTCTCACAGATGCATTTTACTGCTTAAAGGTGTGCATCTGCTAGTAACTCCCTAGAAAACAAGTACTGTACACAGTTGCATAGTGGAACCTGATATTTACTTCTATTGGAAACATAAGAATTGACACAGCTTATGCATAAGCTTAAGCTGTTTTGCTTTTATGTCAGCTCTTTTAAGAAATATTGACCTCCTTTACCTCAACATACAGATACTTCCTAGTAATTTTTTCTCTCAAATAGTAGACTGTCACATTCAGATTACAAAATTTGAGAAGTCAAACTATATATATAAAATTTCAAGAAACGCAGTCATGTATATGCATACTATTTAGAAGAGTAATTTCTAGTACTTGCTTTCAGATAATTGATGCTTATTGTTTGAAGTAGGCAGTACTGCACAGTGAGAGAGAACAGCCTAACATCAGTTGTCATTAGCCAGTAATACTTGGTAACTTGTGCTAAGTGGCTTTTTGTGAGGTTTGTATATCAGTTAGAGACCCTCTTAAAGCTTCATCTGCTACAGAAGAGCTTTTTGAACCACTGTGGGAGCTGCCAAGAGCACTTCATGGTAAATACATCACCCAAGGTTCTGCAGATCTATAAATAGTTGCTACAAGTAATGGTTGCTGTGGTCTCAAAGATCCACACAGGTATTGCAACTGGTGAAGTTTTCATGAGTCCAGTTATGAACATTCATTCAAGAGTTGATACATTTCTCTTCAGTCTCTTCATAATAAAAATTATTATTGCACCTAGTGGTATACACATTGTGGATGCAGCCACAAGTAGTCCAATAACTGCCAGGGCATATCTTGGATAGTCTTTTGTAACCAGTTGACCCTGCAAATAAGAGAATATTAGCATGAAGTAATTGTAGCCCTCTCCTTTTTGTAACTTACTATAAGAAATGAGATCCTTTACTGCCCCAAAAGTGTTGGATCTTTAATTTTTGATGGCTGGCAGTGATCTTAAATTTATGCACAGTTTTGCTAGAGAACAAAGTTAAGTTGTAAAGCAGATGTTTGTGTGTAGAGGTGGTTACTATACCTTGATGTAAATATCAAGGATTGGTGTGGACTGTCACTTCAAGAGACAGCACTCATTTTAGTCACTGAGTTTGCTGTGCACAATACATATTTTCTTGTTCTTACCAAAAACTTAACAGTCGAAATAAAGAATCATGAAAACAGTTATAGAAAGTTTATTTAGGCTAATGGGTTGAATCCCACAGCATTTTGTATTTCTTGCATGATTGATTTTTGTCGTGTATTTGGGCTGTGGCAGGTTGAGAGAGATGGACTATAGAGCTTCAGTCACTACTGACCTAGGCTGGATGTGAGCTGCCATCCTTGAGGCAAGGTACTAGTAGAGTGTGCCACACAAAATAAGTGAATGGTTTCATGTCAGTTCGCATACTTCCCAGGATAGGCCATTGCCTCAGTAATTTGACCAGAGGCCACATCCTGAACAGTCATGGAAACAGTTACCCTCATCCCTAGACTACACCCTAATAGATGGTAGAGTGGCCAGATGTCCTGATTTTTTTTTTATAGGGACAGTCCTGATTTTTGGGTCTTTTTTTTTTTTTTATATAGGCTCCTATTACCCCTTCCCCTGTCCCAATTTTTCACACTTGCTGTCTGGTCACCCTAGGAGATGGGGTAACTAGCATTGTTGCTGCCTGTGCTTACCTGTCTGTAGTCGCTGTGGTTATTGCTCCCATCAGCACCTTTTAAGAACATGAAGTTCATTGAAAGGTTTTTTGTGTTTTTTTTTTTTTTTTTTTTTTTAAATTGTAGGGTATGCCTATTCTAAAGACAGTATTAGTATGGCTCACTTCACTTCCTGTCTCTTTAAGTGGGAGAAAGATGCTGTCTTCATCATGAATTTAGAATAAGCCCTTCCCAGATTATGTATGCACATCTCTAAAGCACTCTGCTCTGAAGCAGTCAGAAAGTAAAGGTACAAGGTGTCACTTTTCCTGTTAGTGCCACTGTAAAAAGACCAAAATGTGTGGAATTCAAGGTTTAGTGGCATGGAGGAGTTAAAGCTGTTTTAAAACAAAAAACAACAAAACCTGAACTGTTTTTAAAAAATCTAAACTACATGGCGGCAGTTCTATTCTTACAGCATCACTGTGTCCTATAGGAATTAAGCTTCTCTTTTTCTCCCATGCTCAATGGAATTATCTGAATTCCAACTGTATCCTGCTAATTCTCCCTCTTTTAAATGTGTGCTCCCTTACCCTCTCACCCCACACCATGCTGTATGAGGGTTCATAGTCAGGGGTAGTCCTCTCATTCTTGCCGTGAGTGAACAGAGCTGTGACCAACACTCCATGAACTAATCAATAAGGAGGCTGTTCAGGAGTGCTGTAAGTGTGTGTTTAGTGCTGGGCGTACTGTAGCTGACTGCTCTCAGCTTTGGTAGTCTGGGAATCAAGCTAAATGATGTAATGCAACCCAGAGCTGCTGCAAAGCTATTCACAGCTTTCCTATATCTCCACTATTTTCCCATAATGTAATTAGTGCTTAAATGGAGAAACTGAATGGAGGCCTGCATCTTGCATTCAGCAACACCATCTAGATTTCTCTGAACACTTGAAGGGGTTGTCAGCAGTGATACAGCCCATACAGCTAGCATTGTGTGAGACACTGCAATATACCAGCTGTCCTTTAAGTGTTGCCCCTTATCAGTTGGAAGTTGGCAGCAAGCAACAAAGCTTACCGTAACTGGTACAGGTCAATATTTGTTACAGATGGTTAACATTAAGTAGTGAGAAATGTTAGTGCTTATGTAAGCTTTTAACTTATTTTGAGGCCAAATTTGTCACTGGAAACTTTTCTCAGCAGGATTATTCCTTCCTGACATGGCACAATTGTGATCCTTGTCTCTGCAAAATGGTTTCAGTCTTGCTGCATTGGAATCTGCTGTTCTCCAGCCAACAGCAGAAACGCACACCCTTTCAGATACCCAAATTACCAGTGGCATGAAAACACTATAAAATTGATTACTTTCCTTTTAATAACAATGGGAACATGTTCTGGAATGTTATGAAATTAATATTTACTTAAGAAAATCAAATTGTTGTTTCTCTGTGATAAACATGTATTGAAGTACTTTTATGAAACATGTATTATGCCCACTGGGGAGAATGAACTGGATTGTGAATCATTCTATTGTAATTGTAATTAGGTATGTGGGAGCTTTATTCAAAGTACTGAAAACCTCTTGGTCTTTGTGAATAGGAAATAACATTTTCATAAATCGATCACTTAGTGGGGTATCACTGCTCTTTTTATAAATTTTGTGTTTGTTCAAAATACCACAAGTGATTCTAACTCTTAGATGAAAGTTTTTTATTTGTGTGAGGGTTAGGGAATGCAGCTGCTTCTGCCTTCCATTAAAATTAAAGACCCATATTTGTTCCAGATTGAAACCTGCTATGTGAATTTTCAGCTGGTGCAATTTAAGCTGACTACCTCCACTCCTTGAATGTACCAATAGCTCCGAGTCCCAATGGCAAGCAGGGACTGGTGATAAAACAAAGTGATAAGTAAAATAAATACCTGTGTGGCATCCCAGGCTTTGTATTGCAGGGTTCCTGTGCTGATGTAGTCAGTCAGGTAAAATATAAACAAGCTTATAATTAGCACAGGACTGGCAAAAGCCCACATAATTTTCCAATACCAGTTTGGCTTATGTCCGACCATTAGGAGAAGGTCCTTTTCAAATCTGTTATTAAAAAAAAAATTACACAATTTGTTGAACTATGCTACTATTTTTAGTTTAGATTTTGCATTAGTAGGTTAGATACTAGGAAAAAAATTTCTTCCTGCAAAGGGCAGTTAAGCTCTGGCATAGGCTTCCAAGGGAGGTTGTGAAATCCACATCACTGGAGGTATTTAAGAACAGGTTTGACAAATGCCTGTCAGGGATGGACTAGGTTTCATTGGTCCTGCCTCAGTACAGGGGCCTGGACTTGATGACTTTTCAAGGTCCCTTCCTCATTGTATTTCTTGGCCAGGAAAACTTGGATGGCTATAATTGCAGACAGCTAAATACCATTGGCCTCTACATTAGGAAAAGGTGTATTTTGAAAGATATGAAGGAAAAAGGGTTGTGGGGGCTTTCTAATGTGTAGGGCCTAGAGATCAATGTGTGAAGCCCGTTAACAAGTCCTATCTGAGTATGTACAAATAATATCATGTACCTAGGTGTGCCCTACAACTATAAAGGACCAAATCTGCCTGTAGGGGAAAAGTGTGTGTGGCTAGGCAAGATGTGAGCTGAAAGAGACCTAGCTGCAGGGAATTTGGCTCACGAGGAGCATCTGCTAAGGTCAAAAGGTGTGTAATTTGTATTGAGCAGAAGTTAAGTGGAAAAGAGAAAGAGCTAGAGAAAAGCAGGTAGCATCGTTGTTAATTTTTCTAGCTGTTTTTTTCATCCAAGCAATTCCCCCCCCTAAACAAAGGCAAAAAGTTCTGTATTCATTCAAAAATGCATGGCGCTCAGTTACCTAGGAGACAGATTATGGCCCTGGCAGACATGCTTAAGTAACCCATGTGGACAAAACTGATTGTCACCTTTTTTATTTTCAAACCTAAAGGGAGTGTGTTTTTGGCACTATGCAGTACCATAAGAGCCCTTGTGAAAATGTGTGGGAAATACTAAGCATGGGAGTCACATATTTGGTCCCAGGTTTTGTATAATGATGTAACATACATCTATGAACTGGATGTAGTAAATATGTTTATATATTTTAATGACTTAATTAGATATACATAGTTATTAAGGTCAGAAGGGACCATTATGATCATCTAGTCCGACCTCCTGCACAACGCAGGCCACAGAATCTCACCCACCCACTCCTGCGAAAAACCTCTCACCTATGTCTGAGCTATTGAAGTCCTCAAATCGTGGTTTAAAGACTTTCAAGGTGCAGAGAATCCTCCGGCAAGTGACCCATGCCCCATGCTACAGAGGAAGGTGAAAAACCTCCAGGGCCTCTGCCAATCTGCCCTGGAGGAAAATTCCTTCCCGACCCCAAATATGGCGATCAGCTGAACCCTGAGCATATGGGCAAGATTCACCAGCCAGATACCCAGGAAAGAATTCTCTGTAGTAACTCAGATCGCAACCCATCTAACGTCCCATCACAGGCTATCAGGCCTAAAAACTTAAAATTCACTGTTCAGCTAACCAAGTATAAACTTAACATATCAGAGGTGTCAGTATACACACACGTGCCCCCCTGGCCCCTGCACTTATAGAACACATGTGCTTGGGTTTTGCAATAGATCAGATCACGATGCTTTTCTTTGTAGTTACGAGGTTTTTCTTGGCCCTGCTTGGTGCTCTTGCAAGCAGTACCAAGCATTGCTCTGCCTAGTCTGAGGAATGCCACTGACCTGAGTACTTACATGGGAAGGGATTGCAGTCGCAAGACCCTTAAACATCAAGATTGTTTTTACCTCTGAACGGATGAGTCTGATTAAACTGTTCCCACCCAATACTCCCAGTCAGTGTGTGTGGCAGGGACACACCACTTTTTGCATGGACCACCTGCCAGGTAGTACAGTGCCCAGAACTCAGGAACGCGAGAGCATGAAAGAAGCTCTTTTTCCATTGGCTGGGGATGGGGAGCTGGGTTACCTAATTGACTCTCACTTTCCCCTCCCCTTCCTATTTAAACTCTGCCAGGTGGAGGAGGGGTGAGGATAACTGGAGCTGCTTGCTCCGGCCTGGGTGCAAGTGTTCTGAGGGCAGTGGAAGGGTTTGGGCAAAGGATGCAGCGTGTGCACTAGAGTCAAAGGCAAGAATTAGGTGAGTTAGCAGAGAAGGGTAAGCACAGTTTAATAGTGGCCTCTGTAGGAAAACATAGGTGCAGGCTAAAAGGGAAAAAGCATGTTACCTAAACCAGCGGCTTAGGGCCAGCTTGTCCCCGCGATGGGAAAAATCTGGGTAGGGGAGTGGAAACGTCGGAGGCTCCCCTTGATCATGTCCATGGCATCAGTGCTTTAGTCCAGGTTGGACCCCAGCCTGGAATGAGTTATTCTGACCCCCAAAGCCTGCAGCTGCGTAGAGACCAGAGAAGTGTGATGGGGCGTTGTGCAGCCATACTGGCTCCTGCCACTGTGGCTTAGTCAGCTGACAAACTTATGTGGGGTCAGAGTTGCAGGGGATGTGTAGAGTGGTCACTTCAGCTCTAGCCCGTCCCTTTCCCAGGGATGAATCCTGACCCCTGGTGCCCTCCACGGGGAGGCTTGGGAGGGAACGAAAGAATGTTGCTAGGGAGGTGCCACCCCCACCTAGCTCTGTGTCACCCCCTCTTGGCTGCCCAGGCTGAAAGAACAGCTCAGTCCTCAAAGCTGATGAAAGGTGTTGTTGTTTTTTTTTCTCCTGGAGCTGCTGTCCTGGCCTAAGTGCTTTCCCCAGCGTGTCCTGCCTGCCCTGTATCCCTGCGATGGCACAGTTACAGCAGTAAGGGAGGAGATTTTAAACTCTTACCGCTTTAGCCCATAGATGTAACAAACCGCGATTGTCTCCACCAGAACGATGAGCAGCAGAGAGAGGGTAGCTGCATAGTCATTGAATATGTCGAACCAATAGTTTCCAGCCTCCATGGTGAACGCCAGGCCAACAATGCAGTTGATGAAACACACAGTACCTGTAGAAATAAAACAGAGGTTATTTGAGTCACAACGGAAAGGCAAATGTTAGTAGGGCAGGAGTCAGAAGCTTTGCGTAGAATAAAAGACACTGGGTTTTAGCCTGTTTGTAGTGGTAATTGGTAGTCTTATTAGGGGAACCAAGAAAACTAGCAATATCTAGATACTACAGGGATTGATGCTATATAAATACTCAGGCTAGAGCGTCAATGTGGATGAGGCCTGTGCCCCCATTGTTAAGTGTACGTAGCTTGCATTATAAAGCATTAATAACCATTTCCCTACACTTGAAAAACTGATTCTTCATCTGGCACTTTCCTATATAAATGAGCAGAGATGCCTTGAAAAGGCACCGATTGTTACAATCAGCATCTGGGATGTTCTCTGACAGCACTGACTGGCGGGGTTAGAGAAAGGTGAAACTTCCTCTTGCCTGCTTTCTAAGTTACATTTAATTTTAAAGGCAGTATCTTAGTATTTCGGCACTCAGCACCAAATGTGAGGTGCCTTGCATCTGCATATCTCCATCTTGTGAAGAGCTCAAATCACTTTGCAAACATCAATGAACTAAGATTCACAGCATCCCTGTGAATCTGGAGGGTATTGTGATTTTTCTTTTTATTTGACCTGATGACGACCGTCTAAATCTCCTGTTACAACAGTAAAGGCATGGTGTGACTGCTGTTAAAGTATGCAGACACTAAAAAATATTTCCTTGCAAAATATTTTCTAATGACCCTGCTCCGACACTGTTATTGCTGGTTTGGTTATGAGCACAGAGCTATTGACTGTGATGTCTTGTAACTAGATATAGAAGAAGCATCTCTAATTATTTGTTTAATCACACATGCACCCTCCCACCGAGTGGCCTTTGTTCTGTGTCATGAGCACAAAAAGTCTTTGCATGGTTTTGGCAGGCTATTTGAATGAAATAACCATGGAACTCTGACTGCTGATAATGATAGACTATTTATAGTTAAAACTATGCAGGTGGTGTAATACAGGAACTGATGCTGTCATAAATATAAAGGGAAGGGTAAACACCTTGACAATCCGTCCTGGCCAGAGGAAAAACCCTTTCACCTGTAAAGGGTTAAGAAGCTAGGATAACCTCACTGGCACCTGACCACAATGACCAATGAGGAGACAAGATACTTTCAAAGCTGGGGGGAAACAAAGGGTATGGGTCTGTCTGTGTGATGCTTTTGCCGGGGACAGAACAGGAATGGAGTCTTAGAACTTAGTAAGTAATCTAGCTAGATATGCGTTAGATTCTGATTTCTTTAAATGGCTGAGAAAATAAGCTGTGCTGAATGGAATAGCTATTCCTGTTTTTTTTGTCTTTTTGTAACTTAAGGTTTTGCCTAGAGGGATTCTCTATGTTTTGAATCTAATTACCCTGTAAGGTATTTACCATCCTGATTTTACAGAGGTGATTCTTTTTTTTACTTCTATTAAAATTCTTCTTTTAAGAAACTGATTGTTTTTTTTATTGTTCTTAAGATCCAAGGGTTTGGGTCTGTGGTCACCTATGCAAATTGGTGAGGATTTTTATCAAACCCTACCCAAGGGGGAAAGATTTGGGAGGATTTTTTGGGGGAAAGATGTTTCCAAATGGCTCTTTCCTAATAAAAATCCTAGTTAGACGTTTGGTGGTGGCTGCGAAAGTCCAAGGGCAAAAGGTAAAATAGTTTGTACCTTGGGGAAGTTTTAACCTAAGCTGGTAAAAGTAAGCTTAGGAGGTTTTCATGCAGGTCCCCACATCTGTACCCTAGAGTTCAGCGTGGGGAAGGAACCTTGACAGATGCAAATGGTTTTTGAGGTTCAAAAAATTTAGCTCGCTATTTTTTGATAGGAGTTTCTCCTTTTGGTGAGAGACAGATGTAATAAGATACTAGAAATTTGTGATCAGATTTCAAGATCAAAGAAGTTCCGATAAATATGGAGACATTTGGATGTGTATGCAAACTTTCTGATGCTCACTTATCATTAAATACTAATTTGACTGATCATTTGACTGGATGTTTGTGTCAGAAGTCCTTGTAAATATAAAGATGTGATTTCTGCAATACCCATTTCTTAAAAGCAATAAAATACTCTGGGCAGTGTATTCTGGAGAATTATGGTTCCTCCTAGGGAGTTTTTCTGTCTTGGGTCTCACAACAAACAAACGGAGGCGATCTTCCCTGAGAAATGCCGCCACTGGTTGTAGTTTATGTTTAAATATATTCTGTGAAACCAACAGCAAAGTATCTGCATGTTGTAGGACAGTACAAGGGACACACAAGTGCTTCCTGCTGAGATTTTCAAAAAATATTCACTGTGTACTTGTGACATTGTTTTGTTTTTCCTTATTCGTATCATGTTTGACTTTTTTTTTTTTTAAGGACTATTTTAATGAATGAAAATGACACACAATAGAGTCTGCGGTTGTTGTGAGATAACTGCATTTTGGAGGCTGGGGACCAGGCCTCATGTGACATTCCTCATGCAACTGACAGGCTGCAGGGGTGGACTCTACAGTCCTTACTCATCCAGAACTCCCACTGTAATCCGTCAACTCCCCTTAGGACCTGAGCCTGAAAGGGGCTGAATACCCTTCACTTCCCTTGAAGCCAGTGGGAGTAGAGGGCAGGCAGAACTTGCACGCTAGGGGCTTTCAAATCCCACTTGAGTGTGTTCACTCCTTATGCAGCCTGAATTTCTACCCGCTGTCGACCTGTTTTCTTATGTGCTAGTCAACTTACCTGAGATCACCTCTTTAGAAAAATGGGTGGACAGAAATTTGCTGTCTGTCAAAGGGGTGAGGATAGCTGCAGTGTTTCCCAGCATACTGCCTATGCCCAGCATCAGCAGCATAATAAAATACAGCACTGAATACAGCTGAGAGACCTCCATGTTTTTTATCGCTTCCGAATACACTATAAATGCCAGTCCAGTGCCTTGGACAGCCTGCCAATGAGAAGAAGAGAGTAGAACCTAACCAAGAGGTTAGAACCTAACCTAATCAAGTTGCAGTGGGGGAGGTTCAAGTTGCAGTGGGGGAGGTTTAGATTGGATATTAGGAAAAACTTTTTCACTAAGAGGGTGGTGAAACACTGGAATGCATTACCTAGGGAGGTGGTAGAATCTCCTTCCTTAGAGGTTTTTAAGGTCAGGCTTGACAAAGCCCTGGCTGGGATGATTTAACTGGGAATTGGTCCTGCTTCGAGCAGGGGGTTGGACTAGATGACCTTCTGGGGTCCCTTCCAACCCTTATATTCTATGATTCTATGATAAGAGTGGTGGTGTCAACTCTTCAGGTAGCTGCGCCCTTGCTTATTTACTGAGAGAAATCAAAATCAGATTATTGTACAAAAGAACTTTAACCCGCTAGAAAAAATAGCCTTTCATTGAAAGTACGTCTCCTGCCTCTTGCTGAAGCTCTGCTTCTACCATTATAAACAGTAAGTGAAAACTAGGTAAGGTAAATCTAAACTCTGCCACTTTTTGCTCTTGTTGAGTAGTGCCTTGTTCTTCAAGTAGACCCATTGATTTCAATAGGACTACTCAACATGAATAAAGGCATCAAAATCTGGACCTTAGTGATGGCAAAATGGTAACTATGTGCCAATAGTCTTGCATAATGAACTGGTTGAGATCTTTGCTGGCCTGTTTGAATGGTGCAGAATTGGCCTCCTACTACTACCGGGAATATTAATGGACCAGTCTTGCAATCCTTACTCAGGCAAGTAGTCCTAAGTCATCAGAATGAATCATATCCTGATCTTGGTTCCTAAATCCTGAGGAGTTCCACTGAAGTCCTTTGAATTACTTCAGATTTGCAGAATCTCACCCGTTGACTTGAATGGGCCTGCTGGTGTGTAGAACTCTACTCCCCTGGGTAGTAGTGGGGAGGACTGAAGCCAATAACAATACCTGGCACTTCTCGACTTCAAAATATTTGACAAACATTAACGTGCCTGAGTCAGCACCTCCCCGAGGGTAGCTATTATCCCCCTTTGTACAGATGGGAAACACAGGCAGAGCAGCCAGGTGACTCGATAGCTTTGTTAGAGCTGGGTTTAGAAATGCAGTTCATTTCCCCTCCTAGTTCTATACGTAATATGGCAACATCCTCTTACATCTAATCTCAAAGGGCCAGACTTATGGCCCTCACAAAAACCTAGCTACCTTCCCACTTTTGTTGCAACCAGTAATGTCCTATGTACTACTGATGGCCATGCTGTTAGTGCTGAGCGGATGGACGATGTGGAAGCCCAGTGTGCATGGCAAACGTGCTGGAGGAAACCTTAGTGCAGGGTTGAGCTTAGGGCTTGAGCAGTAAAGCTAGCGCTTTATTGAGCTAATCAATTGGTTGCCTGAGCAGAGGGGAAAGGATGATAAAAGGAGCAGCCCTGCACTTACATCACCTCCCTCCTGCCAGTTCCTCTACAGGGAGGTATTTCTGGCAGACGTGGTGATCACTGTATTTTGCTTATAGAAGGTTCGAACATTTTGGGCTGGACCCTGAAATTCTTACTTATAGGAGCCGTTCCATTGACGTCAAAGGCTACTCACACAGGTAAAGGTTACAGGGTTAGGTCCTAAGTCTATTGCAGCAGAGCCAGCATCCACCAAAATTAGTTGTGCCATCTTTAGCATCCATTGGTGAGATGCCAATTAATAGGAACTGCATGGCTAGACCCCGGTGCACCAGGTTTGCCGGGAGGGTCCTGGGCGCATGGGAAGTTGGAATGGGAGTTTTTACTTGAATGTCTCCAAACAGAAGAGGGGAAAAAAGGTTCGACTCCTCTTCCATTTGAGGGGCGTGGGAAGGTTCTTATTTTCATGAATTTGCTTGCCCAGCCAAGGCCATCAGAAGGGGTCTGAGTGTGACTAAGCATCACAGCCCTGAGCCCGGGCTAGTGCGTAGGCTGCATTGCCCCAGGAGGCACTGTGCCTCACAGACACCCCTCTGGGTCACAATTCCCCCCTCGCTCCAGGGGATAGGTGAGTATTAATTTACAGCTGTCTTATTATTCTAGAAGCAAATTATGGCAGCCAGATGCTGCAGAATATACACATATATATATAAATAAATAAATGTTCCACCTAAAGTTACTCAGCGGAAACATATTTACCTAAAGGCTACAATCACCTGGGGCTGCCAAGCGGCCTAAGCAAGGAAGGAGTCGCTCAGGTTGCCTAAGCTAAGTGTAACCTCTACCATCACATTAAACATACTCAAGACCTCCTCATCAGTACAAGAGCTAAAAGAGTTTGTGTTCTTTCTCTCCCTTAGACCTGACCATCAAGATAAGCTTCTAGTTCTGACTGGGGGGAAAGGAAACAAAGAAAAAAAGACAACCAAGGCTGGTGCACAAAGGAGCAAGTTACCGTGTCTAGTTCAGCTTCCAGACTGCAGTTTTTAATCTGTGGCAATAATTCTACATACTGGTTTGGGTAAGTAGACATCAGGTAATCTTTCATACTGTCGAGGTTGTCTGCAGTTAAAGCTCCTTCTTCCAGGTCAAAAGTGTTTGTCAACAGCAGTATTACCCTGTAAAGCCAAGATAATTTAGTTTCTTTCTACTAAAGCTAGAAGAAATGTTTCAGTGGCAGAATTTGGATGCAGCTGCTTTTAAGTGGAGCAGTGCATTCCAGAATACCACAGAGGGACAGGCAGGAGAGCGCTTGTTATACTTCAGTAAAGTATTCTGAAAAGAGGCCGAATGTGAAACTACACTTGTCAACGGGGAAGAAGGAAAACTGGGACAAAAGATATGCTCTGGCGCAACCAGAAGTTATTGGCTTGATGCAGGAATCACTGGGTGAAATTCTATGCCCTATGTTAAACAGGTCAGACTAGGTTAGCATAATGGTTCCTTCTGGTCTTAAAATCTATGCATCTATATGAAAATTAATTTGCTTATTTTATTCCTCTCAGTTCCATTTGCAATTATTGCTGTGAGTGGATGGTCCCAAATTCTGGGTCAGGTCCTCAGTTCATGTAAACTGGCGTAGCTCCACTGAAATTAGTGGTATTATGGTATTTACACCAGCTAAAAAATCTGCCCCGTCTCTTTTCCTTTGTGCCTCTTTTAGTAAGATGGCCACATGGCATCCATTACTGTCTGATAAAGGAGATGCTTGGAATATTGCCTGTCCTCTGCTTTGATTAGTGCAATAGGTTAGTGCTGCGTAAATCTAACAAAAATATAACAGTAGTCCAGTCACTGAGACTTTGTATACATGTGAGAACATGGCTTTAGGATCAGATCCTGCAGTGTGCTGAGCATCTTCTGTGAAGTGCTGAACTCCTTCACATCTCTCTGTAGTCAATAGGAGTTGACGCTTAGTAGTTCCCAGCAGGGAGAACTCAGCACCTTGCAGGATCATCCAAAAGCTGGTGGAACATATCTTAGTACCTTGGACAGAGATTCAGGCTGATATAGGGGCTAGCTCATATGGCACATCATGTCTGACAGCTATCCTATAGGTACTGCAACAAAGCCACTTGTTTATAATCGTGGTCCAGACGGGACCATGAAAATGACTTTTGGATCAAATAGACACCTAAGGTTGCACTCTTCTAAGGACTCTGGGACACAGTTCTGAGATCAAATATATAGCATATTTCATGATCTTTACTCTTGTTACATCTGTCAGCAGTACTTCCACCAGAAGGCTTGATGCACATGTGAGACCCAAATTTATCTCCTTTCCACACAGATCTGTTGTTATGTTACTGTGCATACCTGAAAACGATTGACATCAGGAAAAAAGAAAAGGATTTCTGCTTGTTCAGTCTTTTCACCAGTATTTTCTACCACCAGACTGAAGGTGGCATGTCAGGGTAAGCTATTTATTTATACAAATAAAACGGAAGCGGAGAACTTAATGCATGTTGGAGAGCAGATAATTCTGAAGAAATAGATTCTAAGTCCTCTGAGGATTTAGGTCAAGATTAAGGTCTGTGTTTTCAGCCAGGCCAGGCACAGCATGTATCTGTAAATCTTTTGTCTAAGAGTTTGTGTGGCTGTACATCTTGTGTTCATTTTTTGTGTTCACAGAATGACCCGTGAGTACAGATCAGAGCACCTGCATCTCTATCTACTTCAACTGAGCCTGCAATCTGATACTCAGATTTGTGCCCACAACTGAAAGGTGGGCAAAACTATTGGTTGGACATATGCTTTGAGATTGTAAATTGTATCTGCAAAAAGGATGTCTCCAAAAATTTGGCCCTCGGTATTTGCGCTCTTGTTTGTTTGCTATCTTGATAATCTGTTTGGATATTTCCTGGGATGATGTACTATGAGAGCCCTTGACACTGGAGAGTCTGTGGAATTTCCAGCTATTGTACAAACCTTTTTGAAGCAGTGATAGTTGTACTGTGCCTTTGTGTCATAGGGAGATGATTGGGATTTCCCTTCTCATGCTTACTCTTTTATAATGGGGGTGGGCGACAAGCCACAGGGTTTCTTTGAATGAAAATGTGGCTGTCCCCAAATGATTTTTCATTTCATTTTAATTTCATCTCATCTCAGAAGTAAGCCTTTTATTGAGAACTCCTATTTTAATTTTTGATGGGGGAAAAAGGACTGAAAAGTGTCTCTTTCTGAACCATTTTTTCTATCTCCTTCCTCTGAAGCATCAGGAGATGGCCCAAGCTGGAGACAGGACATTGGGCAGGGAGGGGTGGGCTCTGAGGTGATATTGAACATTCTCTCTCTCAGGTGCTTGGCTGGCTGGTTCTGGCTCACATGCTCAGGGACTAACTGATCGCCAAATGTGGGGTCAGGAAGGAATTTTCCCCTAGATCTGATTGGACCTTGTGGGTTTTTTTTGCCTTCCTCTGCAGTGTGTGGTGCAGGTCACTTGCCAGCATTATCTGGGTATATCTCATTTAATAATTTCCCTGCCATTGCATCAGCCTTGGGCACTGGTGCACCCCAGTCCCGCCTGTTCTTTGCCTGTGGCTCATAATAATCTAGTTTCCTGTGGGTTGTAATACTTTGATCTCATTTCAGTTGTTGGGTCAGTGTGCAGGTGCTGAGTGGGTGGCCTGGGCTATACTAGAGGTCAAACTAGATGTTCTAGTGGTCCTTTCTGGCCCAGAGCCCTCTGACTCTATCAGACTTTTCTTCGGTTGTGAGTGTGCTTTAACAGGAGCAGCAGCAAAGAAGCTCTCTCATGCTTTCTAAAAAGTGTCTTCTGTCCATTCCTTTCCTGGTATCAGGCCTGCCTGCAATTACCTTAAAGGCGGGCTGCAATGCTGAACGCACTCAGTAGGAATCCAGCCACTGTCTGTCTCATGCAATAGACTTTATATACCCCTCATCAGAGGTAGAAAGCTCTGTAGCCATTTTCACTATCACTCTGAGTCAGGGACCTGGGCATAACACAGTTAAACTTGGCAGTGTAGGCAGGACCTAACTCTGTCCCTCACCTAAGTCCTTGGACTTCCAAGGTTTTAACCTTGTGACAGGACATAGGTGGATGCCATCTCCAGGGCAAGTGTAAAGAATGTTGTAACTGGTTCAGGGAACAATGTTCTCTAACCTGCTCAACCCTCCTGCTTATAACTGCAATGTAGATAGGTCTTTAAACTCATTTGTCAGCAACGATCCCTGCACGACTTGCAGACAATAGTAACCTGAACTCTGATCATCAGTACTAGTCATAAAAAGAACAGTGAACTCTGAATACTAATCTCAGATCTTACCTAATTTAAAATCTCCTGCATGTTTACCAGATCTATTCAAGTGCGTTTCCTGGCACTCAAGGAGCTATGCTGCACAGTTGTTATTTGTGTATATATGTAATCTCTTTTCTTATGTGTAACATCCTATATCATGTCTCAGGGGGGAAAATAAGTTAAAACTCCAGTCTCTTACTTGCTTAGACAGTTTTCATAGTTGAAAGTCGCCTTAAAGCCATAGATAGAGAAAGTCACAATACTGGCAAATATTGACGTGCTGCTGTTTATCAAAGAGACAATTATGGCATGTCTTTCGCAGTTGTTGTTTGGCTCATTGTAGCTGGCAAACGCTATCAGGCTTCCGAAACCAAGACCAAGTGAGAAAAAGATCTGGGTAGCTGCATTAATCCAGGTTTTAGGATTTGCTAATTGGCCTAGCTGTAAAACAAGAGAGTGAGAAATGGCTGATGAAAACAAAAATGGACTTTGGACTGTTTATCTATGCTCTCATCATTTTAGTATCTAGACACAAAGTAGAGAGTAATCTCATTTATGTGGGACCTGATTCTGCTTGAGACCACATATTCGCACAGTGCCTATTTAAGTCAGTGTGAGTTTTACACATAGAAGTAGTGCATGACTGAGCTCTGTGTGTGTGTTTCTCCAGTGGGTGAATCAAATGGTGGTGTTATATGCGGGGATAAATTCTCTGTTGGTGTAGAGGAGCAAAATTTCACTGAAGTAAATGGAACTTCACCCATCATGCTAGCAAAGCAAAGCCTAATGAGCTCCTTTGACATCTTTGGATTGAAATGTATCTTAGGCCATCTTCATCTGTGATGTAACTCTGTTGAATTCAGGGATGAATTTGGTCTGATATTGTTATTCAGTATATAAATAATACAACACAGCTTAGGTTTGATAGGACACTTCTTTTCCTGGGTGAGGACGCTAATAACGCATTGGTGACATAGTGGTGTACCCTTAAGAGTCTAGATACGTACAACATAAGACCTAACTTACTATTGTGAAAATATAATCTAAATAAAAATAAGTGACTATTTTTGTATGAAATTATGCAGTTATAACGATAATGTTTTGTTTAAAATTCAGGGTATATTTTCTGTACCTTTGGTGTAAACATGTAAATCAGCCCATTCACAGCTCCGTGTAGTGTTAGTCCTCTAATTAAGTATATGAGCAGGACTAAATATGGCAAAGAAGCTGTTACGTAGACAACCTGCAAAAGAAAAGGTAAATTAATTAAAGAGTTAATCTACACTGGCATCTGTTACTGTTTTGCAAGAACTTATAGGGGTTTAGGAAGAAGGAAAAAGTCAAATAATGTCTATAGTTACATTATCAAGGGAAAATTGGAAAAGGTTATCAATCCTCATACTTCAGAGTTTACAATGATTAGCAGTGGGGGAGAGACAATGAGGGGGACATATCAGAAAGAAATTTCCTTCCTGGAATAGGGTTGCATTCTTAGGTACACTGTGGGCATGTATATCTCCATTTGCAGACAGTGTAGCAGTCTATATATTAACCATTGTACTAATCTGGTATGGCAAATCCTGTATGTATGTTTGTTCTGTATGAAATATTCATAATATTACATTTGCTGCCTTATACTGATCCTTAAATGAGCAGTTTCAGGTCAAATTAGGCCCAAATATTAGGTTTTACAAAAACAAATCTAAGACCAATGGTAATATTTCCATTATTTTCTTTTTTAAATCCCAAAGGAAATGCTTTATTGTAATAAGAAGAATTAATACAGCGTTTGCAATCCAAACTTTACAGCATTTTGCTAGAGTAAAATTGACTGGCAACTGACAATAAACAATGAAACTAATTAGTCAATTTTCATTGTCCATTCTAAGAGAAATCCAAAAAGTAACAACATAAATGGTAACAAGCAAATTCAAATTTTAAACTTACTTTGAGATTTGCAGATAACATCTTATATTATTATCTAGGCCAGGAAATGATTGGGACCTGATCTGCAGCTCACTCAAGTCAATGCACCTTGGATCAGGACAATGATTTGGGGGGTTCGGATAAGGGGCGGGGTTCAGGTCATGCCTGGCTGTTTGGGGAGGCACAGCCTCCCCTAAGCAGCCCTCCATACAATTTTGGAAACCCGATGTGGCCCTCAGGCCAAAAAGTTTGCCTACCCCTGTTCTCGACTGTAACATCTCAGAACTTCTTAGAACTTTGCTGCTGCAGAGTGAATGTCACTCAAAGCGGGCCTCCCATGTGGAACACAGGAATTGCCATACAGGATTGGACAGAGGCCAGAACCAGCTGCTTCAGAGGAAGGTACCAGAGACCCTGAAATAAGTAGCTATAGAATAACCTGTCCCCACAGGGGAAGTTTCTTCCTAACCTCTATTAGTTAGAGGATGGCTAATGGCCTGATGGCCTGAAGCATGAAGGTTTTCTATCCCTTTGACAACTCTTGGTTTTTAAAAATCCTTACTATTGTGTTATACCACTATTATACCTGGATATTCATGTTATCCATATAAATGTCCAATCTTTTAAAATCTTGCTAAGCTTACTCTGCATGTTACCATGTCAATGAGTTCCACTAAATAACTGTGTATTGTGTAAAAAAGTATTAATTTTCACTAGTTTTAAATTTGCTGACAGTCAATTTCATTGAATGTGGCATTCAAGGCTTTAACACAAGAGGTCGATTTAAAAGTGACTACAAAGTGACGTAATTCCTGCTTTCCTTCCCATAAACGTACGTTTACAAATGGAGTCCATAAGTTCCTGTCATCCATAGAACAAGTTGCTTTTTCTTTGTCTGAGTCACAGATACGTTCTTCCTCCAAACTCGTCAAAAGGCAGCTTTTCAATAACGGCACCACAAGTGATCACCAAGCAGCTTCAGTATCACACTGGTGTTTATATCTAATAGCAGAATACTGACCTGCACCCTCTCATACTTTAATGTCTCTGTCTGATCAGCTCACGCCTGTGATTCCATGAGCAAACTGACTTCATAGTCCTTGACTATGGCACATGCCAATGACCACCACATTGTAAACACGGACAGAACTCAGGAGCTTTGTTTAGATGAGGGCAGTATGCAATGAAATGGCTAATGTGTGTACCCTGCCCTCTACAGGATGAACTGTGACATTCTATGACACTTGTACAAATATGTTGCCTGCAGTCCAGAGACTGGCCCACAGAGACTATTATGTCTTAAGCTACTGCAGCTAGTAGAGATCCTCTTTTAGCTAAAGTGGTAGTCTTCTATGCTTTGGAGACAAATATCCCCATGTCAGATATGTATGCAGCATAGCTATTGATTGTAGTGTGGGAATGTAGACAACACACTGATTTATTACCCAACTAATGGTTAGAACCAATTAGGTTATGCAAATGCTCTCCCAATGTACAAGCTATTGCATGCATTCATCAGCCTTTAAATGTCAGCCTGAGTGCCATGTGGCAGGTGGATAAACAAATGCATGTTTAGATCCAGGTTTAAAAAGCCTGTTTGGTTTTTTCCAGTTAACATCACTTAAAGCTGGTTTCTGCAAGTTCTAATTATGGTTTAACTCTGAATCCACAGTTATAATCCTTTTACCTTGCCAGTAGACTCTGTTCCTCTCAGAATACACAGATAGACCACCAGCCAAGCCAGGATCAGGCATACTGCTTGCTCCCACTGGATGCTCCCATACTCCTCAATGGATGGTGAAATGTTCAGGGTTTTCCTGTACCAAAAGTACTGAGTAGATGAGGTCTTCGCACATTCTTCATCAAAACCAGTGTGGTTACTGTTCAGTGGACAACTGGCCCATGGCAAGGGATCCTTTGGGGGCCAAACAAATGCAAAAGTTGCAAAAGTTAAGCATGTTGCAGGGATTTTCAGAGCTTTAGTTTATCAATGTCTGTACTTTGACCTGTCAACCTTTTACCCCTAATCAGGAAAATTACAGATTTATTCCTTATGCCATTTGACCTAAACCGAATTTCTCACCCCTGATAATCTGTATGTTATTCCCTAATAACAAGAAACTTCTGTGCTTCAACTCTGTACCATTCACTTTCTTTAAACATCATCTTAATAAAATTTTTAAATCTGTTCTTGCTGAGGCGTGCGGGGAAGAGAAAAGGTATTGTGCAAAGTGACAGTGCAAGGAAGCCAGTGGCGTATTGTCTTGTAGCTGTATGGGGACTCTGGGACAGATCCTGCAGCTCTTACTCCCATGAGTAACCTCGCTGACATATTTATATCTAATAGCATGAAGCCGACATACATGTAGTGATGTTGTTCTTTCATTTTCATCATCTCCTTCTCTTCAGCTCATACCAGTGATGTACTGGGACTAGTCACAGGAGTAAGGGCTGCGGTCATTTGTGGAAATTCCTATGAATGCTAATGTTCTTAGGATGTTAAGTCCCACAGAAATAAATAGCATTCATCTGAGAGAACCATAATCCAAAGGGCAGAGTCTGTTACCATTTTCTTATGGAACTATTGATATAAGAACATAAGAATGGCCATGCTGGGTCAGACCAATGGTCCATCAAGCCCAGTATTCTGGCTTCTGACAGTGGCGAATGCCAGATCCTTCAAAGGGAATGAACAGAACAGGTAATCATCAAGTGATCCAGCCCCTGTGGCCCATTCCCAGCTTCTGGCACCATCCCTATTCATCCTGGCAAATAGCCATTGATGGACCTATCCTCCATTAATTTATCTAATTTTTTTTTAACCCTGTTATAGTCTTGGTCTTCACAAAATCTCTGGCAAAGAGTTCCACAGATTGACTGTGCGTGATGTGAAGAAATTCTTTATTTTAAACCTGCTGCCTATTAATTTCATTGGGTGAATGTGGTGTTGGAGAGCTGCCTAGCAGCCTCTCGTTCATATTCCGACCTATTCACGCACCTATTCACTGCACCATCTGCTCAAGAAACTCCCTGAAAAAACACAAGAACAAATCTGCACACACACCCCCCTTAGAACTCCAACCAGGGGTATTCTATCTGCTACCCAAGATCCATACACCTGGAAATCCTGGATGCTCCATCATCTCAGACATTGGCACCCTGACAGCAGGATTGTCTGGTTATGTAGACTCCCTCCTTAGGCCCTACTCTACCAGCAATCCCAGCTATCTTCGAAACACCACTGACTTCCTGAGGAAACTACAATCCATCGGTGATCTTCCTGAAAACACCATCGTGGCCCCATATGGATGTAGAAGCCCTCTACACCAACATTCCACTCAAAGATGGACTACAAGCCATCAGGAACAGTATCCCCGGTAATGTCACAACAAACCTGGTGGCTGAACTTTATGACTTTGTCCTCACCCACAACTATTTCACATTTGGGGACAATGTATACCTTCAAATCAGCGGCACTGTGATGGGTACCCGCATGGCCCCACAGTATGCCAACGTTTTTATGGCTGACTTAGAACAATGCTTCCTCAACTCTCGTCCCCTAATGCCCCTACTCTACTTGCGCTACACTGATGACATTTTCATCATCTGGACCCATGGAAAAGAAGCCCTTGAGGAATTCCACCATGATTTCAACAATTTCCATCCCACCATCAACCTCAGCCTGGACCAGTCCACACAAGAGATCCACTTCCTGGACACTACAGTGCTAATAAACACCACCCTATACCGGAAACCTACTGACCGCCATACTTACCTACATGCCTCCAGCTTTCATCCAGATCACACCACACGATCCATTCTCTACAGCCAAGCTCTAAGATACAACCGCATTTGCTCCAAGCCCTCAGACAGAGACAAACACCTACAAGATCTCTATCAAGTGTTCTTACAACTACAATACCCACCTGCTGAAGTGAAGAAACAGATTGACAGAACCAGAAGAGTAGCCAGAAGTCAGCTGCTACAGGACAGGCTCAACATAGAAAGTAACAGAATGCCACTAGCCGTCACCTTCAGCCCCCAACTAAAACCTCTCCAGCGCATCATCAAGGATCTACAACCTATCCTGAAGGATGATCCCTCACTCTCAAAGATCTTGGGAGACAGGCCAGTCGTCGCTTACAGACAGCCCCTGCAACCTGAAGCAAATACTCACTAACAACCGCACAACAAAAACACTAACCCAGGAACCTATCCTTGCAACAAAGCCCGTTGCCAGCTCTGTCCACATATCTATTCAAGGGACACCATCATAGGACCTAATCACATCAGCCACACCATCAGAGGCTTGTTCACCTGCACATCTACCAATGTGATATATGCCATCATGTGCCAGCAATGCCCCTCTGCCATGTACATTGGCCAAACTGGACAGCCTCTATGCAAAAGAATAAATGGTCACAAATCAGACAACAAGAATTATAACATTCAAAAGCCACTTGGAGAACACTTCAACCTCCCTGGATACTCAATTACAGACCTAAAAGTCATAATTATTCAACAAAAAAACTTCAAAAACAGACTCCAATGAGAAACTGAAGAACTGGAATTAATCTGCAGACTGGACACCATTAAATTAGGCTTGAATAAAGACTGGGAGTGGATGAGTCATTATATTAACTAAAAACTATTTCCCCGTGCTAATTTTCCCCATACTGTTACTCACACCTTCTTGTCAACTGTTTGAAATGGGCCATCCTGATTATCACTACAAAAGTTTTTTTCTCCTGCTGATAACAGCCCACCTTAATCGACTGGTCTTGTTAAGAGTTGCTATGGGAACCCCCATTTTTTCATGTTCTCTGTGTATGTGTATATATCTATATCTTCCTACTGTATTTTCCACTGCATGCATCCGATGAAGTGGGCTTTCACCCACGAAAGCTTATGCTCAAATAAATTGGTTAGTCTCTAAGATGCCACAAGTCCTCCTGTTCTTTTTGCGGATACAGACTAACACGGCTGCTACTCTGAAACATGAAGCACATTGTAAAAGACAAAATCATGTCACAGATGTCTTTGGACAAGTCCTATGCATTTGTAAGTCCTGCCGAAGCAAATAGGGAAGTGGCTACTCAGCTTGATCATTACCTCACTATCCAAGTTCAAATGTCAGTGCACCAATAAAGCCCCTTTATTAAGCCCCTGCAGAAACTCCAGAGATGATACATCATGAAACCTTATTTACTTCCTCTCAGAAACACCCATTCTGTGCTGCCGGGAGAAGCTACATAGCTCATCGCAGAAAGCTTTTATCTTTATTTTGTTGATCAAGAGATCAGCAAAGGTCTCACAAGGATGTGAAAGCATGTCCCCCTTTGGAGACATAATTAAGACACTTTTAAAGTGTTTGCTGCCAACAAGCTTTAACCAGACCAGGCTTCTGAAGTTGGCAGAGCAGAGCTGGATGGCCTGATGATGACTATAAGCAACTCAAATAAACACACTTCTAAATGGGACCATTCAGTGGTCAGGTTGTTGTGCTGGTTATTAGCTAACTGCCCATCAGCATCTGCAGAATTTAAGTTTTCATATCGCTTCTGCGCATATCAGATTTCCCTCTGGGCTAGTGCCACCTGCCTGGTAAATGGATCGTACTTTTGCCAAACAAGCCAGGTATGTTTTCAGAATTCCCAAGCACTTTGGCCCCAGCCCACCCCTGCAGGAAGTTGGGTCACTGTCTAGCAATGCAGCTCATCAGTGTTTCTACTCACCTGGAATGAATGGAACAGGTACCAGAACGCCCAGGCATTTATAACGTTATAGTACATGGAGAGGAAAAATGACACCACCACGCTGGCAATGCCTGAGAATGAGAAAAGGGAAAGTCAGCGGAAGGGCAAACTAGCTATCCATCAAACTGCAGAATTTAAAAAGGACACTTTTCAGCCATCTTAGCTCTCCCGGAGGACCACCACCATCACCAATGAAACATAAAGGTTCGGAAAAGAAGGCTGGAAAAATTGGAGCCCAGCTAGATACAAGCTGCCTAAGGTCTAGAGCTGTCCTATTGGGAAAGTGGCAATGCCTTCGGGGCAAAGAGACCAGTCAACCCAGTGACTTATGGTTCGACGTCCACACTGCAAAGAACTAGCATTCTGAGTCTCTCCTGGGAAGACAATAATGCGCCTTTAGTCGGGGTGAAACCCTGGTAGCTAAGGGGGCAGTGTTTTCTGACAGACTCTACGTGTGTCACCACAAAAGTACCCTTTACAAAAAAAAAATGTCTGCTGGTATTGCTACGGTGACCTTCTGGCTGGACAGAGCCATTTCCTGAAATGCAGGGCTATTTCCTGGTAATTGTGTTCTAAGTGACCCTATCCTGAAATACTGAACAAGTGTCATTATCCTTCTTTCGGCCAAAGAGCAGTTGGCTGGTGCCAACCCTCACTTCCTTTCTCTTCACTCTAAACACGATGAAACACTGATGTCTCAGTCCCCTGGACTCGCTGTCTCTGATAAACACACAGTAAATTCTCCTGCGCACAGCAACACCTCTTGAACAAACATTTTGACTGATAAAATGAGAAATTGGGACAATTCAGGTGTCCCAAAAATATTCCTAGAACACCTGGACGTGTGAAAATCCGGAACTGTCAGGGGAATAGTGGGACATATGTTCACTTTAGTGTAAGCTGCTCTGCTTACTACCTGCCTGATTAACCATGTGGCAGGGGGATAAAAAAAGGCATGTTTAGAGCCAATCAGGCCACTTCAAGATTACAAACTCAGTTAAAACTTGGTGTGTGGATGGAATCTGAGACCCCTGACTGGTACATGGCCCTTATTTTTGCCAAACGAGCTAGGACGGTTTCTTCATGCTGTGGATTAGGAGACAGAGTCAGCAGCATTTACCAGAGTTTCACAATTGAAAGGAATTATCCCACTTCCATGCAAATCAGTGACAAAATCCCTACACTCTGTTAGTGGTCACCAACCGGTAGATCGCGATCGACTCGTCAAACCTGGAGCCCCTGGCAGTTGATTGTGATCTCCAGCCGCTAAAAGTCTGGTGGCACAGTGGGGCTAAGGCAGACTTCCTGCCTACCCTGGCCCCACGCCACTCCCAGAAGCGGCCAGCATACCCCTGCAAGTCCCTGGGGGGGAGCAGGGGTCTCCGCGCTCCGCTCCTGCCTGCAAGCACCACCCCTGCAGCTCCCACTGGCTGGGAACGGGGACCTGCGGCCAACAGGAGCTGCACAAATATAAATCAAATATCAGGTAAAAGATGGAGCTCTTCATTCTAGGGCTAGACCCTTTGCAAGACACCTTTGTGGAAGCAATGCCAAGCTGTTTTACCTGATATCCAGGAAGAGTGCTGTAAGCCCTTCCTGCACACAAACAACAGTTACATATTTATTGTTTTACTGTACTCTTTTGAAATCTCTCTTCTTTCAAGGGCATGCAGGAGTTGAGCCTGAACTTTGGTCACTTATGGTGAATATTCAACGCCATTTTTGAACAATTCGCATTCAAATGAACTGGCGGTAGTTTAGGCTAGAAGGGCCATTTAGGCTTTTTTAGATGGATTCGTGCAGTTACTGGCCTTGGTTGAGGGATGAGAATAATAAATTGGTGCATTGTTTTGTTGCTGTGATGTATTTTGTTAAGCTTGTCAGGAGGATGATCTTGTTGTTAAAGCACCAAACAGGCAGTCTGGAGATCTGGGGTCTGGTGCTGGGTTCTGCCACTGACTTTCCATGGTTCGGTTTCTGCAAAATGGAGACAATCCTTCCCTGCCTCACAGGCATGTCATGAAGTATGATTTATTCATGCTTGTAAAGTGCTTTACTGATCCTTGGCTTAATAGATTCAGAGATTCAGCCAGAAGGGACCATTGTGTTCATCCAGTCTGCCCTTCTGTATAACTCAGGCCATAAAACTTCCCCAAAATAATTCCTAGAGCAGATCTTTCAGAAAAACCTTCAATCTTGATTTAAAAGTTGCCAGTGATGGAGAATCCACCATTGCCCTTGGGAAATTGTCCCAATGATTAGTTACCCTCACTGTTAAATATGTACACCTTACTTCCAGTCTGAATTTGTCTAGCTTCAACTTCCAGCCACTGGATCATGTTATACCTTGTCTGCTCGATGGAAGAGCTCATTATCAAATATTTGTCCCCAGCGTAAGTATTTATAGACTGTGATCAAGTCACCACTTAACCTACACATTTGTCAAGCTAAATAGATGGAGCTCCTTGAGTCTAGCACTATTAGAAGTGTGTTCTAATTCTTTCATCATTCTCGTGGCTCTTCCCTGAACCCTCTCCAACTGCTGAAACATCCTTCTTGAATTGTGGACTCCAGAACTGGACACAGTATACCATTAGGAGTTGCACCAGTGCCAAATACAAAGGTAAAATAACCTCTCTTCTCCTACTCAAGATTAGTCTGTTTATGCATTCAAAGATCGCATTAGCCCTTTTGGCCACAGTGTCACACTGGGAGCTCATGTTCAGCTGATTATCCATCATGACCCCCAAATCTTTTTCAGAGTCCCTGCTTCCCAGACTAGAGTCCCCCCTCCTGTAAGTATGGCCTTCATTCTTTGTTCCTAGATCTATACATCTAAATTTAGCTGTATTAAAATACATATGATTTGCTTGCACCCAGCTTATCAAGCAATCCAACCTGTCCTCTTCATTATTTACCACTACGCCAATCTTTGTGTCATCTGCAAACTTGTCAGTGCTGATTTTATATTTTCTTCCAGATCATTGATAAAAATGTTAAATAGCACAGGGCCTGGGAGGTGCTACAGATGTGAGAAGTCATTTCAGGCTTTGCTATACATCACCATCTTACAGTATAAGACAGTGACATGGAAGGAAGTGGCTGAAATGTTGTATTGTGACCCAGCAGCAAAACAATGTACTCTTTTTAGAGTTGATGGCCACTCTCAGCTCCTCACAGGTTGTTCAGCCAGTGCTGCATCTAGGTGGGAGGCAGCAGGGGTCAGGGAAGCTTAACCTCTCTGTGCTCACTGTTTAGAAACCCTGGATAATATTTGCCTACTTTACGGAAGTATTATGAAGCTTAATTATATAATGATTGCCAAGTGCTCTGAGATTCTCAATACATAGGGTGCTATATACATGTGAAGTATGATAAGAATTATGACCTGTGCTCTGGGGGAAACTAAAGTTCATTGCACATACTTTAGCACAGCTCTTTTTGCTAATTACCCAGGGATCCATGACTTTGATCAAAACTGATTTCATTTGTATGGTCAATGTATCTTGCCCATTTCATTTTATATCCCATAAATACCCCAATTCCTGTCCCTTTCCTGCTCTAAATTACATTTAATACAAAATCATAGGAAGCCCCAAAAGTCAGCTGGGAGTTAAAAGTAACCCTGTGCATGAATTGAGAACGTACCAACCCCGCTGAGGTAGGGGCTTATGATTTTCCACGCGCCTATGCTCCCTCGGCGCATGTGCTGTCCCACTGCCAACTCCAGGTATAGCAAAGGCATCCCTTCTACAATTAACATGATGAAATATGGGATTAAAAATCCCCCTGTAGGAGAAACAAAAGAAAGCATTTAACAAGCAAATGAGAGAAATGAGCTCTTATTTTTGAGACGTCAAATACAGTTTTAATAACACTGCTCTGTCATTAGCTGGCTCACCACTAATGATATGAACTGGAACGCATACAGCGCCAGACATGCACACCTAGTCATGTACCACATCCATGCATGTACACCTCGGTATGCTCTTCCATTCACCGTTGTATGCAATGCCTGCTGCTTGTGCAGCCATAAACTAGTGGTCAAAGTGACAAGCTATGGAACAGCTGAAGCTAGTCCATAATGAGAGTCAACACATTCTCTGCCCTTGATGATTAGCCTGTAATTGCTACACGAGGGCTCTTGGGCCAAACAGTTGTCTTTCAGACGACAGTATATTGCTGACGAGTGCTGTTTTAGGATCCCAGCTGCACCTGCTGCTTCGGGCAGTGTCACCAGCATGACTGATGCAACAAAACCCTAACTGTGTTGTCATCTCAGTAGGAGGTGGAAGCGTCACATTTGATCAAATACATTTGATATACCTCAGTGTTGATGCCAGTCAGCAGCAATGTGAGGGTGTGACACCAGGAAAGCACGTGGGCAAACGTGAGACTATCTAGACTCAAGCCACATCTCAGCACTGGGCCCAGTCTCCAGCTGGGAATGTGGCTCACACCACATCCAAGATTCATCTGAACAATCACTATACAACACTGTGTGACCTTGTCTACACTGGTGCATTGTTACTGATACTTGGCAACCCTGGGATATTTTTGCTAAACATTTCCTTGTCTAGCCCTGGCCAATGAGAGAATGTCACAGTTGTTCACTTTGAGCAGTACAAGACCACAGCTATTAAAGTGTAACTAATTGGTACCCAAGCTGTTAAGGGTAATGAGGGAGGTGATGAGGGGGAGAGGTTTATTTCACATTCATTGCTCTTAAAGGGCCAAGGAGTGCAGCACTGAAGAGAGGTAAGGAAAAACCCTCAAAGGATCGTGAGCCTGAGGGCCTATCTACATAATAAATAAACTGTGTTTTCATAAGTAGGTGGTACCACCTTCATCTGACCTGGTTAAAAAACCACATGGGGACAGAACCTCAGCTGGTGTAAATGGCCATAGCTCTACTGAAGTCACTAGGGATCTGACAAAAAGAAAAGGAGTACTTGTGGCACCTTAGAGACTAACCAATTTATTTGAGCATGAGCTTTCGTGAGCTACAGCTCACTTCATCAGATGTATACCGTGGAAACTGCAGCAGACTTTATATACACACAGAGAATATGAAACAATACCTCCTCCCACCCCACTGTCCTGCTGGTAATAGCTTATCTAAAGTGATCAACAGGTGGGCCATTTCCAGCACAAATCCAGGTTTTCTCACCCTCCACCCCCCCACACAAATTCACTCTCCTGCTGGTGCTAGCCCCTCCAAAGTGACAACTCTTTACATAATCAAGTCGGGCTATTTCCTGCATAGATCCAGGTTTTCTCACCCCCCCCCCACCCCCATACACACACAAACTCACTCTCCTGCTGGTAATAGCTCATCTAAACTGACCACTCTCCAAGTTTAAATCCAAGTTAAACCAGAACATCTGGGGGGGGGGGGGGTAGGAAAAAACAAGAGGAAACAGGCTACCTTGCATAATGACTTAGCCACTCCCTTGCCTACAGACAACCCCGCAACCTGAAGCAAATACTCACCAACAACCACATACCACACAACAGAACCACTAACCCAGGAACTTATCCTTGCAACAAAGCCCATTGCCAATTGTGCCCACATATATATTCAGGGGACACCATCACAGGGCCTAATAACATCAGCCACACTATCAGAGGCTCGTTCACCTGCACATCCACCAATGTGATATATGCCATCATGTGCCAGCAATGCCCCTCTGCCATGTACATTGGTCAAATTGGACAGTCTCTACGTAAAAGAATAAATGGACACAAATCAGATGTCAAGAATTATAACATTCATAAACCAGTCGGCGAACACTTCAATCTCTCTGGTCACGCAATCACAGACATGAAGGTCGCTATCTTAAAACAAAAAAACTTCAAATCCAGACTCCAGCGAGAAACTGCTGAATTGGAATTCATTTGCAAATTGGATACTATTAATTTAGGCTTAAATAGAGACTGGGAGTGGCTAAGTCATTATGCAAGGTAGCCTGTTTCCTCTTGTTTTTTCCTACCCCCCCCCCCCCGGCCGATGTTCTGGTTTAACTTGGATTTAAACTTGGAGAGTGGTCAGTTTAGATGAGCTATTACCAGCAGGAGAGTGAGTTTGTGTGTGTATGGGGGTGGGGGGGATGTGAGAAAACCTGGATCTATGCAGGAAATAGCCCGACTTGATTATGTAAAGAGTTGTCACTTTGGATGGGCTAGCATCAGCAGGAGAGTGAATTTGTGTGGGGGGGTGGAGGGTGAGAAAACCTGGATTTGTGCTGGAAATGGCCCACCTGTTGATCACTTTAGATAAGCTATTACCAGGAGGACAGTGGGGTGGGAGGAGGTATTGTTTCATATTCTCTGTGTGTATATAAAGTCTGCTGCAGTTTCCACGGTATACATCTGATGAAGTGAGCTGTAGCTCACGAAAGCTCATGCTCAAATAAATTGGTTAGTCTCTAAGGTGCCACAAGTACTCCTTTTCTTTTTGTGAATACAGACTAACACGGCTGTTCCTCTGAAACTAGGGATCTGAAAGTTTGCAACAAGACCTGTGGGTCTGCCCCATGGCTGACTTATGTGTACACCACAACTTTTTTCACATGTGCCAGCTAAATTTGCACATCCACACCTAACACAACGCCTCCCAGTATTTGTACTGCAGCTACCCCATAGTTCCTCCACAGGGGCTCGGCTGCCTGGAGGACATGCACACAGAGCAATGCCAATAGCCGATAGGAAACTGTACTCTTGGTTTGTCCTACTGTGCAGACCTGGAAGGAAGGAAGACTGGCCAATCCAATTCCATAGACACGGGGTCCTGTGCACAGAGCAAAATAAAATCACTGTGGCCTGCTCACAGGAGAACAACCATGTACTAACTATGTTGCTGGCAAAGGGGACACACAATTAGCAGCCACAGGGTGAAGTCTTGCTTCTGTCTGAACTGATTTGCCCATTCTGATGTCGTGAACTGAATGCACATTTGTGACTAATGAGGTGAGATTAGTGATAGATAGCTCCGCATGTATTGACCCTAAAAAGGAAATCCAAAGGGCTTTAAGTGGCTTTTAAATTACAGTGAAACCCCACTACAAATTAGAGAAAGGCTCGAGCGATGGAGTTGGGCTGTCACCATAGTTCGGGCTGGGTTTGGCTCCGGTGTTCTGGCAGTGAGGACATGGGGGAAGGGAGCACCTGAAAGAACCCGAGTCAGAAGGGAGTGAGCAGAACACAGAGGAAAAAGGTGGGTGAGGAAGAAGGAAATAAAGAAAAGGGCGGGTAACACTGCAGAAAAATGAAAAAGGAGAAACAGTGAAATAGTCTAATCCCAAAATACCCACAAAACAGGTTAGATTCTCTTTCTACACATAAATTCTGTTAAACCCAGGGGTGTTGGATTTTGTGAGCCACCAAAAGGACATTATATGGTTGGCCTGGATCCTCCAGTCCAGCCCTGCTCTGCCACCTCCACCCTTGCATCCCACTCGCCTCTCAAGCTCACCCTCCAGGTCTAACCCATGCTTCTGATTTCCAGCTCCTGCGCTGCTTCTATTCCCCACCCCCCAGGGAAACTGCTGAAACTCCATGCCAGGCTGTACCTTTGCACCCTGCCCGCCCCCCTGTTCCTTTGTCCTCTGGGCCCTAATTCTTAAATCCAGCCCTGTGTTCTAAAAGACGAACAGGATACTGTGTCACTGTACGTGCAGTCCCTGTTACTGCTGATGTATGTGATTGAGGCAAGGGAATATCATACTCTCCAGGGGGCAGAAGGCTCAAAAAATTGTGAAAACTGGCAAAAGATCAAAGACCAACACTGTAGCAGATGTTGCTGAAGTAGTTACATGTTTTTATTTCTATAGGGCCTGATCCAAAGTCCACTGACGTTAAAAGGAGTCTTGCCCGTTGACTTGAATGGGCTTTGGATCAGACCCATAGAATGTTGCTCTGTTCACGAGGTAATGGGTATTAGAAAAAGCAGCAGATTAAAGAGCAAAGCAATTAGCCAAAATTTTGCCCAGTGCTTAGTTTGCTCGTGCGCTCTCAGCCCCAACCTGGAAGAGGATTTGTGTAGCTCTTGGTACAAGAAGGCCTGTTGTTTTCAAGTACTGTGAGTTGGTAACTCTAATTGTCCTGCTAGTAAAATAATTTGGTTCTGTGCGGAGCTGTAGGGATTTTAAAGCTACTGTGGCATCATCACTGCATGCTGAACCAACCTCGGTTTATCCAACCACTGTATGTAAGGGGAAAGAATGGTGGTGAGCTCTCCAGGACCTACTACGGTCATGCCTTTAAGTGCATCGATGAGTTACTGGCATAATCAGATGGCTGATACATCACCATTCTAGCCTGCAAATAAAGATAGCATGTGATGCCTCTGCATATCGGTTTTGAGGTGGCAATCACATGGCATTAAATACATTACTTTCCCTGTATAAACTTTGAACATCAGGAATATAATTACACTGACAATGGAAGAGACGCTTTAGGTATTATAGATGGGGGAACAGGTGGATACATCTCCAGTGTGCATTTACCTGGATCAGATGGAGCTCTAGCCCAGAAAGACCATTGGGGAAGCCACTGGAAGAAATCACTATCCCCAGTTTGGTCAGTTTCCTTCTCCCCATCATAACCCAACATAATGTGAGTCTTACATTGATTGACATCTTATTTTGCTGACAAAGCCTTACTTAGTTTCTTGAATCACATTGTCTGAGAGATACTGAGTACCCACAACTCCCATTAAAGTCCATAGGAATTGGGAGAGATCAGCCCCTCACAGGATGTGACCTGTGCAGCACCAGAAGAAGCAGTAGCAGAGGGAACATGCACTTACAAGTGTGAGCTGCTGACCAGCAAGATGCCACTGAGATAGCTGAGCCTACCCTGCAAAAAACGGGGTACAAAAGGATATCTCAACAAGGCTTGGAAGTTTAAAGAATTAAGCTACATCAGTTAATTGGGTTTTGGTTGAAACCAGAAGCACTGAAGTTCCTTAACTGGAGTCCCTCACTCTTACACGCTTTTACCGAGTCAGCTTTGAATGCCTTTGTTTAGGATTGGCATGGTACAGATCCCTGATTCACCCTAGTTCTTAATTGTAACTAATGGGGGTGAGGTGAGTATGTAAACTTGCAGGCTGGATCAAGTGCCCTGGATCCTACATTTAAATGCCATAAATTGCACTTGGGCATTTCTAGATCATCAGAGAGGAACAATTGATGTGCTCACTCCCCACTGTGCGCGTGAAACAGACAAGGTCTTTGCAAAGGGGAAGACAGACAAGCAGACTTGGTTCCTTGCAGAGGGCAAAGACGGGGAGGAACAGAGAGATTCTGTTATAGTGGGGTGGCTCATTAGTACCATATGGTACTTGAATGGGGTATGTGTCACTGCAGGTTTCTCCTGGAAAAAGCCCCTACCTTTGACTTTGAGATCACCTCAGAAAGACCTGCTGACGAAGTCAAAAACAGATTTTTGAGAAGCCTTTCCTGGTTTTAACAGCAAGCCAAAATATTTACATAAATATCTATTAGTTGGCATTTAATCTCCAGTATTAACATTCCTTGCAATGGGCTCTGCTCAGCAATGAAAATGAATGCAATCTGCCCAGTTACTTGCAAAGACGTTGAAATGAACACTGAGCAATAATCCGTATTATTCAGGGAATTAATTTTATACCTCCCGGCTATGCTTTTATTAACAACCCCTTTGTTTGCATCTTATGTTAGATAAACTGGGGTGGTATCAGAGACTTCACAGTCCTTACATATTCAGTGGGGACCTTTTATAGCACCCAGTCGAACCCCAGTGAACCCGCTGTTGACTTCAAGGGGATCAGGATCAGACCCTTTGTGAAGTCCTTTTTTTCACCAGACAGCTTCACGATATCTGGATTTGCAGTTTGCCATGTTGTAGCACAGTGAAATAATTAGGGACTTTCATTCTACTTCACAACGAACGAGAGCTGGGGCGGAACCAAAAGCCCAGATCCAAACACCCCCCCAACTTTGGTTATGTTTGGATCCAAACTTTGCTTCCAGCCCCTCTCTTTATAATGAGCTGAACCAAGATCCCAGAGCCAAACAACCTATGAACTCTGGGGCAGCTCAGTTCTGGATTCAAAGTTAAACCTTGGGCCAGATCATCAGCAGATGTAAATCAGCATAGCTTCATTAAAGTCAATGGTGCCCAGCTGATTTGTTCCAAATGAGGATCTGCCCCTCTGTGTCTTGGGCCTGTATCTATTAAGTATGACTGTCCCTATAGCTGAGTTCAGTATAAACAAGTTCCATTGTATCTTTAATTTGATAATCTCATTTATACATGAGTTAGCTGCCAAAGAACTGTCTTAAAAACTAATAGGCATCTTAACTGATATGTTAATCAAACCACAGAAAAATAATTGCCGCTCCTTAGTCAGAATTGGTTCATATCCGTGTTGCCCAGTTCAAGCTCTATGGCTAAAAGAGAGGATAAGCAGTGAATACATTTACGAGAAGGAAGAGAATCGGTTTTGAAGTTTGGATGGCTACTGAATCTTATAGATATCTGTGGTAAGAACTTTTAGACTATGCTCTGCAGGGCAGGGAATGATTTTATTTTTGTGTTTCAGTGTGTCAACCACATAGTCAACCCTACACAATAATACTAATGGGGGAAAATGCAGCAGTCAGCTGAATTTATAAGGCTGTTCATTTAGGTCCCTGAAAACCATACTTTGCAGACAATCCATGTTGCTGTGTGGTGTTTTTTTTTTCTTTGGGCTGGAGGCATTGATCAAAGGTACACTTGTGTGTTATATCACATTCACTGCCTATGCCATAAAGATTTCCAGCTGCAGGGCTCGATAAGAGAAATTTAGCAAGCTAAGCTTGTTACAGTAGAGTAAAAAGCCTGATACTTGAGTCTAACTGCCCTTTAGAACAGCTCTGCTGTGGCGGATAGGCAGATGGTCTGCAATGGGTTAGACACAATCTAAAAATGTGTACATAATGTGCAATTAAATTTTTAAAAAATATTAAAAGGCAATGTTCCGGTGTCACTTTCAAGGAGGAAGATGTTAGCCTTCTGAAACATTTGTAATTGAGAATCCAGCAGGAATTATAGATCATCTCTCTAGCTAATATATCCTGGTTTACGTTTCTATACAGCATCAACCACTTGCAGTATCTAAATGCTAAGTTAGGCCCTGATCCCAAGCCCATTGAAATAAATGGAAAGACTCCCACTGACTTCAGAAAGCTCTGGACCAGGTCCTTACGGAATATCTCATCTAATCTATCTAGAAATTAATTTAAACAATCGCTCCAGCACACATTGATTGCCTTGTGCAAGTGGGTTTAAATCTTGTGTTTGAACCAAAGTTAAAAAAAAGAGTTTAAAAATCTGCAGACAGTTTTCCTCCCAGGAAGAAAAAGGGTGAAGGGCGGAAAGAACCAGAAGTGACAGGTGCTAGGGATTCAGGTTCTACGGTGATGGATGCAGCATAGAAAAGCTGAATAGAACTGTCTGAGGAACCTTATAGGAGCTTCTTCAAGGCTAGTCATGGTAGGTATTTGCCTATTAAAAGTGGTGGTACATTTTCTCTATACTTAACCTAATAAGCTGATCTTTGATTTCTAAGTGCAGAAAAGCAACTGACACTGGCTTTATGTCTATTTCTGACATTTTTTTCTTAAATTTGGAGGGGGTGAAAAAACAGCATCCCAGTGAGAGAACTCTTTTTGAACCAAAACCAGTTTAATCTACATTTCCAAAGCCTCTTGTGAGATTTTAGCTGCAGCAGTCTCGTTGCCTAAGGGGTTTCTGCCAACTTCCAGGCAACTTTGCAGCCAAGTTATCAACCCTTTAAAATTAAGCCTTATATAACAGAACTGCATTAACAGCAGCAGTTTGAATGGCTATTATTAATCCCTTAATTAAATCAGTGTAAATCTCTTCCCTTCTCAGTAGCATTTTTGGATCCAAACATGTAAACCTATAAGAAATCGAACCAGTTTCTGATGCCCTGAAAGTAAGTTAGCAGGGGGATTAAAAAATCAGCACCATAGGAACCTGCCCTCTTATACAACACATTGTTCCTCCCTGTGTTTTCAGAGCTCAGTTGGGAAGGAATAGTATTGTATTGAATTGGGATGGTAATCAGGAAAAAGGGTTACACGGGAGACACAATGGAAAGCAGTGTGAAATAAAATAAAGATGTATAACGTCTCTGTAGCTAGAGATGGTCTGATGATACAATTAATGTCTCTTGCCTACATAATCTGAAGAAGTCCCCCTCCACTGAATATAAAAACCGATCAGATGGATGGGATACTGACATGGACATACTTTTGGTTTAAAAATTTAACATTCCAATTCTGTACCCTTCTGAGAGGGAATCAAGAAAAACTGCACTTACCTCCTCCATACAGCTGACATAAATATGGAAATCTCCAAACATTTCCCAGCCCCACTGCATAAGAAATGCAGGCAAAAACAAACTGTAAGGAATTGTCCCATAATGGCCGGGGGTTTTCCATTTGCACTTTCAAGCTCAGATTTCAGCAGAGGGCTCTTGACTTCACTCCTTCAGATGCTCTTCAATGCCCTGCCTGAGACTCAAAGCCAACCCAACTGAGAGGGGAGTATACTTGCCAACTGCTATCAAGCTTTTTAATTACTAATCTTATTAACAGGCACATAGTGAAGTAGGAATGCTGGTAAATAGATTATAGACACACGCACCCAGAACTATAAAGTGGGCACTTTGGGTGAACAGTTGCTTGGCTTTCAACTTACATTGGAAGGATCTGAATTAAGGGTTTTATTTGGCTGAGTGCTGGGTTGATGTTGAAATGAGAAAACATTTTAGGCTGCACATGGCTGAAATGACTTAGAAAGCTGGGAAATCCTCATTACTTAAGGTTTGCCACCAACATGTGACGTGCTCCTTTGGGAGTAGTGAGCATGGCTCAAGGCGAGAGAGTAGGCCATTTCGTATTTACTAATTATTGAGCAAGGTCTCCACACAATCAGGGTTTGTTTAAATACACGCATTTGTCAGCTTCTAAGGTGGAGATTACCTTACTGAAATGTGCACATGCCTATCCTAACATATCTCAGGTTACAGTCACTCAGGTTGGGTGGCCTATGTGAAATCAGATTGGTGGTCTTCTAGTGGACGAGAGTCCACATCACAAAAGCTGCTAACTGCTGACCCTCTTGATGAGATGAATAGGACTGAATGGATGTGGAGGCTAAAGGTGTCTAAACATGGTCTTCTGTCTAAAGGTTGTCCCTTCAGGTCAGGCCTGAGGGGTTTTGGGTGAAGCAGTAGGAGAAAGCTTGCCTTGCTGCTACCTGTGCTGTACTTACTCTGTGGCTAAATAGAGGACAGTGGTCTCTAAGTCTGTCATCAGCCCTAAAAATCTACCCCAATCTTTAAATACTTTGAATTTAAAATAAGAAAAGCAAAAAAACCCACAAGAAGTGTAAGTTGTACTTGAAAATTCTGGTCAAGATCCTCAGCCGCTGTATATCAGCATAGCTCCGTGAAGATCTGGCTTCTTTCTCAAAGGCCAAACTTGCTGAGACAAATCTTTTAGAAGCGTGTGCAACAGGCCCTGTGTAGTTCTGATTACTCTTCTAGTTCTGTGTTTATCTTATTTTCCATTGATTTGAGCAAGTTAAATAAATGTTCTCCAAATAATGTTTTTACTTGTTTGATTCAACTGAGCAGAGGCAGCTATCTAATACTCTGGATGATTTTAGCTATCTACATAGGGACCAGATCCTCCAGCCTGGTGGAGCTGTACAAAGCACAAGACCAGAGTGGGGGCCAAAGTGGTTTTGGGGACCACTGCTCTGGTCCCCAAATCTTGGTGCTGAGCTGAACTGAACTGGATCCATGGCATGAGTTACACCATCCTTAGGGCAGCTCTAACTTTCACTAGCTACACAGATGGCTATTCCAGCCATCAAGGGTGCCAGCAGGATGAACACACCCTGGTCCCTTCCCCTTTCTCATGCTTCCCATGTAGAGGGTCAGTCAGGGTAAGTGAGTTAGACAAAGATTTAGGAAAAGGACCACTTGAAGTTCCTGTTTCCCTAAAATATCCCCCCAAAACTCCTTCACCCCCTTTCCTGGGGAGACTTGAAAATAATCTACCAATCAAATAGGTAAACCAGGTGAGCACAGACCAGACCCTTGGGTTTTTAGGACGCTAAAAACCAATCAGATTCTTAAAAAACTTTAGAACTTTATTATAAAGAAAAAAAAAGTAAAGAAGCACCTCTGTAAAATCAGGACGGAAGGTAATTTTACAGGGTAATTAGATTCAAAACACAGAGGATTCCCCTCTAGACAAAAGTTTAAAGTTACAAAAAACAGGGATAAACCTCCCTTTTAGCATAGGGAAAATTCACAAGCTAAAACAAAAGATAATCTAATGCCTTTTCTTCCTATTACTTACAATTTGTAATCTTAGATGCTTAGTTCAGGTATGGCTTTAGGAGATGTATTTTCCCTGCCCTGGTTCCTCGCGGAGAGAAAAAACAAACAAAAACCTTCCCCCCACAGATTTGAAAGTATCTTCTTCCCTTATTGGTCCTTTTGGTCAGGTGCCAACCAGGTTATTTGAGCTTCTTAACCCTTTACAGGTAAAGGAGGGATTTTATGCTACCCGTAGCTGTATGTTTACAACAGGAGCATAAACACTGCCAAATTAAGTGTAAAAATGTAAGAAGAAAAAGCAAAAAGGAGTTTGAAGAACAGCTAGCCAAAAATTCAAAACAACAAAAACACTAAATTTTTCCCCGTGGGTGCTCCAGCTCCGGAGCACCCACAGAGTCGGCACCTATAGTTGTTAGTGTTCTTTTGGACACATCTTTCCAGTTTGAAATCTGCAAAATTGTCAGCATGTTTAAATTATCGACAATGTAAATAAGCAGTCTAAGGGCTTGTCTATACACAGAGTTATTCTGGAATAGCTACTGTGCTTTAAATTCACACCTTACCTTATTTCAAATGAATGTTAAAGTGTAGACAAGACCTTCATTTTCCATTAGAAGCAGTTATTGGTTTCCAAAATTCTTCAAATACAGGATTGTTCATCACAAATCAGAACAATAATGTTATTTGGCAGCCCTGGAGGAAAGAGGTGGGTATATTTGAAGCCGTTTCTGGGATCTGCTAAAGGCTTGTCTACACTTGAAAGTTAATTCAGATTAAAGGTAGAGTGTGAAAAGCATAATAATTATTCCTCAGTAACTGTGAAAAAAGAAAAGGAGTACTTGTGGCACCTTAGAGACTAACCAATTTATTTGAGCATGAGCTTTCGTGAGCCACAGCTCACTTCATATTGGTTAGTCTCTAAGGTGCCACAAGTACTCCTTTTCTTTTTGCGAATACAGACTAACACGGCTGTTCCTCTGAAACCTGTCAGTAACTGTGGTCACACTTATTCCAGAATAAGAGTGCCTTGTTCCATTTCAGTGTAATCCAGGCTCTCACTCTGTAATAAGATTATTCCTGAATAACTCCATGTGGACAGGTTTCAGAGGAGCAGCCATGTTAGTCTGTATCCGCAAAAAGAAAAGGAGTACTTGTGGCACCTGAGAGACTAACAAATTTATTTGAGCATGAGCTTTCATGAGCTACAGCTCACGTCATTGGATGCAACGAAAATAGTTCACGGAAGCTTATGCTCAAATAAATTGGTTAGTCTCTAAAGTGCCACAAGTACTCCTTTTCCTTTTTCCATGTGGACAATTATTACAGAATAGCTATTCCTGTATAACTCCACGTGTAGACAAGCTAACTGCAGATTGCATTTCTATTTCAATTTTAGCAGGCTTAAAGACTCCTACCCTCACTCCCCCACGAGCTCCCAGCACTTCTACAAATGCTGAGAGACACTCTTAGTGACAGACATTCACCACTTATACTATGCAGGCTTTATTATTGCTGATGATGTATGAGAAGGAAAGAACCTAGCTTGGCTTTCAGGCCTTAGAGGGACTTCTCAAAAATCTTGTAAAATGAGCACAATGAATGTGGAAATCAGAGAGGTGCAATAACTAGGACCCTCATGATGCCATAACACCTCTTTTTAGAGTCAAGCATCACTGTAAGAAAAGTTACAGATAACTTCTAGTTAGCTATTAAAATGCATTAGACTGCCTGCCCACTTTACATTAACAGAGAGGTGATGAAGGGATTCTTCTGCATTGTGTACTTGACTTCATTTTAGCCTAAGTCTGTCTTGTTTACTCAGAATGACACTTCTTGTACCTGATGTTTTCTATACAAATGCTGCCCCTTAATACACTATATATTTTCATTAGGAAGGCTGATTAACCTCCGGCTGTACTATCCATTGGTCTTCTACATTCTGTCTCCATAACTTTCTGAAGAGATTGTGACTACTGAAAATCCAACCTTTTCATCTGTATTTATTTACATACATAAAAGGGATCACCTAGAATTTTTTGTTTAAATTCTTTGTCTACTAAACAACGTGATCTATGTATTACAGGCACTTACAGGACTACCTAGGGAAACACCTAGACTGACCTTTAACAGGCCACGTGGACAGAATGACATGTAGCCATGCACAACCACCATGTTAGCAGATCCTAGGATAATAATCAGCGTCTGGACCAGCATATAGATGCAGATATGTTTTTGCTGACTCATGCTTCCAGGTGGATCTTATTATCCCCAACCAGAACATAAGACACAAACTTTTCTCAGAGTAGCAGCCATGTTAGTCTGTATCCACAAAAAGAAAAGGAGGACTTGTGGCACCTTAGAGACTAACCAATTTATCTGAGCATGAGCTTTCGTGAGCTACAGCTCACTTCATCAGATGCATACCGTGGAATGCATTCCACGGTATGCATCTGATGAAGTGAGCTGTAGCTCACGAAAGCTCATCCACGGTATGCATCTGATGAAGTGAGCTGTAGCTCACGAAAGCTCATGCTCAAATAAATTGGTTAGTCTCTAAGGTGCCACAAGTACTCCTTTTCTTTTTGTGAAACTTTTCTGTGGTGCTCCAGGCACACTGACTGGGTTGGAGGACGACCTGCAGGGAAAGCCCTGAGCATTACCAAACTTGGGCAGAAATTTTAGGCTGATGGTTGTGCTCTATTTGTTATCAAGTTAACAATATAGCCAGGAAAGTGAGTGGGCTAGTTCTGTGCTTAGCACAAGGTGGGAACTCTGCCTGTTTACAAGAGCTTTTAAAGGAATAGTTTCTATTTGTTTACACACAAATTTACTGTCAAATAATACTAGTCTGTTGCATTTACTTAATATATTTCTGAAGGGCTATTTTTCTAGAAAGGCTTGTTTCTTACTGAACTTATGAAGTTTAAACCACCTGAAGCAATGAGATAATTTGCATTCACTAACCATAACCGTAATAATCACTCTGCTGTAGGTTTGCAGTAGTTGGTGTCACTCAGAAGCCAGCAGTGGTCCTTTACAATGACAGAAAGAGACAAATCGAAGAACCCTGATAAAACAACTGTTAGCTGGTATTGCAGAAAGATAAAATAGGTGGTTAAATGAGAGATCACTGTGGACCCTCAAAGACAAGTTACATGGGATATGGCCCAATTCAACAATCCTTGCTCATGTGAGTAGCTCTATTGAATGCAATGGGAATATGTCCAGTGTAAGGAAGTGTACCCAGCCAGCCTTCTGTTATGAAACTATTATTCACAAGAATAAAAAAAACAAAAACAGACAGTGGGGAATTTTAGGAACACACTGGGAAGGGGTAGGGAACATACTCATTAAAATGTTAGTATCCAGCATGACCTCTGAGTTTATTAATGACCAAGTGCTGGACTCAAATTATGTCCTACTGGTTGCTGATTCTGTCATAGTTAATAAAAGGTAAAGCTGGGCTGCCTGAATTTTGCTCTTGCAGAAAACATGCTTCACTTCTCGAGCACAAAAGCAGCTTAAGAGAGATTTGATTTCTTCCGATCAGAGGATTATGGAGAAATTGTGTTTACATTTTTCTTTTAGGTAGAGCTAGGGAATTAACACCTCAACTGGAAGAAGTGTGTGGTGTTTATCAGAAGAGTAAATGAATTTCCAAAGAGAAAAGGTGATAGATGAGCAACTGGGATTCTCATTTTAGAGAAAGTAGAGCCTTGGGAGAAGTTCAGAAAAACAAATTCATGTGGTAGCTTTAACTTCCAGCACGGTGTTCCCACTTCAACGTAACATACACATTGTATACCGACCCATGGATTTTTGAAAACCAGGCTAATGTCAGCCCAAGAGCAGTTGTATTAAGGGTTCCATTTGGTTTGGAATGCAGCAATCTCCAACCCAGCAACACAAGCCAACAAGAGCACATTACCCTAAAGTTTCATGGTCTGTATTGGGTCCCTGTTAAATACTGAATCAAATTCATTATTTTGGCCCTGCTATTCAAATTTCTCTAAGTTTTGCCAGTTATCTGAAGAGTCTCTGTCCATGACCAACTGACTTCTGTGGTATTTAAGCACATGCTTAACTGCTTTGTCAAATTGGGGTCTAAGAGTGTACGGATATCAATGATTACCAATTCTAGTTGTCTGAGTCAATAGCCCTGATTTATCAAAGAGTAAATGTTGGCATGAATAACAATTTGAGACCTCTTGCTTTCCCTCTCCCAGCCTAACACTCCTAACCTATCACTGGGTTTTAGGACCCAGTTGTGAAACAGAGCATTTACCCACACTAGTAGTTCCACTGATTTCAATAGGACTACTCAACATGAGTAAGGGTTCCAAGAACTGGGCCCTAAATAAATAGACCATAGATCTGTGGGGATATCAACACACTAAACCAGTGGCTCTAAGTTGGAAATGGAAGCTTTTGATATTTTCTTGAATGTATAAATAAGGCCAAATTAAGCTTTGAGAACAGCATCTGGCTCTATATATGTATTTCTTCCCCTATACAACATGCTGTACCTCACTGTTAGCATTCTTCTTCTGTAAGGAGGATTTAGAAGAATTCAGTTTGATATAACATTTAAGTTTTAGTTGGTTAATTCACATTGAAGTATAAAAAAAAAAGTCCTGAACATGATGACCTCTACAACCCCAAATACATCACTGTACTGTATTCCAACCAATGAAAAATCAATCACCTTAGAACAGAGACTCTTGGCCAAATCTTTCCTAAATTACAGCTACAACCCCCTCCCCCGCAAAGTCAGTGTTCCTGGGACACAATTTGTCCAAGGGACTTTATGGTTTGACTAAAGAGTAAATGAACTGTATGAAAATGATGCAAGACTGACAGTAGTATTTTTAGGCAGGATTTGAGCAAAACACCTAGTTACAAGAACACATGCTGGAAGGAAATTTCTTCATTATCTCTATGTAAAGAATTTTATCCCTTACAAAGTAAAGGTTAGAGTTGCTATTTTTAATAAAGAGCAATGCTGCCCTCAATAAACTGATAGTGTGCAAAATAATGAAAAGATGAGGACTAACAATAACTGGATTTAACTAGTCATGTTAACATTTGAGGATACTCTAAAGCAACAGCTTCCATTAGTTTAACTTAATGCTGCACATACAATCTCACTATACTATTACAAATTTACTAATATTGCACTAGGGTAGTAGTATGTAGCTACAGAACATAGGGCCTAGTCTAGGTGGGCTAGGCCACTTAATCAATGAGGACTTCTACCTCAAAATAAAAAGACAGGAATCATACAGTCCAGAGGGATTAAAAGCATAACTCTCTTCCTTGAGGAACAGCACTACAAAAAAAAATTTCCACTGCCTTGTCCCCAAGAAAAAGCAAATATGATAGTACTTGTAAAGAAGCCACACTCCAAAATCCAGAGTTTGATGTTGGAAAACATAAATGGTTTTATTTAGAGTTGTATGCAACATATATACATGACCAGAGACACAAACAAGTAAAATGTATTAAAATAGGTTGGCAGATAAATACAGAACAGTTTGAGTGCAAGAACTGGGTAGCTGAGGGTGCAAAAGAAAGTAGGGGAAAAAAAACCAAAACCTCCTAAAAGTTATTTTCCCACCAGAAAGTTGCTCTGTTACCAGCTTTCTCAGCCTCTCTCCATCCTGCTGGTTTAATTTTAATACTTTGAAAGAATCAAGATTCTAGTGTTCAAGTTAAAGTCTTTACGCGAGCCCGTGGGGGGAAAAATATACTTTTTGGTTTGTATTCCTATTGAGCAATTTAGATCTGTGATATATTGCAGAAGTCAGCAAGTATTTGTTTTCCTTTAAATCTGTACTACACGGTTTGATAACAACAGATGTCCAATGTACATCTTTTTCTAGTAATGTCACCGTTAAGTTGACTACACATTCCTTGATTCCCAAATATTGCATATTTGTCCCCCTTTATCTAATGCACACCCTATATTCAGCAAATAACTTGCACAGAGGAAATCAGGCATCCAGTAGGAAGATTAACCTTATGAAGTTAGCTTATGGGTGTTTTTATGTGAAAGTTATGCCCGCAGCAAGAAAAGAAAAAAAAAAAAAAAAAAGAGTCACATCTTAGGTATGTAAATTGCATCTCAAAGCTATGTAGAGAAGAAGTATATATATTTTATTTTAACAAAAATAAACTCCTTTCTTTGTAAATAACTCTTAATTTGGTGTTTGCTATTTCCCAGGGAATGAACAAGGTTAACTATTAAAAAGACAAGTACAGAAACTATGACACTCTATAAACTTTGTTCTCATCTTTCAGTTCTTAAGTAAATAAAGTAGGAATTTCAGTTTTCTATCAACAAAAGGTTATTTTTAAGTGTTGGCAGAAGCAGAAAATAAACCATTCAAAACAAATCTCTCAAAGTATTTCAACAAATCCCTTAAAGTAACACAACAATCTGTTCTCTTTGTGTGGCAGCTTCTTGACAGACCAAATGCTCTTCACATTTTAATCATCTGGTTCGTATCTAAGAAGAAAGAAGTTAAAGCTAGAGAGTGTAATATACCAGATAGATATTCAGTCCTCAAAGAGAAAAACCACTTCAACCAATTCCAATTACTCATATCTGTGACATTTTCATGGCAATTTACACTGCACAATTTAGAAGGATGCAACCAACTATTTTTCATTTAAAAAAAATTCTCCTTTTAAACACAAACTCATTTGGCCACTTTACCAGCCCTGCAACCAGTGGAATCAGCCCTGGTGGCCACCCACCAATCTCAAGAGCCACAGGAAGCCAGACTTAGGCTTTCTGCTTCTACAGAAATTTTGGGGTCCCAATGGTCTTTCCCCACCTCTTCTTTCCTACACCCATTCAATATGGGGCCACCCACTGGCCCTACAGTGGGTGTCCCTCTTCCCCTGAATGGATGGTATAATGGGATAGTTCCACATTAAGGAAGGCCTGAGTGATTAGGTCACTAGCCTAGAATACGGAAAACCTGGGTTTAAGTCCCTGCTCTGCCACAGACTTCCTGTGTGATTTTGGGCAAGTCACTTCACCTCTCTGTGCCTCAGCTCCCCACCTGTAACTTGAGATGGTTGGGAGTCTAGGTACCTACCCAAGCCATGAAAGCAAAAAAAAAAAAAAAAAAAAAAAAAAGTCACCCCTACCCCACCTTGGCATTAGGAACAGGAAAGAATGGTGGTGCAAAAGAAGCAACTGCCACCCTCTTCTGCACCTCTGTGCATGGATCTTGTGGGCATGTTTTGACTGTCATAATCCCATGAAAATTGTTTCCTAACAATGAGTATGTGCAGCATGATGGTTACTGTAAAGATGCCAATTTAAATTTTAATGTTTTAAAAAATCATTGATATTTTGAAGAAAAATGGTCAAGGTTGGCATATCCAAAGTTTGATGACAGCCCTACTGAATTTGTTCCAAAGAGAAGTTAAAAAACTGGTTTTAAGAGAATCTGTTTTACATTTATGGAAACAATGTGGAGGTGGAACAGACTTCTTGAGATAACAGGTGGAAGAGCACCACTTACCTTGAAAGTCTTCTCCGTAGATCCTTTATCTGCTCATTCTTCTTGGTGAGAATCTCTTTCATGTTGCGGAAGGCAGCTGTTTGCTGGAACTTCTTCTCCAACTCCTGCTCAACAGGATCATCAATGCATTACAATTAAAAAAAAAAAAATAAAAATCTAAAACAGTTTATTTTTTAAAAGAACCATTCAACTGTTTCTCTCCTTAGGCTTCATTCCAGTGTTCAGTCTAGCTTTTCCCTGTCCAAAATACTTGCTGCTGTTATTACCTACTTTTGATCAATACTCAGTAGGTATTAATGAAACACTTATGGAACTTTTGGCGATGCTGATTGTTATGTAACAAAACTTGTACTAAAATCATTTGGCTTTTGTTTAGATAACGCCTACTACAGTGGGGCTCTGCACAGGTACCATGGTGCTGAACAACCTTATTAAAACAGATTTAAAAAAAAAAAAGAAAACGCCCAAAAACTTTACCAGATACTGATCTGGGCATTTTAATAATATCAACAAAGTTACAGGCATATGAACAAACTGCAAATGCAGACTGTACACTTCTAACTCACAGTTCAACTATACTCATGATCAAATCAAACACTGGCTAACCTAGAATACTACAGAATATCCAGTCACTTCTCTACAATCTACTTGCAAGCCTTCAGTCAAGTAAATGTCATACTTTGATGCCCTGTGATTCAAAGCATTCCAGTTGTTTTGGAAAGCCCTATAAATGTGATTTACAAGCAGTGACATTTTTAAAGCCTCATTGTGTGATGGATCAGAAGTCTACAAGTAACAACATGTATAGATACCACAAACACAGATTTTAGCTGACAGCCATACATCTTTATGATGTATGCTGCAACCTGTAAAGTGGTGTTTGTGTCTCTAAACAAGCATTTATTTTGTATGTCCAAATATAAATAGCATAAGATATTTTTGTAGGTCAATATATTTTTGTTTTTTTTTAATGACCTAAGTGTGATTTTATTTTCTTCTCACACTGATAAACACCTGTTCTGCTGAGTAGCTCACATTTGTTCCAGTAATACTAAGGTGCCATCTATCATATCTGAAGAAAACAAACAACAAGAATTCTTAATTACCTAGTGCAAACTTTCCCAATTACACTCCTCCTTGCATTAAAAGTTGTTCTTAGGAGATAAGGAACATACTTCCTTCAATAGAATTAGTTAGAGACTTCAAAGAGACTTAAAAAAATATGCATACGTATACATGTTAGTGTCTACTGTTACCATTAGAAACATGCAAGCCCAAACAAGTCTTTCCCTTCATTTGCATATGACAAACTGGATTTCTTCTTTCAGTTTTTAAGATACTTTAAAGTAACAGAATATGACATAGAACAGGGTGGATTCAAATGAAGGTATAAAATAATTTACATTTGAATAGCATCTTTCCTTTTGCAAGATTCACAAGTATTTCACAAACTAGACACACACCAGATCAATGAAATACAGCTAGCTACTGGGTCCAAAATAGCAACCTATCCATGCAAAAGCAGGCTACATAGGGAATGGGGAAGTTTTGGTCAGTGACACAATAAGACAAACTGTTCTTCATGAGAGATATAGTGTCCATACAGTGTAGTCAGGATCTTTGTTCTCATGTGACCTCTACATAGTTAGCATGACAATCCACTTATCTACCTAAGCGTAAACTAGACTCTTATGCCTTCTATCAGGATTTAAACCTGTGCTTAGATATTTCAAAACTAATCCTTAGATCACTAAATTAACCCTACACGTTGTCATATAACCCCAATGACGGGGGGCGGTGGGGGGAAAGAGGTCATCTAAAAATTTGTGCGAAACTGAAGAATGAGGCTGACAGCCTTGAGACTGTCAGAAACAAAATGTGTTCAGTTAGTGGCATTTCCCAACTTCGCTTTTTGTTGTAGATAGTTGCCAATCACATTTCAGACAGAGGACTTCAACAAAAACTATGTTTTCTGTTTAGAATGAATCTACGATTACCCTTGTTTCATGCAAAATTAACACGCCATTTCCTCACAGCTATACTTGTATATCAGTATAGGTCTAGAAATGATCTGTTGACTAGTGTTCCCTCTACTGGTTCTACAGAGAAGAAAATCACGTCATTAGTTCAAATATGCATTTATGCCTACATTTTTAGAGTGTTGCAGGGGAAGTTGTCAATGGTAATTATCAAACCAGATGTTCACATCACTTTCAAGATGTAGGGGACCAAATTGAAGAAGTTAATCCCTCTTCCCCACCCCACCCCCCCAACAGTGCAGTGTGTCATTTTCAGCTGCAGTCTGTGAATTAGAAATATATTCAAGGGCAAATTCTGCAATCTTCCACCATTACAACACTTACTGTGGACTTTCCAATACAAAACTGGTGTCTTCGCTGATTACTAACCATCCAAAGTAGCCAGCTTCCACAAGGCAACCACCACTTTCTTGTGGTGGGAATCTGATGCTACCAACTTTTCACAGAGGTACAACAAAAACAAAACTTCATTCTAAAGATCTGCGGTCACTGTTCACAATCATTCTGAAATGGCTGCAGAAGCTGTATTTAAGTGTCCGTCTGATTGGCATCAACCAGTGGACTGTGTTCCATATCTATGAAATGGACTCTCTTCACTCCAACAAGGGAAGAATATTAAAAAAAAAAAAATCACCAAAAGATGGTGTGATGTATCCCTAGTAATCTGCATACAAGAGACAGAATCTTTGTTACATTAGTAGATAGTCAAAAAAAGTGAACAAAGAGCTTATCGATACACTGCAATAAGAAGCTAACCTTTTCAGCTGTAGATAACTGGTCCTGAACCTTGAGTAGGTCATGCTTTGTCATCACCAAGTTCTCTTCCAAGAACTTTTGGTTTGCAGTACTGTCATTCAGAGTCTTCTCAAACTGGCACCTCAGAGCAGACACTGTATCTTCCAGTTCACTTATATCCTGAGTTACGTTAGTCTTCAAAAGAAATATTAAAATGAATTTTTTTTGCAAAATCCTAAATGAAAGAGTGCATTTTAAATTATTTGTTGAAAATGATCACAGAAGGTCTTTATATGGCAAACCGCAGTGCTTTAACCCCCCTCCCATAGATCACAAAGCAGTACAAGACTACATGTTTAGCCTTCAAAAAGTGTCAATAAATACATTTTAGGGAGAAATGGAAAGGCTTCTTTTCTGCCAAGTCAAGATTTCAAATTCTTAGAAACTGCTTCATTTCTCTGTGGGAATTATATTTCATTATCTCCTTTCAGTTATCACTTAGGATACAAATTACACACTGTATGAAGCGTATAAAGAAGTTTAGAGACTATAATGAGAACATACATGGCTATACTGTAGCTTTTAAAGCCACTGACATGTTATGAGAGGTGTAGAGGAAGATGGGGTGTGTGTGTGTGTGTGGGGGGTGTGTGAACACACCAGCAACAGGAGCTGAAGCCACACTGTTTGGAGATGAGATACAAGCAGACTATCTCCATAATTACCAGGAAAGCATACCTTAATAGCAACAATCATCCGGTGAAAAGCAGCAACACACACGCCTTCGAGCACCAGCCCTGGGCCATATGTGTGTTCAGTTAACTGCCATGTCCATGTATATTAAAAACATCTCATTTATAAGAGAGGTATCTGACGACTAGACTCTTGAAAATAACATTGTGTTGAAACAAAAGAATGAAGTCTCAATGCATTTGTATCAGGACTCAGAAAAGATCTGAACTATCAGGGCCTCAAAGGAACCAAAATCTAAGAAGGAAGTTCAGGCCTGTTTCATGCTAGGGAGCTAAGAGCCAAGAGCAGAAATTCAGTCAATATGATATTCACCGAGAAACAACGTTTACTTTATCTTCAAATGTTTTGGGATTGATGCTGTGTTGAAAGATGCTACACAGTTAGGAAATTGCATGTGTCTCTAGGCACAGTTTGTTCCTCAGCAGTCCACATGCCTTCCGATTTTGAACTCACTAATGACTGGGTCTCTGTGACAGAGATGATCTGCTGTAGTTTTGATGGAAGTAGTTAGACACGATGCGAGTATTTTAAGCCTATGTTAACCTGGGCCATTAAAGCATGATTAGGATTATATCATTTTACTGACATTCATTTTATTAAAAGGCACAGTGACAGCAGCTACACTTAAAAAGCAGACTCCAGCCACCTAATATTTTCAGGGATGAATGTGGAGTACATTAATTCTTCACCTTTCCTCATGGGGACAACATCTATTTTAGAAGTTCTATTAACCAAAATAATCCCATGTAGGGTCACAATTCCTTTAAGAAGGAAATCAAAATCTTTGAAGACTATTTTAAAAAGGGTAAGCATGGATGATCTAGGAGATTGGCTGAAAAAGATTTCAACCTGTGTAAATATTTCACTGCAAAAATCAACTAGCTAGATTCAATCACATATATATGCCCATGAAAAGGAAATTTAAGAGCTGAAGGAGAAGTGAGTGGCAAGGTGGGGGAAAACAACTGGCTTCATGTGAACTGCAGGTACTCAACATGTCTGAAAGTTAGGCCAGCTGATGCCTACACAGACAGGCAGCAGATAAGACTGGTCTCCAGGCCTTTAGAACTACCAGTGTAATAATTACAGTTACAAAACTTAAGTCAGATAAGGAAAGTATTTGCCGTGACCTTTAAATCAAACTACCATTGAATAATATATTTGTATGAAAAATTACAGATCCTAAAAATCACTAAGGGGCACTATAACGCATTAAGAAAATAGAGTACATACCATAAACCATTTAGAAAGCAAAATAAAAAGAAACTTGGATTAAAATATGGAAATTAAGAGGATATACAATTTTTTTAAGACAGGGAATTGAAAAACTCACTTCAAAGTTAGCAATATTGCGGTCTTAGAAATGTCAGTTTTTTAACTTTACTTTCATAAAAGGCAGAAAAAAGCTAAATAGGACTAAAACATTTCAACTCATTTGTTACAAGTTGAACTGAAATACTTTGAAAAAATCTGTTTGATTCACCTTTTTAATTTTAATTTTTTTTGGCCTATACATTTATTTTCTTAATAATGTGAATACCTAACAGTTTATTAAAAATATTTTTAATCTGTCTGCAGTTTAGGTTTTTCCATTTCTATGTTTTTCCTGCAATGCTTAATCATATTTGGATCAACAACTTTTACAGGAGAAATCGGAGACCCTCAATTAAAGTGTTGACAGGTAAATGTAGGAAGAACTATTTTTGATGAAGTGTTTAAGGTATATTTGCAATTTAGAGGTCTGTGGGTTTGATCCTATACTCAAGTAAGTCAATGGCAAAATCCCATTGACTCCATTGGTATAGGCTCTGATCCTATTTGTGCATGTTTTTTAACAATATATGCTGGTATACTTTCCAAAAAGAGCTATGCGTACACATAAGGAGAATATACAATAATATTGACCAAGACAGAATGAACATTTTATTGCTGAATCAGAAAGGAAACTAGATGACATCTCTTTACTAACAAAAGAGGAAAACACAAAAATAAGAAAAAAACATAACAAAAGATATACCTATTAATATTAAACTCCTTTTGATCTTTAGAATACAAAGAAACAAACTTTGGAATGGTTCTTATGATAATTTCCTACCACGGGTTAGGTCACACATAAGCATGAAATATTTTTCTTAAAGGATCAGAGCCCTAAATGTTAGTGGGACCATGGCAACCCTGAATAGGACCTTTGTGTGTCCCACAAAGCCAACTGCACCTGTCAGGTCTAATTAGTTCTACATGACTTGGTAATGCTAGTTCAATGGAGAAAACAGCCAACCTTTTGATCTCCCTGAATCATCTGTAAATCCTTCAGTGATTTCTCTAGTTTTGATTTTTCATCCAATGCACTTGTAGCCTGCAATAAATTGGAAAGACAAAGCTTAAAGCAGCATCTTTTACTGGAAATGAGAGAATTACAATTATGTTCTTTCTATTTAGGTTTTTCAAAATGTACATATATTTACTATCCAGGTTCATAGTGAGTGTACCTGTGTTTCTATTGTCTTGAGTCTGGTCTTCAGTTTTTCATTTTCTTCTTGAAGTCTTGTAATTTCCTTTTGGTAAATAAAAATTAGTTTTACCATGAACACTCTTGCATGACTGAATCTGATAGACTTGCAGTTATTTTCAATTATTTCAGGTAAGTAAATAGATTTTCTAGTTCAGAAAAGCTAGCTACTATGTCAATGCTTAAAAGGATGACCAGCCCACTGTGGTCATTGGTTTCTCTTTATGGGCTTGATCCTGCACGGTCTTGGGTATCCAGGCCCCAACAGAGCAGAGACCTTAACCATGTTCTTACCTAAGTATATGAGCAATTGCACTGTAGTCTATAGGACTATTCACATGCTAAAGTTAAGCATATGCATAAGTTATTTACTGGATCAGAGTCAGAGCATTCAGTACCTTGCAGGATCAAACTACATAGGATAAGGAATAATATTAACTGAAACAAAAGTAAAATTGCATTTTAGAGATATAGATCCTATTCGTGGTATTTGTCAAAATGCTTTCCAATCAACAGGACAGGAAACAATTTATTCATGTTCACTGTTTAACACAAAAAGAAAAGGAGTACTTGTGGCACCTTAGAGACTAACAAATTTATTTGAGCATATTTGAGATGCATCCGATGAAGTGAGCTGTAGCTCATGAAAGCTTATGCTCAAATAAATTTGTTAGTCTCTAAGGTGCCACAAGTACTCCTTTTCTTTTTGGAGATACAGACTAACCTGGCTGCTACTCTGAAAACTGTTTAAAAACGTGACAGATAGGCAAGCCCTCTCAAAAATCCTCTTTTAGCCATGTAGGAGTGCAAGTGATCTTCAAATGTTTATTTTGGAATGTATTTGTTCAGTTTTCATATATATTATGTCAGTGGTTCTCAACCAGGGGTATGCGTAATCCTGGGGGTATGCAGAGATCTTCCAAGGGGTACATCAATTCATCTAGGTATTTGCCTAGTTTTACAACAGGCTACATAGAAAGCACTAGTGAAGTCAGTACAAACAAAAATTTCATACAGACAATTACTTGTTTATACTGCTCTATATACACTAAAATGTAAGTACAATATTTATATTCCAATTTATTTGATTATATGATAAAAATGAGAAAGTAAGCAATTTTTCACTAATAGTGTGCTGTAACACTCTTGTATTTTTATGTCTGATGTTGTGATCAAGTAGTTTTTAAGTAAGGTGAAACCTGGGGTACATAACACAAATCAGACTTCTGAAAGGGGTACAGTAGGTCTCCAAAGGTTGAGAGCCACTGTATTACATCAACAGTTGGGGAATGAAATAGTTTAAATATTAAGGCTGTGATCCTACTGTTATTTATGTCTATGGATATAGGACTGGAAGGGACCTCCTGGGTCATCAGGTTTGCAGCCCTGTCATATAATCCCTTTCATGTTTCACTTTAAATACGAGTAATTTCATTTAAAATTAACAATTACTCTCCTGCTTAAAGTTACTCACGTGCCTAAGTGTTTGCATGATTGAGGCCTAAAACAGCTTTCAAGTTCACTTGTATAGTTATATTCACCATGTTAACCTTGGTATTCTCTCTTTCAAATATTTAGGAATTACTGGCACAGCACCACAAATAGTTTTCCCTACCTAGTTTGACTTTTACTTAAACACAATATCTGTAGAACAAACTATTCTCTTCAAACAATCCTGAAAACCTCTTCCCTGCAAAGTGATTCCAGAAAAACTACCGGCACCACGCTGCAGAAAAAGTTTGCTTTGCAACAACAGTTACCTTTCACTTAGGTGCTGTTCCTGCTGAGTCTGTCTGCTGCTTCCTATGTTTTGTGTCACAAAATGTGACAAAGTTTTATTGGTCACAGTAAATTTACATTTCAGCTTTGAACCACCTTTGCAAAAAAATAAAAATCCTATTTGGATAAAAAACTGCAGTGTAATATTCTAATATGTGGTGCTGGATGTTCTAATTATATTCAGTTATAAACAAAAGTAAATTTGTTAAATGTTAAAATTCACTTTAAATATAAAAATTAAACACATAAAGGAGTCTCCATCTTCACTTGATCTCTTGGTGACGGAGAAAGAAAATACAGCTCATCACTGAAAAAAAAAAATCTCATGAGAGTCCATGCATCACTAAGTTCTGGTAAGGCTAGTTCTATTTCTTTATATTAAGTTTTCGGGTTATTTAGTAGTCTAAACTATTGCTGAATGAATCACCATTAAAAAAAAAATTAGAATTTGCTTTACAATAATTTGAAAATTTGTAACAAATGGGAAATTGGAAATTTGTAAAGTTGAAAGGCAAGGTCTAATTTTTTTCCTTTTAAACTGTGCTTCAATTAGAATTTAAATTTAAACAACTACAAAAATAAAAAATGAAAAAACAATATAAAAGAAATAGAATTTGACTTTGAAAATCTCCAATATCCCATTCACTCCAACGATGGGCTGCATTACTTGTGTTTCAATCTACTTCTCAGAAGGAAGTCCAGTCTTATGAAAGATCAGCAAATCATCTCCCACTAATCCTATTAATTAAATAGAGAAACTGTAACAGTAATCGTTTTTCTAAAATGCATGCAAAATAAGTTTTAAATTTGCAATACATTAAATGCCACAAGCACATAATTAAAATGAATCTTCAAAAGTGTTTCATTTATTAAAGTGACTGAAGTTTTGTAGGTTTCAGAGTAGGCGTCTAATGTATTCTGCAAACCCTGATTACTGGGTAGCACCTAAATTCAGCTGAATAAATTAAATGCTAATCAGTCCCAAATATGTCAAGGGAACAAACTCTTACCTTGTTTAGCAGCTCTGACCCACCTTCATTTAATGGAGCAAGTTTAGGCTTAATGAGCTCTGAACTGGGCTAAAGTAATGACAAAGATACAAAAAATTAAAATGAGATGTTTTCTTTCTAGCATTTTTTTAGTAGCTAAAATAATTTCTCCAACTCTATCCTTTCTGCTGTCTGGTGAAATGCAACCAATGATTGTTTATTCTGAATTCATTTATTATTTGTTCAGGCTTGGGCTCTTTCATTAAGACTAACAAATCTTATATAATACTTGTTTTCAATTTTTAAAATATCTGCAGGGTACACATTTTTTCAACTAGACTCTTTTTCAAAGTCTAAAAGACAGAATAAAGAGAAGAGATTTCTGAAACTAAATATGACAATACATTTATTTTACAATTGGCATCCTTAGAACTGAAGTTTTATTTAACTAGTTTTAAAACTGAGATGGGAGGCAGGATCTTAATACTGTATATACAGCTCCTGATGCTGCAATTATCACAAGTCATATAAGTTAGAAAACACTAAAAGAAAGAATGAATGCCTATGTCTTTAAAGGAGTACAGAATTTATAATTGTCATAAATATTTACACCCTTTAAAATAATTTCTGTTCACTAATCTATTTAAATTTTCAAATACTGTGTATGTTAACTGGGTATAAATTTGGCAAACAAGATCTAATACGTGGTCACATCAGAGAAACCTTACTTTCTCTGTAATAATAAGATAGTCCTTTCTACCTTGCAACTTATAAATATGGTCAAGATTTAAAAAACAAACTATGCCTCCCGAAAAAACCAAAACAATACCTTACATGTTCCAAAGCGGTTAATGAAAAAGCACTTTTAGAAAGTCAGGCCATTTACTTTGGTGACTATATAGAGGGTCATGGACCAGTGTTCAAGTTGCCATTTGAGGCACGTTGCGCATACACTAAGTGACTATATATAGATTTTGGAACTTAACATTAGGCTGCTATTTTTGAAAATCTTTAAAGGTTATTTCTAGCATGAATACCCTTATTCTTAAGCACAAGGAAATAGTCTATAGTAAACATCTTTAACAAATGTAGTGGTTTCATAGGGCATTTGATTATAGTATTTCAGAGTAACAAATCTCTACCTTCTTGTTTGAAGATGTAAATTCTGCCTTTTCAAATTCAGCAACTTGCTCTAACAATTCTCTTGGAGAGAAAAATGAAGAGAAACATTAATAATAATTAGACAAATAATCTTGTTAAACACAATTTATAAGTCTGCTGCTGTGCTTCTTATTCAAGTAAGACTTCCAAGGCACACAGGATCAGACCCCTGAGTCAGTACAAAAAAGGCAACGTAAGTACACCCTATATACAAATAAAAATAAAATTCTAAATAATGAAATTCTAGGCAAGCAAGATTATTATTTACATGGGCAAATCACTTCATGAAGAAGTTAAAATCATCATTTGTAATCTTTTAATTGAAAAACTGCATCTGAAACTAAATTGTCATTGGTATAATAATCTTAGAAAATTATTTTAGTGGTGTAAGAGGGGAACATAATAGTATTTACAAAAAGAAAAGGAGTACTAGCGGCACTTTAGAGACTAACCAATTTATTTGAGCTTAAGCTTTCGTGATGCATCCGATGAAGTGAGCTGTAGCTCACGAAAGCTTATGCTCAAATAAATTGGTTAGTCTCTAAGGTGCCACTAGTACTCCTTTTCCTTTTGCGAATATAGACTAACACGGCTGCTACTCTGAAACCTGTCATAATAGTATTTAGTCACTTTAAAAAGGTATCAGTGAAACTATTCTCTATTTCTATATAATTCAAATGAGGTTACCGATTTTCCAGCTCAGAGATATCAGTCTGTAGCTTAAGGTACCACTTCTCAGCCTGTGAAAAGAGTTGGCGTAGAAGTAACACATTGGTGTATGCTGTATTAATGAGTTCTGATTCCACTTCACTGTGTACCACAGTCTGCAACCCATCCAGCATTTCTGTCACCTCATCTACTGTGAAAGTCTCCTCCACCAGCCTAAACAGAAAAGTTAACAAAAAAGTTACATGTATCATACAAATAACGACGCTACAGCAATCCAAAAAACTTCACTAGATCAGATAATGCTTGCAGCTAGCAGAAGGACCTTTTAAAAAAAGCTGTGTCAATGTTTGCAGTATGATGCTGTTGAGAAAAAGGTAAGTGTCTTTCTGGGATGTATTAACAGTAGTGTTGTATGTAATACTCAAGAGGTAATTGTTCTACTCTTTTCACATTGATGAGGCCTCAGTTGGAATACGGTGTCTAGTTTTGGGCACCACATTTTATGAAACAAATGAACATGTTGGAAAGAGTCCCCAGGAGAAAAAAAAAAAGATAAGAAATTTAGAAAACATGACTTATGAGGAAAGGTTGAAAACGATGGGCAGGATTTGTCTAAAAGAAAAGGAGTACTAGTGGCACCTTAGAGACTAACCAATTTATTTGAGCATAAGCTTTCGTGAGCTACAGCTCACTTCATCGAATGCATCCGATGAAGCTGTAGCTCACGAAAGCTTATGCTCAAATAAATTGGTTAGTCTCTAAGGTGCCACTAGTACTCCTTTTCTTTTTGCGAATACAGACTAACATGGCTGCTACTCTGAAACCAGGATTTGTCTCGAGACAAGAAGGCTGAGGAGGGACATAACATTTTCAAATATGTAAAAGGTTGTTAGGAAGAGGATGGTGATCTATTTTTTTTTCCATGTCTACCGAGGGTAGGACAATAAGTTTGTAACAAGGGAGATTCAGGTTAGATATTAGGAAAAACCTTAACTAGAAGGACAGTTAAGCTCTGGAACAGGTTATCTAGGGAAGTTGTGGAATCCCCATCATTGGATGTTTTTAGAAACAGGTTAGACCTGTCAGGGATTGTCTACAAAGGTAACCTTAATCCTGCCTCAGCATGGCAGGGGGATGGACTAGATGACCTTGAGGTCCCTTCCAACCTTACATTTCTATTATTCTAGATAACAATGTCATTAACAATTTAATATTTTACTTGAATCTTCTCTCTGAAAGTTTTGATCAAATAAAAATTTTGTAATTATAAATTTTGTTTTGGGTCTTAAATCTAATTTTGATTTACCAACCGTAATATGTAACTCAAGGTTACAGTTTCACAGCAGTTTAACACATCCATTCCTATTAAAATTAAAAATTAGAAAAAAAACTCTTGTAGCGATCGTTTAGATTGAAACCTTTCCCTTTTCGTACTTTTAAAAACAATTGTGATCTACTGGATATAATGTATTTGGACTTTCAGAAAGCTTTTGATACAGTCCCACACCAAAGGCTTTTAAGCAAAGTAAGCAGTCAAGATAAGATAAGACGTTAAAAGATAGGAGACAACGTAGGAAAAAATGGTCAATTTTCACAGTGGACAGAGTAGGGTTCCCCAACAATCTGTACTGGGACCTATGCTGTTCAATAAAGTCATAAATGATCTGGAAAAGGGGACACAGCCCGCCTCAGGTTTATCCCTGGGTTTACCCTGAAAGACATCTTGAATTGACAGATCACTACAACTCTGTCACTCTTAGGATTTAGGTTGCAACTACTTTGTGTTATATGCTTGCTTGGTTTAACCTGCAAATGGCTCTTTTTTCTTTTTCCTAGTTAATAAACCTTTAGTTAGTTTATTACAGAATTGGCTACAGGCACAATCTTTGGTGCAAGATCTAGGGTACCAATTGATCTGGGGTAAGCGACTGGTCTCTTGGGACTGGAAGAAACCTGAATAGTTTGTGATTTTTGGTGTAAGTGACCATTAATCACTAAGTCCAGCTTGCCTGGATAGCAAGATAAATGAGAGAGCATAAGGGGACTGTCTGTGATTCTATGGTAAGACTGATATAGTGATCCAGGAATTCACATTTGTAACTGGGTTGGTGAAATCTAATTATAAAACATACCACCAGTTTGGGGTGTCTGCCCTGTTCTTGACTGGTCTGAGGTAGACACTCGTGGTCATGAGCCCGTCCAGACAGCACAACATCCCCATCTCAAAGAAGATATATTAGAATTGGAAAAGGTACAGAAAAGGGCAACACAAGTTATTAGGGATATGGAAGAGTTTAGAGAGATTAAAAAAGACTGGGACTGTTCATCTTAGAAAATAGATGACTAAGGGGATATATGATAGTGGTCTATAAGATAATGAATGGTGTGGAGAAAGTGAATAAGGAAGTGTTATTTACCCTGTCACATAATTTGAGACCCAAGAAATTAACAGGCAACAGTTTTAAAACAAACAAAAGGAAGTACTACTTCACACAACACAATTAACCTGTGGAACACATTTTCAGGACATGCTGTGACGGCCAAAAGTATAACTGGGGTAAAAAAAAAAAGAATTAGCTAAATTCATGGAGGATAGGTTCCTCCATCAGAGATGCAATCCCATGCTCTGGATGTCCCTAAACTCTGATTGACAGAATGGTGGGACTAGACGACAGTCAATAGTTGCCTGTTCTGATTATTCCCCCTCTGATGCATTGGCCACTCTTGAAGAACAGGATACCGGGCTAGATGGACCATTGGTCTGGCCCAGTATGGTGGCCATTCTTATCTTTTCCTTGGCAGGGATATATAGACACATTGCATACAAATTAGATGTTTTACATACATATGAGGTCAAACATATTTGATAGATAATTTAACAGATGCCTCAGGACTGGCAGAAGAGTCTTGCTCTCCTTGGGTTTTTGCTTTATTATTTTTCCCTCCTCATGGTACCTGCTGTCCTTAAGATCCTGAAAGCAAGAATCCACTGTCTTGAGACGGAGGCCACGCTTGGAACGAGCGAAGCGCATGTAATTGATCACTTCATTCTGGTGGTGATCATTTAGACCCAGCTCCGCCTGCGGATCAGGGGACACAGTAAAGGTTAACATATCTATGAGATAAGTCTTCTATGTTAGGTTTAGGTCCAGCTCCACAAAGGTATTTAGGTTTCTAACTTCCTCTAATTTCAATGGAAGTTAGGAATTTAAATTTCTCTCTGCAAGTTAAATGTAACATCTTAATTAAATCTGAAATTTTTTTACAAATAGGATTGACTTTACACTATTGTTTATACTTTTTATTTACTTTGTGCACTTCTAAATCAGCTTAGACAATGAAATAGCATTGGAATGCTCATCTTTGTTTGGGGTGGACAGAAATGGATGATTTTGGGGGGAAAATATGGACTTTTTAAATTTAAATCAGTTTTTAAAATTTTGTTAAATTATAATAAGTTTTTCTTTTAAAAATAAACGTGTTTAAAATTACATCTGAATTTAATACAAAATATGTTAAAGGCCTAAATTAATAATAATCTCTTAAAACATTTAAATGAAAAATAAATATGCTGAATCCATCAGCCTCTAGCAAGGCTTCTTTTCTATATTAAATAATCAGGGGAAAAAAAATCTAACTTTTGGAGGCCAAGCTTTATAAATATGATACAACATATAGTATTACGCACTTGTTTTGTTTAATAAAAATAAATTTTATATGCTGTTTTGTGTGTTAAATTTCAGTTACTATCATAATTCAGCTTGACACAAGTCATGATCAAAAAGTTAGCAAATAAGCAATATATTATTCACCTTTTTCTAAGGTATGAAAAACATACACTTAATTAGAATCTGAAAATATTAAGCTATGTAATTCCTTAAATATATGTAGTTCTAGTGTACCCTCCTAGGTAGTACAAAGATGTACCAAATCTAGTGTAAAAGTTCTATTTAGTTGTAAATCAAAATGTTTTAATGGTTGTATCAACCAATGAGAATGCAACACTTTTTTTAGAAAACAACTGAAGTACAAATTGAAAAGTCGATTACAATGGATGATTTAACTGGAGGCTCTACATTTGGCGAGTTAAATCGCCTCGATTTAAACCAAGCCACCCTGCCTTTGTTTATTGTTTTCATGCACTAACTGTAATGCCCGGCTAAAAACAACACGACAGGGGACGGTTCGGTTCGAATCCAAAACTAGAAGTGGGTTTCACAGCAGCCAATAAAGCAGCACTGGATTCCTAACATTAATAAAACCAACTCACACTGGTTTCTTGCAACTCTGGCAGCATTTGTTGTTGTTGTTGTTCTCAAAGCCCCAGCTCCCAGAGCCAGGTTGATTTACCTGACAATCTTCAGTTTTGTTTAGGGAAGCAGAATAAGTTTCCAACCCTCGTGATTGTGGGGAAAAGCCTGAAACGGGGACCCGCTCCCTCCCAGGCAAATACTGAGCTAACGCCGCGGGCTGCTTTCCAAATACTGCTCTTGGGCTCTAGGCCAGTCTCCGGATGTCTACGCCTGGGGCTGGCCATGCTGGGAATCACCGCAATGGCGCCTACAGTGGCAGCGCCTGGCCGACCACCACGACTGACGGCTCGGGCAAAGCCACCCCGACGGCAGGACCCTGGGCGAGGCCCAGCAGCAGCGCCGCTCCACTAAGCCGCCCCCGCTCTGGGCCAGCCGCCGCCCGGGGACTTAGGGGGGCGGGATTCAGCGCCTGGGGTCGGGCCGCCCGCGCTGAGGGATGAGATGGGGGCGCGTCTTTGTCTCAGCATCGCGGCCGTTATTCGGCGGCGCGGGGCTGGGCTGGGCGGGTGGCTCCTGACGGCCCCAGGAGCGCTGACCCCGGAAAGGATGCGGGGAGCTGAGTCCAATCGGCGGGCTGGGGCGAGGGAACAGGGCCACTGGGGTAGCGGGCTCAGCAAGGTCCCAGAGCCGGTACCGTCCCCAGGTAGGCCGGGATGCAACCTCGTTACTCACCATGGCGACTCTAACAGGTACTGGGAGGCGACGGTTGATTATACAGCGACGGTTGCCATGGAGAACAAAACCCGGCAGGCGCTTTACTACCATCTCATTGGACGATTATGTTCATGTGACCGGAAGTAAGGGGGCGCGGCCGCCTAACGGATTATTTTCTGCGTTGCGTGGATTTTTAGGGCGGTACGTTACTGCCTGTGCGGTTTCCAAGGGCGACGTAGCCGCGAGCTGCTCGCGGAACTCCCCCGCCCCCTGCACATTGCGCACGCCCATTAGCCCGTCTCTCGCGCGCTTTGCACTGAGCGTTGCTCTAAGCGCCCAGGCCACACGGGGGCGCGCGCGTCCCTTCCCCAGCAACCGCTGTTCACGTCGCCCGCTGACTCTCTGGTCCACCCTGTTTAACGCTATTGACGTTACCTGTGGGGCGCTGGCCTGGCCCCTGCGCAGCCTCATGAGGCTGGCCATGACGCCAGCCCTCAGTTGCCAGGAGCCTCCCCTGGGCGGCTTGCTTCACAGGGGAGGGGACGCTGCTGAGCCACTGGAGCCTGGCGCTGCCCATTGGGTGCTGCCATCGGTGCCGACTCCGTAGGTGCTCTGGGGCTGGAGCACCAACGGGAAAAATTGGTGGGTGCTCTGCACCCACCGGCAGCTCCCCACACCAGCTCGCCTCCGCTCCACCTCCTCCCCTGAGCGCGCTGCGTGCCCGCTTTCCCTCCTCGCTCCCAGTGCTTGCGCCGCGAAACAGCTGTTTCACGCTGCAAGCCTGGGAGGGCGGGGGGAGAACGCGGCGTGCTGGGGGAAGAGGTGGCGCCGGGTCCAGGGGGCTCGAACATCCATCGTCGCTGGGGAAAGTTGGCGCCGATGGGTGCTGCAACAAGGGGTGCTGCTTCACTCCCTGGCTTGAAGGGGTTTCCATTATATGCTGGGTTTACAGTTTGGTTATCTAGTTCTCAGCCCTTCCAGCCCCATATACGTTGTTCTAGCACCCCTGGCCCTGCCTTGCAAAGGGGGAAAGGAGGCGAGTGGAGCAGAACCGCCACTGCCTCACACCTGCGTAACTTTCCCAACGCCAAGCCAGCCAGTCCCCTCTCCAGCACAGAAGCCAGGGTGGTGCTGGGTGTGGCGATAGCTAGGGCTTTGCGTAATGCTCTGACCGCAGGAGACAAGTGATAGGGCGTTTTTTGTTTAGAAGAACAAGGGGCTGCCGAGCCTGGCTGGTGGCAGAGGAAAGGTTGGCAATGCAAAGCCAGAGGAGACACATTGATTAATTAGGAGAAATCATACAATGTTGAAGCCAATCTCATGGGGTTTTTTTGGGGTGTGGGGGAAAGGAGGCTGAAACAGAATTTTTGGGCCCCTGAAGTTGTCAATACTGAGGCAGTCACGAATTGGGCCCTCCGGCATTAGTAAAGCCCTCCATCTTCCACCTCCCCAAGGCTTTTCTTCTGCCAGGTAGTCCTTGGTTTTCAAAAATTAACAGGCACAGTTAAATCAGAGTCATGTGAGGAAACTAGGGTATTAATCTGTGTTGCCAATCCCACCATCTTCTAAAGCAAGAGACAAACTTAAAGATCAGGACATTTGGTATATAAATCACAAGTTGCTGTTTTTTCAAACATAAAGCAATATAGGTCTATTGATGGTTATAAACCTCATTAGTGGTTACTTAATTTCTAACAGGTCAGAGCTCTTTACAAAAACTATATGACTGCACCTGACAATACTTTACAAAAATCTTTTAGAAATCCTCCTTGTTATTGCCAGATTATCTTCAGAAACTATCATATTGTCCTGAGATATGTCAGATAAACATCTACTGCCCATATATAGAAGTAAGGGAAGTATATTCACTCTTCACTGAGCTCTTTAAGGTAGCCTTGATTAAACAGGAAGATCTCAAAGACAGGGTTGGCCCTTGAACAGTTGGGGTCTTCTGTGAACAATGAAACCGGAGATTATGTGGCTGATTCTCCACTGCTTTGTGCCATATGTAAAATTAAGTGAATGTAAAAACCAGTTTGGTTACATCTTACACCCACTTTTCATAGGTATAAAGGACAGCTTTAAGTACAAGGCAATGGAAAATCAGCCCTTTGTTTTTTAGCACAAAGGTAATTGGAGGCCTAGGGCTCCCCTAGCTCATAGATCAGATGAAGCACAATTGTGATATATCTGATACTATGGTGTGACTCACTCCCCATAACCCTTGCCCCCTCACCTCTGCAGGCTCCCCACTGATCCCGCTACCTCCCCGGGCTCCCCATCTGGCTGCAACTGCCTCCCTGCGCTTCCCACCCATCTCTGCTGCCCCCTGCTGCCTCCCTGGGATCCCCATCACCCCAAGGGTCTGCTGCCCCAATGCCACATTGCCCTGACCTCCCACAGCCTCACACCGCTCCTTGCCTCTTGACCATGGTGCCCCATAGTGGCTGGAGAGTGGCAGCTGCTGTCTGAGTGTTCGGCTCTGAAGGCAAGGCCGGCACCAGTAGCAGCGCAGAAGAAAGGGTGGCATGGTATGCCTTCTGCACTGTTGCTGGTAGCAGCACTGCTTTCAGAGCTGGGCGGCCAGAGAGCGGTGGCTCTTGACCTGGTGCCCACCTCTGAAGGCAGCACTGCTACCAGCAGCAGCGCAGAAGGAAGGGTGGCAATACCATAAATTGGCAAAGTTGGTATGTCTGGTATTTTCTGCTCTCACGCTGGAGAGTGTCTCTTTGCAGTAAGTGCCCTTATATGACACATTACAAACATTGGGCTGGAACTGGGTCACCATGCTTGTGCAAATAGCCCTGCTGAAGTTAGGAAGCTCTGATCCTGCACTCTGTGGTGCTGAGTTTAATCTGGTATAACAGAGAGGAGAGTCAGGAATACTTAATTACACATGCCGTTGTTTAGCTTAGAGCTAGAGTGTAAAATGATTATTATTGTTAACTTAGAAAATGGAGAGCTAAAGATTATTAGCCCTACAATAATTTGAAAACTTGAAATCATTAAGGTCCCTTGTTTATAATATTTGGGAACATCTTTGGACTAGGGCTGTCAAGAAATTAAAAAAATTAATTGTGATTAAAAATCATGTAAATAAAATATGTACAAAATATAATATAAAAAATAAGAAAAAAATAAGTGCTGCAACAAGGAGTGCTGCTTCACTTCCTGGGTTTCCATTATATGCAGGGTTTACAATTTGGTTCATTAGCTCTCAGCACCTCCACCCCCATACACATTGTTCTAGCATCCCTGGCCCTGCCTTGCAAAGGGGGAAAGGCGGTGTGTGGAGCAGAACCGCGACTGCCTCACACCTGCGTAACTTTCCCAACGCCAAGCCAGCCGGTCCCCTCTCCAGCACAGAAGCCAGGGCGGTGCTGGGTGTGGCGATAGCTAGGGCTTTGCGTAATGCTCCAACCATGGAAGACAAGCGATGGGGTGGCTTTTGTATAAAAGAATAAGGGGCTGCCAAGCCTGGCCAGTGGCAGAGGAAAGGTTAGCAATGCAAAGCCAGAGGAGCCACATTGATTAGTTAGAGAAACCATACGATGTTGAAACCAATCTGGTGGGGGTTTTTTTTGTAGGGGGCGGGGGGAGAGGAGGAGGCTGAAACTGGATTTTTGAGCCTCTGAAGTTGTCAATATTGAGTCAGGCAGTCACAAATCAGGCCCTCTGGCATTAGCAAAGCCCTCCATCTTCCACCATCCCCAAGGCCTTTTTTCTGCCAGGTCATCCTTGGATTTCAAAAATTAACAGGCTCAGTTGAATCAGAGGCATATGAGGAAACTAGGGTATTAATCAATGTTGCCAATCCCACTGTCTCCTAAAGCAAGAGACAAATTCTTAAAAATCAGGAGATTTGATATATAAATCACAAGTTGCTGTTTTTTCAAACATAAAGCAATATAGATCTATTGATGGTTATAAACATCATTAGTGGTTTATTTAATTTCTAACAGGTCAGAGCTTTTTACAAAAACTATATGACTGCACCTGACAATGCTTTACAAAAATCTTTTAGAAATCCTACTTGTTATTGCCAGATTATCTTCAGAAACTTAATACTTAATTACACATGCCATTGTTTAGCTTAGTGCTAGAGTGTAAAATGATTATTATTGTTAATTCAGAAAATAGAGAGCTAAAGATTACTAGCCCTATAATAATTTGAAAACTTGAAATCATTGAGGTCCCTTGGTTATAATATTTTGGAACGTATTTGGACTAGGGCTGTCAAGCAATTAAAAAAATTAATCGTGATTAATCGTGCTATTAAACACTAATAGAATATCATTTATTTAAATATTTTTATGTTTTTCTAAATTTTCCAATATATTGATTTCAATTACAACACAGAATACAAAGTGTACAGTGCATACTTTATATTTATTTTTATTACAAATATTTTCACTGTAAAAAACAAGAAATAGTATTTTTCAATTCACCTAATACAAGTACTGTAGTGCAATCTTTTTATCATGAAAGTTGAACTTAAAAATGTAGAATTATGTACAAAAACCCCCTGCATTCAAAAATAAAACATTGTAAAACTTTAGAGCCTACAAGTCCACTCAGTCCTACTTCTTGTTCAGCCAATTGCTCAGACAAACAAGTTTGTTGTACATTTGCAGAAGATAATGCTGCCTGTTTCTTGTTTACCGTGTCACCTGAAAGTGAGAACAGGCGTTTGCATGGCACTGTTGTAGCCTGCGTCTCAAGATATTTACATGCTAGATGTGCTAAAGATTCGTATGTCCCTTGATACTTCAACCACCATTCCAGAGGACATGCATCCATGCTGATGACGGGTTCTGCTCAATAACGATCCAAAGCAGTGCGGACTGGTGCCCATTCATTTTCATCCTCTGAGACAGCAGAAGGTTGATTTTCTTTTTTGGTGGTTTGTGTTCTGTAGTTTCTGCATAAAAGTGTTGTTCTTTTAAGACTTCTGAAAGCATGCTGCACACCTCATCCCTCTCCGATTTTGGAAGGTACTTCAGATTCTTAAACTTTGGGTTGAGTGCTGTAGCTATCTTTAGAAATTTCACATTGGTATCTTCTTTGCATTTTGTCAAATTTGCAGTGAGTGTTCTTAAAATGAACAACATGTGCTGGGTCATCTTCTGAGACAGCTATAACATGAAATATATGGCAGAATGTGTGTAAAACAGAGCAGGAGACATACAATTATCCCCCAAGGAGTTCAGTCACAAATTTAATTAACACATTATTTTTTTTAACAAGTGTCATCAGCATGGAAGCATGTCCTCTGGAACGATGGCCAAAGCAAGAAGAGGCATATGAATCTTTAGTGCATCTGGCACAAATATCTTGTGACGCCGACTACAACAGTGCCATGCAAACGCCTGTTCTCACTTTCAGGTGACACTGTAAACAAGAAGCAGGCAGCATTATCTTCTGCAAATGTAAACAAACTTGTTTGTCTGAGAAATTGGCTGAACAAGAAGTAGGACTGAGTGGACTTGTAGGCGCTAAAGTTTTACATTGTTTTGTTTTTGAGTGTAACAAAAATACATTTGTAAATTGCACTTTCATGATAAAGAGATTGCACTACAGTACTTGTAGGAGGTGAACTGAAAAATACTATTTCTTTTGTTTATCATTTTTACAGTGCAAATATTTGTAATAAAAATATAAAGTGAGCACTGTACACTTTGTATTCTGTGTTATAAGTGAAATAGATATATTTGAAAATGTAGAAAAATATAAAAAAATATTTAATAAATTTCAGTTTGTATTCTATTGTTTAACAGCACGATTATTTTTTGAGTTAATTGCGTGAGTTAACTGCAATTAATCAACAGCCCCAATATGGACAGATTAGCACGTTTTGGTTAGTGCCGAATAAAACTGAAACTTAGACCCTCCCAAGGTTTGTTTAAACTAATATTGTGCACCACATATTAAGCAAAAACACAAAACCAAAGCAGCAGGATAAAATAAGTGTTATTTATTTTTAGAAGCATACATGAAATGTCATGATAAAATAAAAACACTGTTTTTCTCACAGCAAAATATGTATGAATTTGATACTAGTTTAAAGAGTTTATACTGTTTTTTGCACATTAAAAAAAATACCAGTTTTAGGGCCAGATTCTTATTTACAGTTAAGTTTCTTTACATCACTGTGGTAGTGTGAAGGGACCTTAGGGTCAGTGAGAATCTGGCCCCTATTATTAGATCTTTCCGTAACAGCCATTTAAAAATGGAGTTGTACAATTCTCTTGTGAAAACACATTAGTAGTTAACACTTTATCCAATCTAACATAGCCATCTATCTAGAGCAACAGTTGTCAAACTGTGGGTTGGGACACCAAAGTGGGTCATGCCACTGTTTTAATGGGGTTGCCAAGGGCTGGCATTAGCCTTCCTGGGGCCAGGGCTGAAGTCCGAGCCGCACTTCTGGGGCCAAAGCCCAAGGGCTTCAGCACTGACTGTGTGTAGTGGTGGTGGTGGGGGGTGGGGGGCGCGCTCAGGTTACAGGCTCCCTGCCTGGGGCTGAAGCCCTTGGGATTTGGCTTTGTCTTTCCTACCCAGAGTGGTGGGGCTCTGGCTTTGGCTCTGGCCCCCCTGCCCAGGATGGCAGGGCTCAGGTGGGCTCAGGCTTCGGTCCCCCCACCTGGGGTCGTGTAGCAATTTTTGTTGTCAGAAGGAAGTCTCGATGTAATGAAGTTTGAGAAGCCCTGATCTAGATGTTTATATTGTGTTCATCACCATGGAATGCGAGCTCCTTGCACAATTAGACTAAATCCATGTTAGTGGTCTCCACAATTTTCGCAGTGGTTTCCATGTTCAAAGTACTTTATGGTAGATTGACAACTAATTAACTACACCTCTGTGAGGAATTATCTTCATTTTATAATCAGGGAACTGAGGCCTAGAGCTGGTAGATGACTTGTCCAAGGCCACACAGGGAGTAATTTTCTGTTCAGTTGATATCCCTCTCCCTTTTTGATGCTTATATTACATTTATTAATCAGAGGAGTAGTCTACTGCTGTAAGAAATGATGTCCAATTAACTTTTGTAATTTTTATAGGACAGATTGCAACTAAAACTTGATAGTGAGAAATTACCATCATTAAAATATATGAAATAACTGAAACAATGTTACTAAGTAAAGTTGTGCTTCAAGTTGTTGGTAGTAAGCAACATTAATTTTATCTAAACTTGATGGATTCACTATAATTTCAGATACACTATTGTGAAAGGCATTTATAATATTCTTTTTTGTTGTTTAATTTGTGTGCTTTATTTGCTTTTGGTAGGAACCTGCTACTCTTTACATATTTGAAAGAGCAGAATATGTTCAGTGGTTAAAACAAGTAACTGGGAGTTAGGAATCCTTGGTTCTATTCCTAGTTCTGTCAATGGCTTGCAGTATGACTTTGAGCAAATTACTAACCAGCTGTGTGCCTCAGTTTTTCTTGCTGTAAAATGAGGATGATAATGCTCAAGTACCCAACAGAGGTGTAGTTTGGGAAACTTATGAATTCATAAAATGCTTTTAGATCCTTGGATGGAAGGTACTTTATAAATGCAAAGCATTATTATTAATTAATAGTAGTAGAGTACCACCAGAAAACCTTCACTTCTGTATATCACACACCTGCATTTTGACATAATCAGCACATCTGAAATCACTTCTGCCCTGAGTAAGATGAGGAACAAATGTGTGTTCTCCCATAGGAGACACTGAGAGGAATTTCAGGGCTAAACTGGGGAACTCATTTCAACAATAGATGCCCTATTTAGAACAAAGTAATACTGCAGTCCAGGAGATTACAACAAAAGCATTGGTCTGAGAGGGGTATCCATACCTGACAGACAGGCACACTGATTTAAAGAAACATTTCATACTAATTTTCAAACAAATGAGGCTTTAAACTCTACTTTTTCAACTTTTACATTTTTTTTAAAATTTTTGTGGTCCTTCTCGTAATTTTCTATGAGAATGAATGGGTCAATGTGATATAAAAATGTATCATAACTTAGGTGCACCATTTCTTATTGGAACCCTCCGTGAAGTCCTGCCTGAAATACTCCTTGATGTACAGGCACCCCCTTTGTTGATTTTAGCTCCCTGAAGCCAACCCTGTAAGCCATGTCGTCAATTGCCCCTCCCTCCGTCACAGCAACGGCAGACAATTGTTCCGCACCTTTTTTCTGTGCGGACGCCATACCAAGGCAAGCATGGAGGCCGCTCAGCTCACTTTGGCAATTAGGAGCACATTAAACACCACACGCATTATCCAGCAGTATATGCAGCACCAGAACCTGGCAGAGCGATACCGGGCGAGGAGGCGACGTCAGCACGGTCATGTGAGTGATCAGGACATGGACACAGATTTCTCTGAAAGCATGGGCCCTGCCAATGCATGCATCATGGTGCTAATGGGGCAGGTTCATGCTGTGGAACGCCGATTCTGGGCTCGGGAAACAAGCACAGGCTGGTGGGACCGCATAGTGTTGCAGGTCTGGGACGATTCCCAGTGGCTGCGAAACTTTCGCATGCGTAAGGGCACTTTCATGGAACTTTGTGACTTGCTTTCCCCTGCCCTGAAGTGCATGGATACCAAGATGAGAGCAGCCCTCACAGTTGAGAAGCGAGTGGCGATAGCCCTGTGGAAGCTTGCAACGCCAGACAGCTACCGGTCAGTTGGGAATCAATTTGGAGTGGGCAAATCTACTGTTGGGGCTGCTGTAATGCAAGTAGCCCACGCAATCAAAGATCTGCTGATATCAAGGGTAGTGACCCTGGGAAATATGCAGGTCATAGTGGATGGCTTTGCTGCAATGGGATTCCCTAACTGTGGTGGGGCCATAGACGGAACCCATATCCCTATCTTGGCACTGGAGCACCAAGCCGCCGAGTACATAAACCGCAAGGGGTACTTTTCGATAGTGCTGCAAGCTCTGGTGGATCACAAGGGACGTTTCACCAACATCAACGTGGGATGGCTGGGAAAGGTACATGACGCTCGCATCTTCAGGAACTCTGGTCTGTTTCAAAAGCTGCAGGAAGGGACTTTATTCCCAGACCAGAAAATAACTGTTGGGGATGTTGAAATGCCTATATGTATCCTTGGGGACCCAGCCTACCCCTTAATGCCATGGCTCATGAAGCCGTACACAGGCAGCCTGGACAGTAGTCAGGAGCTGTTCAACTACAGGCTGAGCAAGTGCAGAATGGTGGTAGAATGTGCATTTGGACATTTAAAGGCGCGCTGGCGCAGTTTACTGACTCGCTTAGACCTCAGCGAAACCAATATTCCCACTGTTATTACTGCTTGCTGTGTGCTCCACAATATCTGTGAGAGTAAGGGGGAGACGTTTATGGCGGGGTGGGAGGTTGAGGCAAATCGTCTGGCTGCTGGTTACGCGCAGCCAGATACCAGGGCGGTTAGAAGAGCACAGGAGGGCGCGGTACGCATCAGAGAAGCTTTGGAAACCAGTTTCATGACTGGCCAGGCTACGGTGTGAAAGTTCTGTTTGTTTCTCCTTGATGAAACCCCCCGCCCCTTGGTTCACTCTACTTCCCTGTAAGCTAACCACCCTCCCCTCCTCCCTTCGATCACCGCTTGCAGAGGCAGTAAAGTCATTGTTGCTTCACATTCATGCATTCTTTATTCATTCATCACACAAATAGGGGGATGACTACCAAGGTAGCCCAGGAGGGGTGGTGGAGGAGGGAAGGAAAATGCCACACAGCACTTTAAAAGTTTACAACTTTAAAATTTATTGAATGCCAGCCTTCTTCTTTTTGGACAATCCTCTGTGACGGAGTGGCTGGTTGGCCGGTGGCCCCCGCACCGCGTTCTTGGGCACCTGGGTGTGGAGGCTATGGAACTTGGGGAGGAGGGCGGTTGGTTACACAGGGGCTGTAGTGGCAGTCTGTGCTCCAGCTGCCTTTGCTGCAGCTCAACCATACACTGGAGCATACTGGTTTGGTCCTCCAGCAGCCTCAGCATTGAATCCTGCCTCCTCTCATCACGCTGCCGCCACATTTGAGCTTCAGCCCTCTCTTCAGCCCGCCACTTACTCTCTTCAGCCTGCCACCTCTCCTCCTGGTCATTTTGTGCTTTCCTGCACTCTGACATTATTTGCCTCCACACATTCGTCTGTGCTCTGTCAGTGCGGGAGGACAGCATGAGCTCGGAGAACATTTCATCTCAAGTGCATTTTTTTTCCTTTCTAATCTTCACTAGCCTCTGGGAAGGAGAAAATCCTGTGATCATTGAAACACATGCAGCTGGTGGAGAAAAAAAAAGGGACAGTGGTATTTAAAAAGACACATTTTATAAAACAGTGGCTACACTCTTTCAGGGTAAACCTTGCTGTTAACATTACATACATAGCACATGTGCTTTCGTTACAAGGTCACATTTTGCCTCCTCCCACCACGTGGCTACCCCCTCAACCCACCCCCATCCCCATGGCTAACAGCGGGGAACATTTCTGTTTAGCCACAGGCAAACAGCCCAGCAGGAACGGGCTCCTCTGAGTGTCCCCTGAAGAAAAGTACTCTATTTCAACCAGGTGACCATGAATTATATCTCACTCTCCTGAGGATAACACAGAGAGATAAAGAACGGATGTTGTTTGAACGCCAGCAAACATACACTGCAATGCTTTGTTGTACAATGATTCCCGAGTACGTGTCACTGGCCTGGAGTGGTAAAGTGTCCTACCATGAAGGACGCAATAAGGCTGCCCTCCCCAGAAACCTTTTGCAAAGGCTTTGGGAGTACATCCAGGAGAGCCGCGAATGCCAGGGCAAAGTAATCCTTTCACATGCTTGCTTTTAAACCATGTATAGTATTTTAAAAGGTACACTCACCGGAGGTCCCTTCTCCGCCTGCCGGGTCCAGGAAGCAGCCTTGGGTGGGTTCAGGGGGTACTGGCTCCAGGTGCAGGGTGAGAAACAGTTCCTGGCTGTCGGGAAAACCGGTTTCTCCGCTTGCTTGCTGTGAGCTATCTACAACCTCCTCCTCCTCATCATCATCTTCTTCGTCCCCAAAACCTGCTTCCGTATTGCCTCCATCTCCATTGAAGGAGTCAAACAACACGGCTGGGGTAGTGGTGGCTGAACCCCCTAAAATGGCATGCAGCTCATCATAGAAGCGGCATGTTTGGGGCTCTGACCCAGAGCGGCTGTTCGCCTCTCTGGTTTTCTGGTAGGCTTGCCTCAGCTCCTTAAGTTTCACGCGGCACTGCTTCGGGTCCCTGTTATGGCCTCTGTCCTTCATGCCCTGGGAGATTTTGACAAAGGTTTTGGCATTTTGAAAACTGGAACGGAGTTCTGATAGCACGGATTCCTCTCCCCAAACAGCGATCAGATCCCGTACCTCCCGTTTGGTCCATGCTGGAGCTCTTTTGCGATTCATGGTCCATCATGGTCCATCATGGTCACCTGTGCTGATGAGCTCTGCATGGTCACCTGCAGCTTGCCATGCTGGCCAAACAGGAAATGAGATTCAAAAGTTCGCGGTTCTTTTCCTGTCTACCTGGCCAGTGCATCTGAGTTGAGAGTGCTGTCCAGAGCGGTCACAATGGAGCACTCTGGGATAGCTCCCGGAGGCCAATACCGTCGAATTGTGTCCACAGTACCCCAAATTCAAGCCGGCAAGGCCGATTTAAGTGCTAATCCACTTGTCAGGGGTGGAGTAAGGAAATCGATTTTAAGAGCCCTTTAAGTTGAAATAAAGGGCTTCATCGTGTGGACGGGTGCAGGTTTACATCAATTTAACGCTGCTAAATTTGACCTAAAGTCCTAGTGTAGACCAGGGCTAAGACAGTGAACTCACACAAGGTATTAGATCTTAAGAAATAAAGAATCAAAAAATTAAATGAAAATTAAATGAAAACTAAACCTTTTATCCTAAAACTAATTTCTGAGTAGGGAAACACCTGTCTATATTGATGCTTAGGATCTTATAAGATTACCAGTTAAGATGTTAAAATAAAAGTTAATTATTATGTGCTAGTTAAGCCATGTGTTTCTCATTTAAGATGTGTGATTGCCCAAAACCGCGCAATCTGAGCAATCGTTGAACTTAATACATTTTAAACTTTAAATAATAAATTTAGAAAATGCCAATTCAGTTCAAAATTATGATTCCAAATTACAGCCCTCTAGATAGTTGATACATATACAGGGATAGTTGTGTTGTACTGGGTACAGCATGGGGCTCCGAGTCAGGAGAATGCCACTTGTTTTATGCCCTTGGGTTTGCGACCTTGTTCTGAGATACTGTGCCTCAATTTCGTCCATCCATACAATTGGGCTAACAATGCTGCTAACTCTCCTTGGGGTGGTTGGGGTTGAGTGATAGTGAGCCTTCTCTACCACCTCACTACATGGAAATAATTTTGCTCTCAGCTATGGGCATGGCAAAGATATGGAATTGCTGGTTAGCACTGCTAACAGGGTATTCTTGGGTGGGCAGGTGAAGGAAATGGGGCGTGGCTTTGCCGCCTTACTTACTGGAAAGTTGCACTGAGAGCAGAACTGGCTACCATGCTTGATTAGGTAAAGCAAAGACTACTCATTCCCTAGCTTCTCTAGCTTTCTAAAAGTGTTATGTCATTTAAAGGCATAATGCCTTCAGGCGTCATAGCTCTCCTTCTGCTTCCTCAACACCACAGAGCAGATCAGGCTCTTAAAGACATAGCTGAGCTTTATATGTTGCATTGAGCTCTACTGTTTTGGTCAAGCCACTTATCTTTTCCCAGTACTATCCATCTGTCCTTGTGTTTCAGTAGGTTTCCCACTCTCTTTTGGAGGAGTAGGATATGGTCTAAAAAGACTTGATAAACTCCCTCACGTGAAGCTATTACAAAAAATAAATAGCCTCACCTTGAGTATTTTGTTCAGATTGGATCAGCCCATTTCAAATAGGATATAGTAGAAAGAGAAAATACCCAGAGATGGGCAATAAAAGTGATCAGAGGCACAGACATACTTCCATATGAGGAGAGATTAAAAAGATGAACATTTAGTATAAAGAGGAATCAATAAGAAGAGATACAATAGAGACATATAACATAACGAGTGCTAGAGAGAAAGTGAATTAGCACTCATAATTCAAAACCAGAGGGAATCCTTATGAAATTAGAGACAACAAATTTAAATCCAATTGTGATGTTGCACTCCATATATTTTATGGAAATATGTTTATAAGTGTGAATATGATATAACTGGAATATGCTTCATGCAAAAGTTCTCTTGTAAGGTATCTACTGAGTGTGTTCATCCTATTTGTATGAATAGACCATTCTTGTATCTGAAGCTAGAAATATGAAGTATTACTCTGAAGTCCTATTGTAATTATGCAAAGTATATGCCATTAATCATGGTTTAGAATCTTGATGGCTCCCATTAACCAGGACAATTGGCTGTAAATGGCTCTGTTTACTTGTAAGCCTTCCTGTGTTCATGTGTGTCAGGCCGGAAAGAATGGAGGCTTGGGGTATCACAGGACATGTGACCATATCACCTAGTACTGGTATCCATCTTAAATCTGGTTCTTTTCCATTTAGAAGAGGGGTGGGGATCCAGAGAGACAAAAGATTCCCGTCTTGTGCCAAAGCCATAAAAGGGGGTGGAACAGAACAAAGGGGGTTGCCAGTCATGAGAAATCCCCTAGTTACCACCTGATCTGGAACTAACAAGAACTGTACCAGGGGAAAGGATTGGACCTAGACTAGGAAGGAGTCTAGACTGTGAAAGAAGCTTATTGGAACATCTCTGAGGGTGAGATTTTCCTGTAATCAGTTTCTTAATGTATTAGGCTTAGACTTGCATGCTTTGTTTTATTTTGCTTGGTAACTTACTTTGTTCTGTCTGTTATTACTTGAAACCACTTAAATCCTACTTTTTATACTTAATAAAATCACTTTTGTTTAATAATTAACCCAGAGTGAGTGATTAATACCTGGGGGAGCAACAGCTGTGCATCTCTCTCTATCAGTGTTATAGAGGGCAGACAATTTATGAGTTTACCCTGTATAAGCTTTATACAGAGTAAAATGGATTTATTTGGGGTTTGGACCATTGGGAGTTGGGTGTCTGGGTGCTGGAGAAGGTGACTTACTGAGCAGTTTTTGGTTAAAGTCTGCAGCTTTGGGGGCGTGGACCAGACCTGGATCTGTGTTGCAGCAGACTAGCATGCTGGCTCAACAAGACAGGTTCTGGAGCCCCAAGCCATCAGAGAAAATGAGCTCAGAGGTAGTCTCAGCACATCAGGTGACAGTCCCAAGGGGGGTCTCTCTGACCGAACCCATCACACCAATAAAAGGAAAAACTTCTCTACAATATGTAATTAACCTGTGGAACTCCTTGATACAAAATACTATTGAGACCAAGAGCTTAGTAGCATTCAAAACAAGATTAGCCATTTATATGAACTATGTGAATATTATTCACATTTGCAGTAGTTAAAACCAAGCATGAGATATCAGCACTCATATTTCAAGTCATAAGTAACTGTCTGGGGCTGGGAAGACATCTCCCACAGGCAGAGAACAGCATAATTGTCTCTTATTGAGGTTTTATACCTTCCTTTAAACCAGAGTGTTATCCACTGTTGGGAGCTAGGGTATGGGAAAAGATGGAAAATAAAACCTTTCCCAGTAATATGAAGTAATATTTTTGTTTTCTACTTGTTTTTGAATGGAAAATTATGAGGCTGAAGTTCTGATGAGCAGGCTTGTCTGGTGATGTACCATTGCCTCAGAATTTGCACGGCCACACAAAAAATCCTCTCAGTAAACAACCAGCAAAGACTAAAGGAACACACTCTGAGCCACATCCTCTGTCAGTGTAAATTGAAATAGGTCAGGGACTACCCCAGTTACGCTAGCTGAGGATCTAGGCCTTTGTTTTCTGTTCCTTTCAATTTTATTGCCCTAGTGGTTTTAGTCTGAAATCACACTGTAGGCTAATATAGCGACTCCACTGTTGAACAAATATCTTGGTTTAACCAATTATTATTAACCACAGTTCAAGGAAAGCAGTAACGTTATCATTCTTGACATGAGTTTAGTTACTTGTTCAAAAATTAAGTTTATTTTAATGTTCTTATTTTGTGGAGAAAAATATTTTTGTTTTGAAAATTAAGTCTGTCAGAGACAGGTGTGCTGAATGGAAATAGTTTATTTTAATTAACTATAAATGTAGTGTTACAGGAGGAAAATATATGAATAGTGTATACAGGACACACGTTGGGTGCAAATGTCTTCTGTTTTGTTTTTTAAACACTTATTGTAAGAAAAATCTCATGGACGTGCTTGAGAGTTGAGAACCACTGAAATATTATTTTTTCCAATGTGTGCTACTGTTAACAAGACCCTATATTCTGCTTTTTCCAGAAATGCCCTGTTTTTTCATATGCTGTCTTGGTATCCCAGGAACTTCTTTCTGAGACACCTAGGATATACTGGGTTTTTCATTTAATCAGTCAACATGTTCAGATTTTTCTCTTTATAATAAAATGTTTGTTCAGGACATATTGCCCTACTAAATTGAATTTGCTCTGTGTTTACCAGGAGCAAACAATCCAGTGGAATGAGTGTTCTGTGTGATGAACAGTATCTGGGGTGAAAAGAAAAAAGTCTGATGAGTTTATATACTATCAGAACTGTTCATTTGCTCAAAGTAAAAGTTCAGACACCTGTTCATTGTTTCATGATAGATTCATTCAGAACATTAATACTTTGTGGGGAAAAACACCCTCCAAAAATATGCATATGTGGCTGCTGAGTCGGAAGCTGGCAGTAGTGACACCAATATACTTTTTTTTAAAGTATAATATTGTCTTTTGAGTGAATAGTTTGCACTCTCAAAAATATTGATAGAATAGTCGTTGATTTTTCAGCTTCAAAATATGAGCCTCTTCGCTATCATGAAAATGTACAGATGGTCTTTTTTACAATACGTATCCTTTATTTCATTATCCATAAAGCTCTGTGTCAGTCCTTATGGTTTATCATTAAAACCATAGAAAAGGACATTTTCAAATGCATATTTCTGACTGATTTTGTGCTCCTATGTGGTCTGAGTTAAAGCCCACTGAAGTCAATAAAAAGACTCCCATTGATCTCAATTAGCTTTAGATGAGGCCAACGGTAACAAGTCCCTATAGAAAACTTAACACATGGATCATTGACTAAATGGCTCCTGTGGAAGCATCATTTTCAGCTATATTTGATCTGTCAAGTCAGAATTCCTTAGTTGTGTGCATAGTCCAGCCATATACTAAAATCAGTATAGGAAGTTTTCAGAGCAGCAACCGTGTTAGTCTGTATTCGCAAAAAGAAAAGGAGTACTTGTGGCACCTTAGAGACTAACCCGTTTATTTGAGCATAAGCTTTCGTGAGCTACATTATGCATCCAATGAAGTGGACTGTAGCTCATGAAAGCTTATGCTCAAATAAATTGGTTAGTCTCTAAGGTGCCACAAGTACTCCTTTTCTTTTTATAGAAAGTTTGTTGAACAAAATTTACCACTGCCTTTCAGAATGAAACAACACCCTCTTTCAGTTATTGTTTCCAAAATACCCCAAACCACTGACTAGCTTATATGAACTGGAATGTTCAGTTTAAAAATATAAAAGCTGGTTTTGAGTTATACAAAGACAAAGCAAGAGCAGAAACCACGAACTTCACAATCCTCACTCCTAGCATTTAAAAATGTATTGAGATTTTGATGTTTAAAAAAATTCTGTGAATTTTCAAGCCTGCAGGGTAGACCTTCAGCTTAGTAAAGCACTTTCTTTTGTCTTATCAGGGGTCCCAGAATTGATGAACCACAGCCAATAGATGAGGGAAGGGCACTGGTATGAAAATTATTGCTAATTTTAATGTCAGCTGAGAGTCCACAAAAGGAACAAGAAGGAAATGCTGGTAGGTACCCACCTTCTTCTTAGTAAAGTAATCAAGGTTTAAATAGGTTAAATAGGTAAATAGGTTGACAAATAAATACTATTACCATATTTGGTTGCAATAATGGGTTCCAAATGCTCCAGGAATATTGCAGGTCTGAGAGGACTTGTTGTTCCTATTTGTGCCCTGAAAGAAGGTACTGAGTCTAGTAGGTTTGCAATTTAAAAGGAGTAATAAAAAACATATACTCATATCTAGAGTGCTGATTTCTACTGGATTAATTAATGAGTGTACACCACTTTGAAGATATTGGGCCAGTTTCTGATACCAGTAATAGTGATGTAAAGCCAGTGTAACGGAGAGCAAAATCTGGCCAATGAATGCTGTGTAATAGCTAATCAATTTATTAATTGCCTTGAAATTCTCTGAGGGAAGGTTGGACAAAAATACTTATTATTATAGAGATTACTTGGTAGCAAATGCTATAGTAAAATTTTCATAACAGTTTTGACAAACTGTTTGCAAACACTTATAACTTCCTGAAAACATCACCACTGACTCCTGGGATTCCCCCTTTGTCACAGTGTCAGAGATTGTGGTGGGTCAGGGACACAAGAGAGAGGGAGGGAAAAAAGCTCCTGGTACCCTCCCCAGCCCTGAGGTTCTACAATTAAAGTTTTAAATAGTTAAAATAAAAAAAAAGTGAATGCATTTTTTTTTCAAGTTTGGGTGCCTACAGTTAGGTACCTATATAGGATCCTAAATAAAGCCATGATCTGGCAAAGCACTTAAGAACATGCTATATTAAAAACAATTCCCAAACCTTGAGGCAGTATAGCCTGGTAGATAGAGCACTAAAATGGGACTTAGGAGACCTGAGTTTTATTCCCTATTTTGCCACTAGTCTGCTGCCAATAGGGCTGTAGGTGTATAAGGCACCTTGAGTCAATTTCAGATTTAAACTGGTGTAAATGAGAACAGAATTTTGCTAATTTTCATTCATTGGTTGCATGCATTTAAACTTTTGATGTCCCTCTGGATGTCTTCATATAGGCAAGAAACATTCAAATATCGAAAAAGTAACGTAAAGGACAAATGAACCAGGCTTACCAGTGGTACAGGAGCCAGGGGTATTGCCTTCTGCTTCTAATAAAGTAAAAGAAAAAGGGGAAAAAAAGTTGATCAGAATAAGAACTCAATGAGTACAAATGGAAAATAAAGAAAACCACATGACCACTACTTTGTGATTCCGTGTGATCATGCCAAGACATTACAAAATGGTCATTATTGTCGGAGATGTTTTCTAATGTGGTATTAGTTATATATTTTACTTGTGCTAAGCCTGGTTGCAACCATTTCTTTACTTTAGCCCGCTTGGTGAATCTAAGAGTGAGTCATTTTCTCCTTACTCACAGGAAAGCGATTGAACAATAAATAGAAAGTGATAAGTGTTACCATTGGTATGAAAGTCTGTGGGTCTACTGTAATATTTTATGATACACAATGAGTAAATAAATAATAATGTATGGTTATCATTATGGATTACGTAGTAATAATGTAGTAATAATACATTGTAGTTTCATAAGAGCTAAGAATAGCAATGTGCTTGTGTGACACGCTGTACCTCAAAACAGCACCCTGGAATCCCCATACTCACTCCTGTCATATAATTATGATATATTTCATACAAAATATGCCATGTAAGATATCATGTGAAAGGTCATGATCTGCTGAAACCCATTGTTCTATCCAAATATGTATATCATTATTGTGTATGAAGTTATGAGATTTTGCTGTATGGTTGTTACCGAAATATGTTGTAAGTTTGAGAGTCTCTGCTGCTAGGTGGAGTAGGGTGTTAAGCGACCATTAATCAGCAGGGGAGTTGTAAACAAGGGGTTTAGAATATGGTAAGAGGGCTGCACAAGCATCACACAATGAGGGATTGCTCAACTCTGTGACTCAGCAAAGCCCACCGGGACATGTCTGGGCTAGTGTTTTCCAGGCACGTGGACTGAGGATATAATATCGGGACAGTGGTATCATGCTTTGACCTTTCTCCACCCCCACCTACTCTGGAACAACAAGAACACTGGGAAGAGAAAAACTTGAACTGAGGAGACTGGTCTTAGGCTTAAAGGAGAAGCCTGTGTATTAAGGACTATAACCGACCTGCAACATCCAATGGGGTGAGAAAACTGCTTGATTCAAATACTGCCTAGTCTAATATGGTTTAAGATTTAGACTGCGTGATTACCTTTTATTTTCTTGGGTAACCATCTCTGACCTTTTGTGCCTCCCACTTCTAATAACTTAAAATCTATCTTTTTATAGTTAATAAATCTGTTTTATATTTTACTTAAAACAGTGTGTTTTGGTTGAAGTGCTTGGGAAATCTTAGCTCAGGTCACAAAGGCTAGTGTGTATCCTCTCCACATCGAGGGAGGGGCAGACTGGGTAATGAACTTACACTGATCAGGCTTCTGACCAGGGCAAGATGGTACAGCTCTTGGGGTACAAGGGTGTGGAGTTGGGTGGAACTGACTAGTGTCTTTCTCTGTGTGATTCATGAGTGGCTCATTCAATCTAGCTGGGTGTGGGTCTCCACATGCTGTTGTACGGAATGATAATAGCACCCGGAGGGGTTTGTTGCTTGTCATTAGCAAAGCATTGAGAGAGAGAGCCCAGGCTGCAGAGTTAAGAGGGCACAGTGGTACCCCAGTTCCAGGCTGTACCCTGGGGATCCAGTTACAGCTTGGAATGGCTATTCTTGCAATTAAGGGTGTGTTAGTTATTGGGCTGTGTGAACACCAGATGTATTGGTTCATAGTAAGTTTTGGACAATCTTATATTGTACGAGTTGCCTGGTTTCATGACCTCCAATTTAACTTTAGGGTTTATGGGAATCTGAATACTCAAAGCTAAAGTTCATTTGACAAGATTGTATTTGTTAGAAAACTGATGACTCATTCAGATTTTCCTTCCCTCCCTCTGGTCACTTGTCTTCTGGTGGAGCAGATTCAATTGCTCCTATCAGCCTTTCCTCTTTAGGGTCTTCAGGCAGTGGTTAGCAGGCTTACTCTTGGCTCTTGGATATCTGATTGGTCTGTCTCACCCATTCTATTTATTCAGTGAGCCAGCAAAATAGGCCTGCTGAGTCCAAATCTTCATTATCAAGCATCTTCTGAAGAATTGATGTTCTGCTTGACTTTACCCCTTTCTGCAACAGTGTAAGTGGAAAGGGCTTGTGCTTCCTCTGCTATTAATACTACTTGATTGGTCTTAAAACCCTTGGCTGGCTCTTGAACTCATGCCCCAGAATGCACTGGGATTTAAGGAAATCCCCACTCTCTCACAAGTTTGGAATTTAGTTTCTTAACATTCATGTGCTTGTATTTCTGCTGTGTCTCAGTCATCAACTCCACCACAACTAATTGTGAAGTCACAAATAGAAGACTGTGACTTCAGATGGAGAATAACCAGCAGATCCAAATGAACTTTATCAATGCAAATGACCCCTGTAATAAAAAGAAAAAAAAATAGATAATGCCTGAAAAGAAAAAAAAGAAAAAGAATTGGTTCTAAACAAATTTGCTCCCCGTCCAATAAAAAGTTTCCAAGAATTGTCAAGAGCATTTTAAAAAGTTTTAACTAAGCATGAAAAAGTCAAAGACATTTCCTGCTTTGATGAGAAAAATTCCTAACTAAATTGCACTTTATGAGAAATACCTGATACAATAATAAACCTGATAAAATCTGCACTTATTTTATTACTTTGTAACAAATATGGATTATTGGTTAATTCCTTTCAAACAAATAGTTGATAAATGAAACCTGTGAAATGACAATCAACAGTCAATGTACTACAAGGCAAGCTACTCAGAATGAACGTATCAAGGGAATGTCAGCCATTGGACTTGCCAAGATAACAGGGAGATGAATAAAAGAGAAAAAAAAACAGTGAAAGTTGGGAGGGAAGAAGGAACATTGGGGAGCCATGATGTTACTTGATCTAAGAGGAAAATGACAAGGGCATAGAATCACACTTTTTCATGTCAGATGAGGAATATTGTAAATATTGGGGATGCAATTAAGAAGGCACCTTCATAAAACAGTGTTAAGCATATGTACAGTACAAAGGAGTATACCTCATCACTTTTTTTGAGGGCAAGTTCTGCTCTATAACACTGGTGTAAATCTGAGGTAGTACCATGAAGCCAAAGGATTTAGTCCACATTTATAGTAGTATAATTGAGAGCATAATTTATTACTTTGTGTTTTTATGAATTAGCTCTTTCCACCCCTGCATCCACCAACAAAGTTGGCACAATGATTGATCAAAGAAAAATATCAAATATTGTGTTAGATCTTTTTTTTTGTATTGCTAAAAAACAACAGTTCATCTTACCATCATTTACTAACATTACTTTTAGAAGCAAATATTGTTATAAACTACAAACAGTCCAGTTTCTGCCAAATAATGTATGACCATTTTTTTCTTTGCATTACAAGCTTGGAAACACGGAAGAGATGAGAAAATATAGTTAAATGTAACTTGTGGTTTGAGTTGGTTTCACACATCAAGACACCACCCAAATCCATCTGCTAGCAAACACTGTACTTTAAGTTGCAAACCCACTTCCAGCAAGGACCCGTTTTCAGTTGCTCAGACTTTCTGAAAAATTATCCTTTTACGTTGAAACTTTACATGCTTGGTCTCTGTCCCTCCTTTAACAGGAAAGGGAGAACAATCCATTGAGTGAATTTTGTGGAAAATATTTTTTTCCCCCAACATAAAAAATGACTCACGTGTTTTGGTTTACTCACACAATGGTCAGTCTTTCTAGGTGATAAGTGTTCTGGTCTCGATCCACAAAGTACTTAAGGGCTTTCATATATTTTGAACTATAATATATTCCTACAAAATGTAAATACATGTGGAAGATATGATGCTATCTACATTAGAGCCTAGATAATATGACAAAGGGCAAATTAGAAATGCATAGCTAGTTAGCAACACACAATATATGTTACCTGGGAAAAGGTTCTTTTAACTAGTTTTCTAATTACAATATTAATTATGCCACAGGTCCATTTAGACTCAGTTCATGTGACAAGCTTCTATGCCTACATCTAAGATTTCAAAAGCAGAGAATAGTAGAAAAATTAGGTCAAGGAGAACAAAATGCACAAAAAGTCAGGATGGTAATTTTCTCTGCCTCCCCACTTAGGAAGCGATGCCATCTTTCCACATCTGCTGCTTATCTGATAAAAGGTTTCAGACCAGCCGCCGTGTTAGTCTGTATCCGCAAAAAGAAAAGGAGGACTTGTGGCACCTTAGAGACTAACAAATTTATTTGAGCATAAGCTTTCGTGCAGCATCCGATGAAGTGAACTGTAGCTCACGAAAGCTTATGCTCAAATAAATGTGTTAGTCTCTAAGGTGCCACAAGTACTCCTTTTCCTTTATCTGATTAAACGATCACGTATGCTTTTCTACAAAGACTTTATCTCCTGTCATTGACAAAATGCCAATTGCTAACTAAGAAAAGCATTATGTGATCACCCAAGATAATTAGTAAAAACAAAACTAACATTCTGGGTAGTGTTCTCAGAAAACAGCAGAAAACCACACACTGTCAGCCTAAAGATAGCAGGTCACAAATAAAGGCAGCCTCAGCAGATGTTTCTGGCAAAACAGCTCCCTCAGAATAAGAATGTAAAACAATATTTATGATTCTAGTGATATGGAGCCCAATCAAAAGTCCACTGAAATCATTATCTTGCCATTGACTTTCATGGGCTTTGGATCACACCCACATAGTTTGGTGTGGTAAGGGGTTACAATGGTATTAATTTTACTGTCGGGGAGGAAAATATAAATCATTTAGAATAATCCCAAGAAGCTGTTTTCTCTGCTTGTTTTTCATTTCATGCGCAGATGCAAAGGAAGGCAGGTGGGAAGAATTCTTACCTCTAGGTTGTGGAATGACTAAGGGCTGTTCTTTGGAGGTTACTTGAGCCCAGTGCCGACAGCCTCATATGTGGTTCCCCTGAAGTGAGGTGGAGAGTAGATTTTCCATAGCTACAGAACCTCTTGCTTCACACCTGCCCCAGCTCCTTTGGCTGCTCCAAAAGGACATCCCCTGGAATCTACATCCATGCCACTCTGGGAGCGCCTCCTCCTAATTCAGGAGAACTACCCTATGCAGATTAGTTCCATACTATTCACTTACCAACCACTTTGTAGAAAATAGGGGGTACTTCAGAATCTATCACCATGCTTACAAATAACAAGTGGTGGGAACTGAATGGCTTGGGGAACTGGTAATTTATTATGGAACCTTTCAACATTGATGAAAGGTTTCAGAGTAGCAGCTGTGACTCACGAATAAGCTCACGAAAGTTTATGCTCAAATAAATGTGTTAGTCTCTAAGGTGCCACAAGTACTCCTTTTCTTTTTTCAACATTAAGTCATTGGTGTGAATGTGATTCAGGCTGGTAGTGAATAACAATTGCTTCCATCTGAGTTTGCTTGTTCAATATGCTGAACATGGGTTGCTCTCATTTCAATTCTTTATGGCAAAGGTCAAGGAGGGGATTTTATCAAGCACCTAAAAGTGACTTAGGAACATCAGTCCCTAAGTCATTTAGGTGTTTCTGAAGATCCCACCCCAAGATTTAAAATAAATAGATGCCTAAAGTTAGGTTCTTATGTCCATCTTTAGGTCCCCCTAAATAAGTACCCCCTATTTTTCAGTCCTTAGCATCCAACAGC